CCCCCGTGCGCTTCAACTCCGCCCTGAAAGAAACCACCCCGCCATCAAGACGCTCCTCTCCATCGGTGGCTATTCCGCCGGCACCACCACTTTCGTCAACGCCGCCTCCTCCCCCTCCTCTCGCTCTGCTTTCATCCAATCCGCGATCGCCCTCGCCCGATCGTACAATTTCGACGGTCTGGATATCGACTGGGAGTTCCCAACGGGCAACGCCGCCCTGTTCTCCGCCCTGCTCACGGATTTCCGGGCGGCGATCGAATCTGAAGCTGCTGCCTCTGGGAAATCAAAGCTTCTGCTTTCTGCGGCGGTTTCTGCCTACGAGCCGACAATCATCCAGGCCTACGATGTCCGGACGCTTAACAAAGCGCTGGACTTTGTAAATGTTATGACGTACGATCTGCATGGTTCATGGGAGCTAAACACCGGCATGCACACTGCTCTGGAGGATCTGAGCAACCCCCAACTGAGCCTCAAGGGCGCCATGGCTGCCTGGGTGTCCCGAGGCTTGGCCCAGAGCAAGGCCATGCTAGGGTTGGCGATGTACGGCCAAACCTGGACTCTTGCTTCGACAAGCAGCACTGGGGTTGGTGCTGCCGCCACTGGCGCTGGTCAGCCTGGGTCCATCAGTCAGGTTAGTCCCTTTTTCTATTTCTCCTCTGCATCGTGCTTTCCTCCCTTGCTCATATAATCACAAACCATTTTGTGTTTCCCTACATTTCTTTCTTTCTTTCTTTCCTTGCTCTCACAATTTCAGAGTGTTTTTCATTCCTTTTTTTTTAGTCAGATGCAAGCAATCAGCTCCAAGCAGGCTCTCGTCTCATCACCCTCTTCCTTGGCCTGCATATTCCCTTCCCTCTCCACCCCTCCATCAGGAACCTGGTATCCTCTTTTACAGGGAAATCGATCAGCTGGTAACCACTGGAGGTTACACGGCTACGCTCCACACCCCAACATCCTCTATGTATGCGGTGAAGGACAACCAGTGGATTGGTTACGACGACCCTTCCACCATCACCACCAAGGTTCAGTTCGCCAAGGCGCAAGGCTATGGAGGGTGGTTCTTCTGGGCGCTGAGCCAGGATGTCAATAATGCTCTGCTCAATGCTGCAGCCGCTGCATGAGATGAACGCGGCAGTCCATGAGAAAATGGTTTTATGTTTGCTACATTGTTTCAAGTGCAGACGAGTTTGTTTGGGAGTATCGGGTGAATCTATCACTTTTTCAATCGACACGGAAAATCGAGGGTAGTTGTTTAGTGAACTGAGCCAGAATGCCAACACCGCTCTGCCCCCATGCACGATGCTAGCTCTTCTTGATGCTGTAGCCGCCGCATGAGTTGATTGAACCTCCGGTAGACAGCACGAGAAAACAATATTCCACTAATTCATCCGTTTGAAGTGTAGACAAGTTGATTGGTGGTCTGTCAGTTATTCCCAGGGCGAATCACACCGCTCTGCCCCCATACACAATGCAGCAGCAGTCCCTTCCTATCACACCACCCTCCCTCCCTCCCACCATCTTGTCCCCCGTTGCTGCGAGCTGCGCTACAATTGCCTGCATTGAGCCTGGTGGAGCAGGCAGAGCCACACATGCCACCTGCAATTGCTGAGCCACAGCATGCAATTCGCAGCAGTCCCTCCCAGTCACACCACTCTGCCGCCTGCCATCTCCTCCCCCGTTGCCGCCAGCTGCGCCCACCTGCCGCCCGCCGCCGCCCCTGCTGAGCTGGCGGAGTCTCGCAGACTGCCGTCCGCCTCGAGCTTCGCCTGCACCTGCTTCGCCATGAGGGCTAGCCCTGGGGGACACGTAGTGACACAGGCGAAGAAAGGCAGAGAAGGGCATGTTGAGACGTCTACAGGTGTTGCAGATTGAATTGGGAGTGGGAATGCCGTCCGCCTCGAGCTTCGCCTGCACCTGCTTCGCCATGGGGGCCAAACCTGAGCGACGCAGGAGAACAGGGAGACATTGGAGAGTGTAGAGTGAATGCATTGTACAGTGTTACATTGGCATTGGTTGCCGCTGAACAAGTTACAGTGGCCGCGTCCCGCCTCTCGATTCGCCTGCACCTGCTTTGCCATGAGGGCTGGCCCAGCCCTGGGTGGCACAGGAGAGCACGTGTAGAAAGGTTATTTTTGAGACGCCTCAAAAATAACCTTTCTACACGGGGCTGGCCTAGCCCTGGGTGGCACAGGAGAGCAAGGAAACAGAGTACAGCGGATTAGAACCAGGATAGGACACCCACTTGGTCATTTAACCAACTTCGAGAAATCAGTTGGACTGATGGGTTGATGCAGTGGATGGAAAGTTCTCCTGTGTTTGCATGACAAAGGCTCATCCACTCACCCACTCCAACCAGCACACCCTACGCACCCACACTCCCACTCTCCCACACTTCCACACTTCCACATACACGGAACCATCCACAACCCCACGCACCCACCCTGCACCATGCGGCTGACAGCCGTCCACCGCTTTTCTTCCCACCATGCATGATAGAAGCTCATCCGCTCATCCTCTCACCCACTCGCCCAATCACACTCAGCAAGTCACCCACATGCATACTTCCACCCCTCCATATGCACACACATACCCACATTCCTACATTCTACCCAAACTCACACTCACCCCACACCCACACCCACACTCACACCCCACACACATACCCACATTCCTACATTCTACCCACACTCACCCCACACTCACAACCTCACTCCCCTTCCCCTTTTTCCACCCAGACCCACACCCTCGGTTGCCATCCTACTCACCCTGCACCACGCGGTTGACAGCCGACCACCACTTGTCTTCCGACAGCTGTCGCCTCGTCAGCGCTGACGAGATCTCCTCGCTGCGCTGCCCGGACAGCACCGCCTGCAGCACCTGGGCGGCATCCCTTGTCTCTTCTAGCACGCCTCTCTGCAGTGGCGAGATAGAAACGGGAGAGAGAGACGAGAGACACGAGACAAGGACATCAGGAGAAGGAAATAAAGAGAAGACAGATGAGTGCTGGTTCTTGAGTGCGCTCACATATGGTACTTAGCTACAACAATTTCTTAGGATTGTGACAGAGATTCGAGAGCACACCACATGTGAGAGGACGACAATCAGCATGGAAAAAGGGGAACATGGAGGAGAATGAGGCACGGGTGAGGAGCATAGAAGAAGGAGTCAGATCCGATTGTGGCTTGCGAGGTGAATGGGTTGCTGCCAGCCCTGGTATGGAAGAGAAGCCGTACCTGAAAGGTCGTTGCTTGTGTGACAGCCACAAGTGCGTTGCTCTCTCCCTCCTCCCCCTCACTGTCGTTGCACATGGCCTGCATGCAACCAGCACAAAAACAACCCATAACAACTAGCTTTGAAGCGTTGTGTACGCTTAATAACCATGTATGCCACTTCTTCCGTTTCCCCACTTGGCTGTAACTGTAGATGGCCTGTACACAGCAAACCTAAGGGAGTGTTCTGAGGCGCCTCAAAACACGTCTCAGTTTTTGAGGCGCCTCAAAACACGTCTCAGTTTTTTTAGGCGCCTCAAAACTCGCTGTAGATAGCCTGTACACAGCAAACCTAAGGGAGTCTTAGTTCTAATATAGGGCCAATTTTCCCAGGCGCATAAACCACGGATGGTCCAATCAGGTGGAGAGACTGCACTGCACCACTGCTGACCAGCCCAGACCTGTCTCAACCGTTGTGAAACCAATTTAGAGAGACACGATGGATGGTTCAATCGGGTAGAGAGACAGCACTGCAGAATGGTCCAATCGAGTGGAGAGACGGCACTGCACCACTGAGACAATTTTGAGGCGCCTCAGACGCAGCTGCTGCAGCTGCAGCACCGGAGAGGCCGTGTGCTCGTCTGACTGACGTCCCCCCTCCCTCCCACTGCCAGCTCCCCCACTGCCAGCTCCCCCACTGCATCTGATGTAGTCCACTGTTGCTTTGCCTGTTCAACCATTGTTAATGAAACATGTGGACCAGCTGGCTTGCTGGTCCAACAAACACGTGGACCACTACAGCACCCACCTGCAAGTCTCTCTGTGAGGAAGTGAGCGTGAGAGCCAGCGCCCACAGGGCTGCTGTCGCCCACCCCACCGCAACTCTGGGACTGAGGGAATGCAACTGCAACCTACAGCACCTCTATTCCACACACCTGCAGGTCTCGCTGTGATGAAGTCAGGGTGAGAACGAGAGCCCACTGGGCGGCAGTGGCCCAGCGCCATACACCTGTAGAGGTCATGTGCAAACTGTAAGACCCACCTGCAGATCCCTCTGGGAGGATGTGAGCGTGAGAGCGAGAGCCCACTGGGCGGCAGTGGCCCACCGCCACTTAGCCGCCTCGCGCTCCATCTGCTTCTCCTGCGCCGCCGCCCGGCCGGCAAGCTCGTCTGCTAGCGTCACCTCCCCCAGCGCCACACTGCGCAGATACTTGGCGGTCTGAGGCCCCGTGCTGCGCACCATTGCTGCAAACACACTCCCTTCGTTCAACACCAGGTTGGCTGGCGTGTCGTACTCCAGGGCCTGGGGGACGGAATGAATGAGCAGAGGGGGTGAGGAGAAGAACGAGAGCAGATACTTGGCGGTCTGAGGCCCCGTGCTGCGCACCATGGCTGCAAACACGGTGTTTTCATTCAATACCAGGTGGGCGGGAGTGTCGTACTCCAGAGCATGGGGGAGGGCTTTTGACACGTCTCAACAGTCGTGTCGTACTCTAGGGCTTGGAGGAGGGAATGGAGGGATAGAATGGAGGGAGGGAATGGAGGGAGGGAATGGAGGGAGGGAATGGAGGGGAGGGAGGGAATGGAGGGAGGGAATGGAATGGGGGGAGGGAATGGAGGGGAGGGAGGGAATGGAGGGAGGGAATGGAGGGGAGGGAGGGAATGGAGGGAGGGAATGGAGGGGAGGGAGGGAATGGAGGGAGGGAATGGAGGGGAGGGAGGGAATGGAGGGGAGGGAGGGAATGGAGGGAGGGAATGGAGGGAGGGAATGGAGGGAGGGAATGGAGGGAGGGAATGGAGGGAGGGAATGGAGGGAGGGAATGGAGGGAGGGAATGGAGGGAGGGAATGGAGGGAGGGAATGGAGGGAGGGAATGGAGGGAGGGAATGGAGGGAGGGAATGGAGGGAGGGAATGGAGGGAATGGAGGGAGGGAATGGAGGGAGGGAATGGAGGGAGGGAATGGAGGGAGGGATGGAGGGAGGGAATGGAGGGAGGGAATGGAGGGAGGGAATGGAGGGAGGGAATGGAGGGAGGGAATGGAGGGAGGGAATGGAGGGAGGGAAATGGAGGGAGGGAATGGAGGGAGGGAATGGAGGGAGGGAATGGAGGGAGGGAATGGAGGGAGGGAATGGAGGGAGGGAATGGAGGGAGGGAATGGAGGGGGGAATGGAGGGAGGGAATGGAGGGAGGGAATGGAGGGAGGGAATGGAGGGAGGGAATGGAGGGAGGGAATGGAGGGAGGGAATGGAGGGAGGGAATGGAGGGAGGGAATGGAGGGGGGAATGGAGGGGGGAATGGAGGGAGGGAATGGAGGGAGGGAATGGAGGGAGGGAATGGAGGGAGGGAATGGAGGGAGGGAATGGAGGGAGGGAATGGAGGGAGGGAATGGAGGGAGGGAATGGAGGGAGGGAATGGAGGGAGGGAATGGAGGGAGGGAATGGAGGGAGGGAATGGAGGGAGGGAATGGAGGGAGGAATGGAGGGAGGGAATGGAGGGAGGGAATGGAGGGAGGGAATGGAGGGAGGGAATGGAGGGAGGGAATGGAGGGAGGGAATGGAGGGAGGGAATGGAGGGAGGGAATGGAGGGAGGGAATGGAGGGAGGGAATGGAGGGAGGGAATGGAGGGAGGGAATGGAGGGAGGGAATGGAGGGAGGGAATGGAGGGAGGGAATGGAGGGAGGGAATGGAGGGAGGGAATGGAGGGAGGGAATGGAGGGAGGGAATGGAGGGAGGGAATGGAGGGAGGGAATGGAGGGAGGGAATGGAGGGAGGGAATGGAGGGAGGGAATGGAGGGAGGGAATGGAGGGAGGGAATGGAGGGAGGGAATGGAGGGAGGGAATGGAGGGAGGGAGCTGGCAGAAACGGTGAGGTGGAGGTATGGCAGGTACTTGGCAGTCTGAGGCCCCGTGCTGCGCACCATGGCAATGGAAATGCTGGCATGCAGAATCAAATCCAATCAAATCAGCTCACCACGCCAGCGTCCATGACCAGGATTCGAATGATGGTATATGATGAGGAGTCGCTGAACACCATGCTATATGATGGTGTTCAGTCGGTGAGCGATCGTCAGCATGGTGCGCCCCTTGAACTCCTCACCATGACACAATTATGTAGATTGCCCTTTACCTAATTCCCAAGCCACAAACCCCACCCACCCACTCACCATGCCAGCGTCCATGACGAGGATCCGGTCGCTATCCATGATGGTGTTGAGGCGGTGGGCGATGGTGAGCATGGTCCGCCCCTTGAACTCCTCGCGCACCGTCCGTTGGATCAGCGCATCCGTGCCCACATCAACGGCTGCCGTCGCTTCATCCAGCACCAGAATGCGCGACTCCTTCAGCAGCGCCCGCGCCAGGCTGATCAGCTGCCGCTGCCCCACGCTGAAGTTCTCCCCGCCCTCTGCCACCTGCATGGAGGGGAGTGGCGGACGGGCAGCAGCGAAATGGGCTGACTGATCAGCTCCGCTAACAGCGCCCGAGCCGGGCTGATGAGCTGCCGCTGCCCCACACTGAAATTTTCCCCTCCCTCTGCCACCTGCAGGGGAGTAGAGTGGAGTGGAGTGGACTGGAGTGGAGTGGACTGGAGTGGAGTGGAGTGGTGTGGAGTGGAGTGGAGCGAGAGAAAGATTAGCTTGTCCGGGCGCCCTTTAGCCAATCTCAGCCCCTCTGTCAGCAACCCGTGTTGGGCCAATCAGCTGCCGCTGCCCCATGCTGAAGTTCTCTCCTCCCTCCGCCACCTCAAGGGGAAGATGAACAGGAAAATTCAATTGCTTTAGTTAACACCTCCCCCAGATAGCACCACGGTATTACCACCTCCCCCAGGTAGCACCTCGGTATTACCACCTCCCGCTACAGATATGTTTTCTTCCCTTCCTTCAACTCACCTCTGTGTCCAGCCTGAGGGGCATGGGGGATACCACCTCCCTCAGGCAACTCCTCCTCCAGATAACATCTCCATTTCTCTCTCAGCCCCATACGCCCTTCCCTTGTACTCACCTCCGTGTCCAGCCCCAGCGGCATGCGAGATACCACCTCCCTCAGGTGCGCCCTCCCCAGCGCCTCCCACACCTCACCGTCGCTGCGCTCGCTGAACGGATCCAGGTTGAACCGCAGCGTGCCTGGGGGGGGGTAAGGAGGGTGGAGGGGGCACGGAAGGGGAGCAGAGAAGGGGTGGAAGGGAGACTGTCGGAAAACAGCCTCTGCCTTCCATCTGCCTTCCTCGCGTCTTTCCCCCTTCTCTCTCCCCTCTTCTCGCTTGTCTGGCCTGAGCCACCATCTAGAAAGAGTCCGATCTCTCACCTTAAGGGTCCTCCCTGAGTGGTATGTCACCTGGCGGCTAGGACTTGAGGCAACAATAGTCTACTATGTGAAAGGTTAACAAGCGAAAAGCATTGAGGGCGTGTGTGTCAATGAATTTACCTGGCCCAGGCTCGAACTGTGCATTTCTCAATGTGCGCCTCGAGCCTGGGTTGGTTTGTTCACATTGGTTCCTTGGATTTCAGCCCTTGGTGCTCTCCTAGCAACTTCGCGGCACTCTCCCTGTTCCCCAGCTACCTACACCCCAAATGTTCATTATCAGTATTACTACACCCAGAAATACACCGCACAAAACCTGGCACCTTGTATGCACGAACGTGCATATTCGGTGACAAGACAGAGAGGGCTTAGCCTGAAAGGGGGCAGAGGGGTGGCGGTGGTGGAGGTGGGACGAGGTGAGGATGGAGGGGGGATGGAGGGGGGATGGAAGGGGGATGGAGGGGGAACAGGGAGGGATGGACTGTATCTTCCACACCAGTGACAAGCACGGGTGTTTGGGAAATGATAATGTGCACACTGCACGTGTTCGTCACTCCAAAGGTCTCCTATGTCTAAACCCCATACCCTTACCAAAAACCCCAAAAACCACATGCTCCTCTCACCAGTGAAGAGCACGGGCGTCTGAGGGACCCAAAACTTCTTCACTTTGAAAACCATGTGCTGTTCCTCTCAACAGTGCTTTACTCACCGGTGAAGAGTACGGGCGTCTGGGGGATGATCATGAGCGCACGGCGCACGTCCGTCACTCCAAACAGCTTCAGATCCTGACCGTCGATGCAGATGCGCCCGCTCTCAATCTCAGCCAATCGGAAAAGCGAGTTGAACAGCGACGACTTGCCTGCAGGAGTGACAAGCACACAAAGGGGGTGGCTTTGAGGCGGCTCAAACGCGAATCTCTCACTTAAACCAGTGCAGTGAGCGAGGCCCCTCCGCACGGGCGGCAGGTCCTACATGCATGCATGGTGTGGTGATGGCTCTCAGCTAGGCACTTAAACCAGTGCAATGAGCGAGCCCCCTTCCTCACCTGCGCCAGTCCTCCCCACCACGCCAACTTTCTCTCCCCCTTGCACCAGCGCAGAGAGCCCCCTGAGCACGGGCGGCAGGTCCGGCCGGTACCGCATCACCACGTCCTCAAATAACACCTCCCCCTTCTGCGGCCATCCGGGCGGCGGGCGGTGGCTTGGAATGATGGATGGCGCTTCGGGGGGGATATCGGCGTAACTACCAACCCGCTCCACCGCGTTGAATGAGTTCTCTGAAAAAAGAGGAAGAGGGGGGCAGGGCAGGGTAGGAGTGGGGGAGAGGGGGGTCAGTCAAAGTAACATGCTCATCATGGCTATGATTTGCTTCGAGTGTGACTGTGTAAGCACCTACCTCCATAGCGCCACGACAACAGCACCTTAGAAAGCCTTACAAGCAGGGAAGAGCAGAACAGTCAGCTTTTGAGACGTCTAAAAAGTCGTCTTGCCAGAAGGGAAGAGCAGAGCAGTCAGAGCACTGTGGTCAACATGGCATGGTCTGCTTTGAGAGTGTAAGCACCTACTTCTGAGAATTCTCAAAGGTGATTTCAATCTAGCCAGCAGAGCAGAGAAGAGCCGCCGTCAAAGAACTGTGGTCAACATGGCAGTTGCCCCTACTTCCAAAGCGCCACGCCACTAAAGCATCACTCACCAGCAACGGAGAGCAGGCGCAGCACCATGGTCATCATGGCTGTGATCTGCAGCGCATACGACAGAATAAGCCCCATGACTGGCGCCAGTGCTGCCTGGTCGCCCGCCCTCTGCACGTCCATCACTGCGAATACCGCCGTGGCTGGAACAAAAGGGTGCAATGCGGTGTGAAATTAGGTGCAGTGAGACTCATGCTTCGGAACGTGTGGCGGATGGTCAGGCAGCAGTTAGTGAGTGACTCACAGACACAAGACAATCACAGAAATAATCACTTTTGAGTCGACTCAAAAGTCGGTTAGTGAGTGACTCACAGACACAAGACAATCACAGAAATAATCACTTTTGAGTCGACTCAAAAGTCGGTTAGTGAGTGACTCACAGACACAAGACAATCACAGAAATAGTCACTGACGCAATCACTAAGGCAATTTACAGAGGCAATACCAAAGTTCATGACTTTTGAGACGTCTCAAAAGTCACTAAGGCAATTTACAGAGGCATTACCGAAGATCATGAGGCCCCCGAGAAACTCGAGGCGGATGGCGAGCCAGCGGTTGGCGCTCATGCTGACGAGGGTGAAGCGTGTGTTGCGGTCCACCGCCCGCCCGTTCATCCCCGCCATGCGCGCCGCTGCCCTGTACGCCCTTATGGTCGCCAGCCCGTTCAGTGCCTCCGCGAACTGAGAGCGGGGTGAGGGTGGGGAGGGGGATGGGTGGTTGGGAAAGCGCTGTGGGAGGGAATGCTGCCCTGTACGCCCTGATGGTTGCCAGCCCATTCAATGCCTCCACAAACTGAGAGCCGGTGGGGAATGACCGGTCCGGGAATGACGATGGAGGGTCAACTGCGCAGCGGTAGACCACAAAGAAGAGCAGCAGCAGCACGATGACCCACATGTGTGGCTTGAATTGAGTCGAGACTCGAACCTAATCCAAGACACCCTAAACCCTGTACATGGGGATAGATGTGGATGTGTTGCAAGTCGCCTCAGAGCACTCCCCAGACAGGGAGTAGACACACGCACCTGAGAGTAGACTGGGGAGCGACTTTTGAGACGTCACAAAAGCCCTGTGCCTGTACCTAGATGTGGATGTGTTGCCAGTCGCCTCTGAGCGTACCTGAGAGTAGACTGGGGAGCGTGTGACCGAGTCCCAGCGCTTGACTTCCCGTGCGGTGTTTTGAAAATAGAGGTAGACGATGTAGAAGAGCAGCAGCAGTGGCACGATGGCCCAGAGGGCGACGGTGTTGAGAACGCCGATGAGGGCGAAGGTGGAGAGCAGCTGGAATATGCCGCCCAGGCACAGCGACGTGTACTGCGCAAGGTTTTTATCGATGTCGGCTGTATCTTTAGTAAAGCGGTTAATAAGACGACCCACCTGCAGGAAGGGGAGGGGAAAGAGGGGGTGGGTGTGGGGGAGGGGGGTATGCTGTTGAGGCAGAGAGAGACGTGTACTGTGCAGGATTCGTGTCTATGTCTGCTGTATAGTTCCACACCACACCTAGGAGGTGGGGTGGAGGGAAGAGGGGAGGAGCGAAGCGAATACACAGTTCAGGCAGAGCGAAGTGTACTACTTGTGCCATTCTCTGCAGCAGCAGAACCACCACCGCCACCACCTATGCTCTTAGCAGCTCAGTTTATCAAGGGGACCAACCAAATCCCATAGCAAAGATTGCAGGGAGAGGGGCAAAAGAGGGGAAAGAGAAACGCTAGCACCAAGGCTAGCAGCAACACCAACACCGGCAACAGACCCAGCACCCGCAGCAACCCCAGCAGCCCTAGAAGCAACACCAGCACCATCAACAGCACCTGCATCAGCCCCAGCGGCAGTACCAGGCCCGACACCAGCTCCAGCACCAACGCCAGCAACAACACCAGCACCAGCAACAGCCCCAGCACCAGCAGCAACCCCAGCACCAACAGCAGCACCTGCACCAGCAGCACCTGTTGCCGGTGCTGGTGTTGTTGCTGGCATTGGTGCTGGAGCTGGTGTCAGGCCTGTTCCTGCTGCTGAGGCTGGTGCAGGTGCAATTGATTGTGCTGGTGTTGCTTCTGTGGCTGCAAGGGTTGCTGTTGGTGCTGGGGCTGTTGCCCGTGCTGGTGTTACTGCAAGCGTTGGTGCTGGAGCAGAAGTGCAATATCAGAGGAACGACTCACGGGGTTAGTGTGGAAGAAGGACATGGGGGCGCGGAGAATGGCCGCCAGCATGGCATCGTGCAGACGACGGGCCGCTCTCTGGGAGGAGAACACCTGCAAGGTGCGGGGGAGAGGAGAAAGAAGGAAGAAGCAGGTCAAGAGATGAGAGAGAGAGAGAGAGAGAGAGAGAGAGAGAGAGAGAGAGAGAGAGAGAGAGAGAGAGAGAGAGAGAGAGAGAGAGAGAGAGAGAGAGAGAGAGAGAGAGAGAGAGAGAGAGAGAGAGAGAGAGAAAAAAAAAGGCACACACAAACACAGACTGATGAAGCAGTGTCGAAGATTGTGTTTTTTTTTCAGAACATAAGTCATAAGGGTCGTCAACAAATCTCCTGCCACAAATATCAAAATTCAGTACAAGCATGGCTGGAAACCAGCAGGTGACACTTCTTCCCCGGCTGACTCATTGCTAGTACCAACCAACCAATAAGCAGTGTGAACTTACGAGGAAGTATTGATTGGCGAAGGTGAGCAGCACTTGGCCCAGCGAGATGAGTGAATACCCTGCCACGAAATACAGCGATCCATGCCCACCACTGCCACCACTTTCACCCGTCCAAATGCTGATCCATACACTTGAGAGCACCCTGGCTGCCTCCACGAGCACGTAGAGCGAGATGAGCACAGCCAGCACGCCAGACCCCCCCATGGCCCTCACATACCGCCACACCACCGCTGCGCTCACCACCCCCTGCGCCTTCTCCTCTGTTTGGACCAGGGTCGTTCCTCCCCCCGCCGCTCCACCTTTCTCCCCCTTCCCTGCTCCGCCCTTTCCCCTGCCCTCACTGCTGCTGCTGGTGGCGCTTGTGCCATTCTCTGCAGCAGCAGCAGAACCACCACCGCCGCTGCTGCTGGCTGTAGCAGCAGCAGCTGCCGCTTCAGCGCTTGTCTCACTCCCACCGGCTGGTTCTCCGCCCTGCCCCCCCACCTCCGTGTCCCCATGCTCCTCCAGTGCGCCTGCCTTCTCCAGCAGCCGCTGGAACTTGGGTGCCGACGCCTTCAGCTGCACATACGGCCCCTGCTCTGCTATGCGCCCCCCCTCCACCATCACCACCCAGTCCACCGCTGAGGGGGCAGGAGAGCGGGGAGGAGGTAGAGGATTTGAGCGGTGTGGGCCCTGGTCCCGATTCGGCTCAAAAGCAGGTCCAGGCCGTGCTCCCATTATAAATAAAGTGATGATGTAGTGACCGTCGTACACACAGGGTCTCATACATTTCACAATACGACATTATCAGTTTATTGACGGCACTCAGTGAAGGAGGGGGTACCTGGCAGGAAGTGCAGCTGGTTTGTGACCATGATGCGTGTGCGGCCGGCAAGCTCCGTCCTCACACACGTGTCGTACACCTGTGTGCATGCACACATGCCCACATGCACACATGCATAAACATGCAGCGATACAGATACAGAACACAAAACAAATGTGATAAGGCGCTTTTTGAGTCGATTAAAAAATGGAAAGGGTAGGAAACACATGAGAAAAATACAGATGCGCACCTGCTTGGCGACGTGGGCGTCGAGGGCGGAGAGCGTGTTGAAGAACCCCAAACCTCAAACCCCACGCCCAGAAACACCATGCCACACACCTGCTTGGCGACGTGGGCGTCGAGGGCAGAGAGAGGATCATCAAAGAAGTAAACATCGGCATCCGAGTAGACCGCCCGGGCGATGCTGATGCGCTGCTTCTGCCCGCCACTCACGTTCACGCCCCTCTCGCCTATCTCCGTCAGGTCGCCCCCTGGCAGCAGCTCCAGGTCTCTCTCCAGGGCGCTCACCCTCACTGCCCGCTCGTACCGCTCCTGGTCGTAGGGCAGCCCGAACAGAATGTTCTCGCGCACTGTGGCGTTGAAGATCCAGGAGACCTGCGCGCACCACGTGTGCCATGTGGCAGCGTGTGAATGGGGGAGAGGAACAAGAAAGCAGATGAAATAACGAAAGCATGAAATGGCCCATGGATCATGGGCACATGAAATGTATCAAGGCGAGAGAATGTGCACTTGCAGAGAACAGCACTGATGGCTGTTCAACATGACTGACTACAAACCTGCCCATGATAAGGGCTCCAGATGCAAGATCAAGGGTGGGTGCTACAAACCTGCGAGACATAGGCCACGCGGCCTCTGATGATTGGAGGAGAGTCCCCTGACACCATGGGCATCTCACCCAGCAGCGCACTCACCAGCGACGACTTGCCTTGCCCTGCCATGGGGTGGCATGGGTAGGCGAACACCGAACATCTGTTTTTGCTAAAAGTGTTCGCCGAACTGAACCGTGTATGTGCAGGGGCGAACACGAACACGTTCGTGTTCGCCCCTTGCTCATCCCTACTGACCAGGCCTGACCAGCCCTGACCAGCCCTGACCCGCCCTGACCCGCCCTGTTCACCCTGCATGCCATACCTGTGGCGCCCACAACAGCTACCAGCTTGCCAGGCTCCACTGATAGAGTCACATCCGTTAGTGTGCCCCCCACGTCCTTCCCCTCCCCCCCAATTCCACCCTTCTCCTTGCCTTCTCCCCCTCCTGCTCCTCCCTCTCCTCCTGCCCCTCCTCCTCCCCCAACAGCACCGTTAGCAGCAGCAGTGTTAGCAGCAGCAGTGTTAGCAGCGCCCCAGGCGAAGGAGGCATGGGAGACCTCGACTGCAGGCTTTGTGGGGTCGATGGGCGGCGCAGGGGCGTCGATGTCTGTTTCGTCTGCCAGTAGCATCTCCTGCAGGCGCGTGAGAGACACATTCACGTTCACCACCTGGGGAGGGGAGAGGGGAGGGGAGGTGGTAGGGGGCGGATGGAGTGTTGCAGGGGAAAAAGAGGCGGAGTGAAGAGACGACAGATAGGAGGTAGGGGCATCGATTCTGTCTCATCTGCCAATAGCATCTCCTGTAGGCGTGTTTTGAGGCGCCTCAAAACTAGACTTCTCGTCTACCAGTAGCATCTCCTGTAGGCGCGTGAGAGACACGTTCACGTTCACCACCTGGTAACGGGGGATAAGAGGACGGAACAATCTCCAGACACCTCAATCATCGAGCAGAAGAACCTACATTCCCCAAGGCCACATGCATGTTGGGTTAAAGCTCAAGGTCCAAACTGCGGGCCGCGCAGGGCAAGATTAGTAATCTTGCACACTTCTCGTTTTCTGTGCTGGTCTATGGCGAAAATTTGGTTACAGTATGTGCGATGCATTCTGATTGGTTGAAGCAAAACTCACTGCCAAAACATCGAGTTTTACTACTCTGCAATTTGGGACTCGAGGTCCCAAACTCATGATTCCCCCTGAAGCTCGCTGACTCAGCGAAAAAAACAAGTGTTACGGGCGAAATCAGACAAGTCACCTTCTTATGTTCCCAAACCCAACCATCAGCACCCAAGATTAGTAATCTTGTGCAATTTGGGCCTAGAGCTTTAAACACGAGGGCGGAAGGAGGAACGGCAAAGGCAAGCGAGAAGCTTGCAAGCGTAACTTGAAAGGTGTGTACCTTTTTAGACGGGTACTTTCACTATGTGAGACGTTTCATTTTTAAAGCACATAATCCAAAAACGGAGAATCCACATTTTAGGCGCATGCAAGATGAGGGAGAGTAAAAGAGAGGTTGCATCTCCTTTCTTGAGTGTAAGTGCGTTATTCAGACAGAAAGAAGGGCTAGGGGAGTGAGAGGGGGAGTGGGACTACCTAAGACGGGAGATAGGGGTGGTATTCTCAGATGCACGTACTACCAGGCATATCATTAGAATCGTTGATGCACGTAGAAAACGGCACAAGTTGGGTTATTTCGTGGACTACAACATGGCTGGGAGGACGTCCGAGTTTGGACGTGTGCTTTTGGGGCTTCAACTTCCCAAACCCCACATGTTCATAACTACTGCGCAATTTGAGGCGGCAATCAAGCTGGGTAGTAAACCTGCTGAGACAAACTGGAAGGAGGTAGCATGTGAGATTCACCACATCTTTCCACTTTTTCTTAGCAAGATTACTACCCAACTTGACCGTCGCCTCAACTCAAACTGTGCAGGGGCAACAAACATGTGGGGTTTTAAAGCCCCAAAAGCACACATCCCCAAAACTCCGACACCCTCCCAGCCATGATGTAGTTCACGAAATAAGACAACCCGTGTCGTCTTCCACGTGCATTTACGATCCTAGTCTCATAACTTCCAGGGTAGTGCGTGATCGAGAAAGCCACCGTTATCCACCCCTCTTCATGTACTCCCATTCCCATTCACACTCCCCTACCCCCTCCTCTGCTAAATGGCACACTTACACTTAAAATTGATGTTAAATATAAGTGCGTTATTAAGATTAATAAATGGTAGCCACTTAGTGCGGTACTTAGCTTCATGGTTGTTACCAAGTAAAATTGTGTTACTTAGTTATACAATTGGTACTAAATGTAAATGCTGTACTTAGCTTTACGATTGGTACTAAGTATTAGTCCCTTACTCAACCTGAAGAGGGTAGGGAAAAACAAGGGTACTCAATCACAACGAATTGAAGCAAAACACTGACCTGGGTGATGAGGTTGGGGAACATGTAGAGGGGGAAGCGCAACACAGCGAAGAGGGATATGGAGGTGAAGGCCTTGGCGGCTGTGAGCTGGTGGCCCAGCAGCGAGTAGCAGCCGAACGACACCACCGTCACCAGCACCGGCACCACACTCATCAGCAGGAAGTTGATCTGCGGAAGGATTGGGGTATGGGGAAAGGGGGGGTTGGAGGGGGGAAAGAGAGTGGAGGGGAAGGAAAGGCGAGCAGGAAGGGAAAAGAAGGGTGGGGTGGGGCTTGACCATGAGTAAAGTTCATTAGTTTTTCTACCCAAAAGTCGCTCACAGGTGAACTCTTTGGACCTTCGACACGATATACGCGAAGAAACGTAAAGGCGGGTCATAGCTGCAGCACAGGACCCACCGCCATGATGTATTGCGCCTTGGAGATTTGCCCCATCTCGTCCGCTCGGACCCGCGCCACCTTGCTCTGAAAGCTCTCCTCCCACGTGTACGATTTCACCACGTCCATGGCTGCCAATACCTCGCTCATCAGCGCCACTCGCTTGTCACTGCGCTGCAGAGAGGCCTTCACTAGTTTCTGTACCCGGTTTACAATCACCGCCTGGTGGGGTTGAGGGGGTGTGGAGGGCGGGAGGCAGGGAAATAGGGAAGCGGAAGAGAGGAGAGGGGAGGCGCTTGTCGCAGCGCTGCAGAGAGGCTTTCACCAACTTCTGCATTCAATTCACAATCCCCGCCTGGGGTTTGCGGGGGAAGAGGGCAGAGGGAGAGGAGGGGAGAGAGAAGAGGATGGAGGGGGAAGAGGAGGGGAGAGAGGAGAGGATGGGGGGGAAAGAGGAGGGGAGAGAGGAGGGGAGAAGAGGAAAGAGGAGAGGAGGAGAAGTGGAGCGGAGAGGGGGAGATGGGAGAGGCAGGGAGAGAGGAGCTGAGAGATGAGAAAGGTACGATTTCACCACGTCCATGGCTGGCTGGCAGCACCTCGTTCATCAGTGAAGAGAGGGGCAGGAGGAAGAGAGCCGAGGAGAGAGGCGCTGTAAAAGAGGCACAAGGAGTTAGAGAGACGCCTCAAAACGATTTCACTTTCACATCACTCACCTGGGCGAGGATCATGAGGAGCAGCATGAGTAGACTGAGGAGTGATGCCACCGCCAGCTGCTGGTAGAGCAGGAAGACACAGACGAGGATGCGGAAAGGAGCCAGCCACACCAGGGCGCACAGCACAATACCATACCGACAAAAGGAAGCAAAGCATCCATCATGCCCTGCTCACCTGGGCGGGGATCATGAGCAGCAGCATGAGCAGACCGAGGAGTGATGCCACCCCCAGCTGCTGGTAGAGCAGGAAGACACAGACGAGGATGCGGAGAGGAGCGGACCATAGGCCGTGTAGCTGCTGACACACCTGGGAGAGGGGAGAGAGCAGCAGGAGAATAGACGAGAGTGGTTAAAGAGGAGTGAAAGATCAAGTCGACTAGACCTAACAGATTTAATGCACTTTTTTTTCGCAAGGCAAGAATAGAGGTAGAGGCAGAAAGTTGATCGATCATACAGCCAGCCATTAGGGTGTGTCAGATCCGAAGTCGGCCTAATCCGACTGGCCGGTTTTGGCGAAAGTAACACGGTTCCGAAAGTCGCAAACAATTTCGACGAGCTCGCATAATCCGGCCACTTTTCGTAATGTTGATGGCCGTTTCAAAAAGTCGACATCAATCCGACGTGTAGTCGATTCGAATTCGGCCAAGATGTCGACTTGGCAATGCAACAGTAATCCTGCGACGTAACATATTTCCGCCAGCCACTAATATCATCGCAGCCTGTATCGCCGCGAAATCTGCGACACTGTCGCAGCAATCCGGCCAACAAACCTGACACATTTGGTAAGCGGCCAGCAAAACGGCCACCACATGTGTCAGATTTGCAAACACAGCTGTAATTTGTCGACAAAAATTCGACCAATGCGTCGACGTTCGCGAAAAGAAATTGACGACCAAATGGTCGACAAATTACCGGCCAAAACGGGTTTCGAAGGATCTGACACACCCTTAGGATCACAAAATCCTAGAATAATAGACAATCCACAAGGACTGCGAGTGCAACAACGCACCACACCGTTCCACACCACACCACACCACACATCGCACCGCTCCACAACACACCGAACCGCACTGTACCATCTGCAGGGACTCAGCGTCGTTGGTCATCATGTTGGTGATGCGCCCTGTGCTGAAGCCCTGCCTCCCACTGTGACTCAGCCGCAGGGACTTGCTGAACACCGCTCCATCCCCAACCACCCCACACCATACCACACAGCACCGCACTGCACCGTACCATCTGCAGGGACTCAGCGTCGTTGGTCATCATGTTGGTGATGCGCCCCGTGCTGAAGCCCTGTCTCCCGCTGTGACTCAGCCTCAGCGACTTGCTGAACACCGCTGCCACCTGTGCACAACAACAGCAGGGAAAGGGAAAAGCGTGTCATAAGGGAAGGGCTTTGTCACTTCTTGCTTCTTCCAACCATGTTGCCGACCCACTCACACCATGCTGCAGTGCACAGCACAGCTATACAGCATGTTACCGAACCACTCACACACCATGGCCTGCTAACATGCCATGTTACACTATCCACAGTGCACAGCACAATGAACAGCACACCACGGCTACGCTCCCATGCGTACCATGGCTTGTCGCAGCTGGAAGCCAACACGCATGACATTCTGGAAGTATTGCGCCTCACAGATGACCCCGCCCACCTGGTGGAATGATGGAACGCAAGGCAGGGAGGGGTGATGTGCGGTGCTAGGGGGTTAATGGGGGCGGTGTGATCACAGAAGCCGCTTAAGTGCGAATGCATGACTCTCTAGAAGTACTGCGCCACACAAATCACCCCACCCCACCCACCTGGTGCCGAGGGAGGAACAGGAAGGAGGAAGGTAACAGTGGCAGCCATAAGAGGAGGATGACAGTACCACCCCCAGATGTAGCCGTGGCATAGGCGTGGCATAAGAGGAGGAAGTTGATGGTGGCATAGATGTAGCCGTGCCAGGCAGTCTACACCCTGAACTTCAGCCTGGTTGCATGTTGTGCTCAAGTGCATGTTGTGCTCAAGTGCATGTTGTTCTCAAGTGCATGTTGTGCTCAAGTGCATGTTGTGCTCAAGTGCATGTTGTGCTCAAGTGCATGTTGTGCTCAAGTGCACGACATGCAACCACAACCCAGGTGTGCATGTTGTGCATGTTGTTGGGAGTGCATGTTGTTCTCAAGTGCATGTTGTTCTCAAGTGCATGTTGTTCTCAAGTGCATGTTGTTCTCAAGTGCATGTTGTTCTCAAGTGCATGTTGTGCTCAAGTGCACGACATGCAACCACAACCCAGGTGTGCATGTTGTGCATGTTGTTGGGAGTGCATGTTGTTCTCAAGTGCATGTTGTTCTCAAGTGCATGTTGTGCTCAAGTGCATGTTGTTCTCAAGTGCATGTTGTTCTCAAGTGCACGACATGCAACCACAACCCAGGTGTGCATGTTGTGCATGTTGTTGGGAGTGCATGTTGTTCTCAAGTGCATGTTGTTCTCAAGTGCATGTTGTGCTCAAGTGCATGTTGTTCTCAAGTGCATGTTGTGCTCAAGTGCATGTTGTGCTCAAGTGCATGTTGTGCTCAAGTGCATGTTGTGCTCAAGTGCACGACATGCAACCACAACCCAGGTGTGCATGTTGTGCATGTTGTTGGGAGTGCATGTTGTTCTCAAGTGCATGTTGTTCTCAAGTGCATGTTGTTCTCAAGTGCACGACATGCAACCACAACCACGACATGCTCAAGGGAGTGCCTAGACCTCATCATACCAGTCCCAGGAAGATGATGCTGGCATAGATGTAGCCGTGCCATGCAGTCTACACCCGGAACTTCAGCCTGGTTGCATGTTGTGCTCAGGTGCACGACATGCAGCCACAACCACGACATGCTCAAGGGAGTGCCTAGACCTCATCATACCAGTCCCAGGAAGATGATGCTGGCATAGATGTAGCCGTGCCACGCAGGCTCGTCTGACTGCATGGCTGACAGCAGGCGGCTGAGCATCAGCGGCCCCACGAACTGAGAGGCGTCGTTGCCGATCTGATGGGTGGAGTGGGATGGGATGGGATGGGGATGGGGATGGGGATGGGATGGGGGTGGGTTGGGGGTGGGATGGGGGTGGGCAAGCGGCGAGCACAGGGAGGGATGTGTTAGTGGCCCCACACCACGGACTGCATGGCATGGCAGACAGCACAGCAGGCGGCTGAGCATTTTTGAGACGTCTTAAAAATCATGGCAGACAGCACAGCGGGCGGCTGAGCATCAGCTTGTCCTTAAACTGAGATGCATCGTTCCCAATCTGATGGTAGTGGGGATGGGCATGATGCGTGAGCGAGCACCAGTGTGTACGAGACCCCAAAGATGTAACATGCAGCATGCAATAAATGCTGGAGCACCAGCCAGCATCATCAAAGCAAGAACATAATGATTGGAAGGAAGGAAACATGCAACTCTCCGCACACAGAGGTTTGAAAAGGCCTAGCTAGCATTCAGGTGGCAAGGGTAGAGAAGAGGGAGGCATACCTTGCAAAAACCACCCCACCAGAACCTGTTTAAGGTCGGAAGAGTAAGGGGAAGACAGGGATGGAAAGGAAGGAAGTACAGGGGTGTGAGATGTATGCTTGGTGAAACCAGTCCATCCCTGAGAAGGGTGGGGAAGGGGTTGTTGTGAGATGTATGCGTGGGAGTGGTGCAACGTGGATGTCGCACCGAGCATGAGATTCACGATGTCTTGAAACTCAATGATGTGGTGTGTGTATGGTGCATGTGTGGGCGATTATAAGGCTTGAAAGACGATGTGGAGGAGGGGTGCCGGGAGTGGTGGGGAGGGGGAAGGGGAGAGGGGGGGGAGAGGGGAAAGAAAAGGGGGGAAGAGAATGGTGGTGCGCATGTGTGGGCGACCATAACCCCATACAAAGATTCATCCGTGTTTGTTGAGTGTCCAATGAATACAGCACTCTGCAATGGCGGCACTGGCCTGTCAAACATGCTAAAAATCCACCCACAACACAAGCTCCTCTGTCCCTCCGTTCATCTGTCCACTTCTCCATCACCTTCCCCTTCACCCCTCTTTCTTCCCTCACCCCTCCTCCCACTCCTCCTGCTCCTCCCCTCCCGCCCCTCCCCTCCCTTTCCTCCCACCCTCCCACACCTCCCAAACCCTCTCACCACTCCCTTCTCCCCCCCCATCCCTCCCCTCCGACCCTTCCACCCCTCCCACACATCCTCTTCCTCCCTCACCGGCGGCCAAAGCAGGAGTGCAGGGCGCGCAGCAGCCACGGCTTCGGCCGCGCCTTTTCTTCCCTCCACTCGCGCTCAAACCTGCCCAGATGGGGGCGAGGGTCACAGAACAGAAAAAAGTACAGTGGATTCATGAACGGGAGATTGGGACCAACAGCAGTCCTGTGGACAGCAGCAGCCATTAATTGGGGCGTCCATTTTGAGGCGCCTCAAAAGTAGCCACTACTTGGACGCCCCTTAAAAGGCGCCTTGAAAGTCGTGAACAGGAGGTTGGGACCAACCAACCAGACATCAGCAGCCACTAATTGGGGCGCCCCTTCTCTTCCCTCCACTCCACGTGCGAAGGTGAGAGAAAAACCAAGTGGAGAATAGGTATGGACAAATCAGGGCAGCCATCATTCTGGCGCCACACATTGCTGCCCTCTAACTGGCAATTGCTAACCCTCATGGCCTACAGACCCATGGATAGACCCACACACCCTCACCTGCCATAGACCGTGGCAGTGCGGTCGCCGTCATTCAGCCGCCACACATCGCTGTCCTCTATCGGTCGGCGGTACCCCGTGGCCATGAGAGGCGTCATCCACCCAAACGTCAGACCTGCGTACGGAGTGAGGGAAGGAAGGGATGGGAAGGAAGGGGTGGGGAGGAAGGGGTGGGGAGGAAGGGGTGGGGAGGAAGGGGTGGGGAGGAAGGGGTGGGGAGGAAGGGGTGGGGAGGAAGGGGTGGGGAGGAAGGGGTGGGGGGAAGGGGTGGGGAAGAAAGGGTGGGGGATGGGTGAGGGTGGGTTTTAAGGAGCAAGGTAAAAGGGTCTGGAATTCTGAAAACAAGTGAGAGCTCACGGCCCAGGTTTAAGCTCAGACGCTGCAAGTGCGCTGCTTGGGTTTTACAGGATGTGAAACGTTAGGGTAGAAGAGTACAGGGTTTGGGGTTTAGAGAACAGTTGCGAGCTCATTCTTGTTGAAGCTCACTGCTCAGGTGCCTCAAATGCACTGCTTGCTTGGGGGTTGCAGAGTGTTAGGTAGAAGAAATCAGGGTTCAGGGTTCAGGTGAGGCCTCACGATTGTAATTTGTGAACTGTAAGGTAGAAGGAAGGAAGAGGGGTTCAGGGTTCAGGTGAGGCCTCACGATTGTAATTTGTGAACTGTAAGGTAGAAGGAAGAGGGGTTCAGGGTTCAGGTGAGGCCTCACGATTGTATTTTGTGAACTGTAAGGTAGAAGGAAGAGGGGTTCAGGGTTCAGGTGAAGCCTCACGATTGTAATTTGTGAACTGTAAGGTAGAAGAAATCAGGGTTCAGGGTTCAGGTGAGGCCTCACGATTGTAATTTGTGAACTGTAAGATAGAAGAAAGAGGGGTTCAGGGTTCAGGTGAGGCCTCACGATTAATGAAGCTGGTGTGGTCTTCCGGGCACACCTGCCCCTGGTTGTCTCCTCCCTCCTCCTCCGCTGCTTCTCCTTCCGCCCCACCCACAGGCCCTGCAGCCAAAGGCTCATACCCCGCACCACCACCACTCCCTCCTGCCCCTGCTGCTGCCGCTGGCAGAAGTGGCGCTGCTGCCTCTGCAGCTGCGAGGGCGGAGGAGGAGAATCCCGATGAGGCGCGCTCAAGAGGGAGCAGGTTGGGGAAGAAGAAGAGCGCGAGCAGACCCAGGAGGACCTGGGGGGAAACAGGGAGGATAGGGGGTACGACAAGGGTTGTGCAAAGTGGGTAAAAGAGGGGCATAGATGGCAGAGGAGGAGGATCCGGACGAGGCACGCTCGAAGGAGCAGGTTGGGGAAGAAGAAGAGCGCGAGCAGACCCAGGAGCACCTGGGAGGCACAAGAAAAGGGGCATAAAGGAGGGACACTGAGGGGAGTGGGCAGTCAGGGGAGAATGGGAGCAAGGGGAGAAAGGGTAGGAGGAGGAGCAAGGGGATGAGTAGGCGGGAGAATGGGAGGAGGGAGAGGTGGGTGCAGCAGGCGATATTTAGTCCACTGCAGGAGTGGTTGGAGGAGAGCATTTGCAGAGTTTTGAGACGTCTCAAAAGTTTTGAGTTTTGAGACATCACAAAACTTTAGTCCACTGCAGGAGTGGTTGGAGGAGAGCATTTGCAGAGTTTTGAGACATCACAAAACTTTAGTCCGCTGCAGGAGTGGTTGGAGAAGAGCATGTGCATGAGCTGCAGCTTGCCTGCACCGCACTGCCTTTGCTTGACAGCTAGAACAAAACCTACAGGCAAGTAAGTCTCTCTTTTTTTAAATAATTTTAAATAAGTGTAGAATTAACACTTACGTGAGCTGATGTGTATCCAAAGAAGAGCTCCACAAAGAAACTGGGAAGGGAGGAAAAGGATGCAGAAGGGGAGAACGTAGCGGGGAAAAATCAGGGATAAGTCACAGACGATAATAGAGGAGAGGAAATGAGCACAAACCACAGCAGCCATGCACCAGGCTACAGCTCACAAGCGCGCGCGTGCGCGCGCGCACACACACACACGCGCACACACACACACACATCCATTCAGTAAAATCGCCCCACTCCATTCCAACCCATCAGCACACTCACGCCTGGAAGTCCTGCTGCAGAATGAGCACGAATCTCAATTTCACCAGCTGCCCCACCCACCATCACGCAGAGAACTGCGAATCGCAGCAGCCACACGCCAATTACTCACGCCTGGAAGTCGTGTTGCAGCGATTACTAGCAACAGGATCTCTCAGTACAATCATCACACTTCAGCACTCACGCCTGCAAGTCCTGCTGGAGAATGAGCACGAATCGCAGCTTCGCCAGCTGCCCCACCATCACGTAGAGCACTGCGAATCGCAGCAGCCATGCTCCCTTCACCGCCATCCGCCTGCGCTCCCAGAAGAGCGCCGTTGCTGTGAGCGCCCAGGCGAGGAACGCGAGGATCAAGGAGCAGACCTGGGGGAGAGCATGGGATAGAGTTGAGGAAAAAAAAGTAGGCAAGAGTGAGTTTGAATCGCAGCAGCCACGCGCCCTTCACTGCCATGCGCCCTTCACTGCGCTCCCAGAGGAGCGCCACGGAGGTGAGCGCCATGGCAGTGAGCGCTATGGACGTGAGCGCCCAGGCTAAGAACGCCAGAATCACGGAGCAGACCTGACGAACTTGAAGATAGAAAAGAAGGAATCAGCGGATGCAGGCAGAGGTTCAGAATTGAAGGGTTATTAGTCTATCTTCACTGCCATGCGCCTGCCTGCCAAAAGGGTGCCCTTGCAGTGAGCATGGGATTCTGAGAGGAGTAGAGTAGGAACAACGAGCTTGGATTGCAGCAGCCATAGGCGGAAACGCGAGGAAGGAGCTAACCAAGGAGCGAACCTGCACAGGCATGAGATTTGCGCAAGAAAGAGAAAAGGCAGAGCACATGTGATGCCTCAGAGACCGTAAATCGGAAAATCCGGCCGTGAGAGAAAGGATCTCACTTTGATGTGGGCAACAAGAGCATGGCATTTCGAAGAGAGAGCGGTCAGGAGAGTAAGAAACATTAAGGTGTCCAGGCTTGCTCGTAGCGAGTTGAGAAAGAAAGAGCAGATCAGGCCGCACGCCTTACCTCGTAAGGCGGGCCAACCTCGTGAGGCAGTAGTTTTGCACCTGTAAAGACGGAGCTCGGTGAAACGCGAGCGCTCAGCAGCTTTTTGAGTCAACTCAAAAGTCACCTTGTTGTGTAAGCTGGGCCGTACCTCGTACGGCAGCAGATCCGCATCTGTAGCGAATGAGCTCAGTGACACGCGACTTTGAGTCGGCTCGTAAAACTGATGCCCTACCTCGTAAGGCGGCAGATCCGCGTCTTTAGAGAAGGAGCTCAGGGACACGCGAGCGCTCAGCTGCATCAGCGGGACCACCGCACACGTCAGCGCCAGCGCGGCAGCCGCCACGATCCCCCGCTCCCCGCGCCACCCAGGCGCAACCGCCCGCTGCTGCGCGCGCGGGGTGGTGTAGAGAACATACAGCCGCAGCACGGCTAGAAGAATCATAGCGAGGTACGCTGTACCGAGTACGACAATGTCGATGAAGCAGGGCGTGAACGCGCCTAGCTCGTTCGTGATTGACTCCCAAGATCCGTTAAACTGCGGCTTGCAGAACGAATCTATGAATTGCGGAGGCGGCGCCGGGGGCTGCGGCGGCGGCGCGGCGGACGGGCCGAGAATTGCGGAGGAGACGGTCGGAAAGGGAGAGAATGCGACGGATGAGAAAAGTTCGGCGGAATTGCCGCGCGAGGCGGCGCCGATTGCGGCCATCGCGGTGTCGTTTGCGGAGAGATTGGCGCCGGAAGTCGCGGCGGAAGTCGCGGCGGAAGACGCGGCGGTGAGGAAGGAGGCGACATTGGTGGATGGATGGAGGGTAAGCAAGGAGGAGAAACCGCCGGTGCCATCGAGGGAATCGGGAGGCGACAATGACGTTGCTGCTGACAAACCGCTGACGGTAGTTGTAATCGTTGCGGGGTGATTATTATTATCGGAGAGCCATGGGAAGAGAAGCGAGGGGTACGGATGGACGGAGGGAGTCAGAGGCGCCATTGCGCCGCGCAAAAGCTGCTTTTCTGTCCGCGAGTTCTGATTGCCGCGTCTGACCACCCCCAACCTCTCCTAACAGAATTCGTCGATTTTATCGGTTTTGCTTCTCGTCGGATCTAATCTGATTTCCAATCGCGGAAGGGATCTCTAAAATGAACACCAGGGATGTACTCCGACACTACTATAAACAGACTACCAATATCGCATACATATATTCTACCAAATTCTATCAACATTGAATGTCATGACCTTTATTCCTTGCAATAAGAGCTAGCTTACACGAAGCCATGGCGAGAAACTAGAGACACTACCAACACCAAAGCCAAACTAGTGTAGCAGGGTAGTGGTCAACAAAAAAGCTGGTTGGAGCTATGTCTGAGTGAGCACCCTAGTAACCAGTGAAAAATGTAAGCACCCCAAAATCAAACCAGAAGAATCAAACCGAGAACCAAAGCCAGAACCCAGTCCAAACCAGGCCAAGCCAAACCCATCGCGCACGACAAGATCAAGGCAACCCGCAAAATGCCCAAGCTGACTTGCCGGGCAGGGCATGCTCGGGCATGCTCCAAATCAGTCAAAAATTGTTGCTGGTGTACATACGTATACACTGTCCCACTCCAATGATACAAACAATTGTTGCTGGTATGTTTTCTATGGTTGTTGACAATGTCCCACTCCAATGTACCAAAAAAGAAGTGGGCGTTAACCGGCAAGTCAGATGCCCAACAAGTGGGCCCACAGTGATCATAAGTTGGCCATACATATACGTCCACCTGGCACTCGGCATCTCACGGGACGGCGCGTGAGGTCAGCATGTACAATAAAATGGGGACTTACCAAAGTTCCTCGAAATGAAAAACATTAAAAAGATATATTAATAATTAGATATCTGAATGACAGCTCTCGTAGCTCAGTTGGTTAGAGCGTATGGCTGTTAACCATAAGGTCGGTGGTTCAAGCCCACCCGGGAGCGTTTTGGTTCAGTTTTACTGTAACGTCTTCACTCCTTGCAATCCTAGCTCCAGTGAGTACCGTCTTTACTCCATGCTATCCTAGTTCCAGTAAGTCGTTACTCCATGCTATCCTTGTTCTGGTAGTCTATTTCCTGCTGTTGCGAACAGTGCGGCTGCTGTGAGGGATGACACGGTTTGATCAGCCCAGTCATCCAACTCTCTGCCAATCATTGTCCACCCAGCAGCATTTGTGGGACCAAAAGTGTGGCTTGGAGGGAAAGGAGGTAAGGGGGCAGGTGTGGCTGGGACAGAAAAGGGGCAGGGAAGCACGGGTGGCTGCTACATGAGGGGAGCAAGGGAGGAGCGAGAGATGTAAGCAACAACAGGAACAACAACAGGGACAGTCGCATGAGAGAAGGTATGACATGACAAGGGGCACCACGGCAGTGTGAGAGAGAAGGGTGATGATTACCATGCTGGATCAGGCTGTATGAGGCCAGTGCATTCTTTGTGAGTATTGAGCGGGGCACGCAAGCACGCACGCAAGCACGCACGCACGCACACATCCACACACACGCGCACACAAGCACAAGCCCAGCGGCATGCCCTGCCATTTAAGATGGTAACTGGCTGCAGGCTTACATTTGATGACAGACAAACCAGGCCACCCTTGCATTGGGCAATAGGGTTGGTTGCTTGTGAACCAATTGCTTCGTTCAGGATGCCATTAAAATAGAACACCTGAGACGTGACATTCATAAATAGCACCTTATAAACACAAGGACACCTATGTTATAGTCCCACTCGCATCGTCACTTGTCAGGTCATTAAAAGTTTCAACAACATGTTTCGCTAATGTCATAACAGTGTACTCAACAATAACCTGCAAACAGAATGAAAGAGAAAGAAAAATATCCAATACCGCAAGCAGTTAACAAAAGCAATAACACATATGCTTACCATATAAACGTTCATATGCACAGAATGGATATAATGGAAGTGTGCATTGCACGTACAGTACCTCCATGTATGTATCCATGGTTGGACGAGCCCCAGAAATCTTCTCGTATCCATCATACCACATGGTCCCTGGGGCCCACAGGTGCTTGAAGTCTTGCCACAGGCGAATGTCATAGAGCTGTTTCAAAGGGTCAAAGAAGCCTGGTGCATGCTCGTTGGTTGCGATGTACAGTGTGCGTCCAGGTTCAATGAACTTGGGTAGCTTCTCCAGTAGCCTGCAGGTGTGGGGTGAAGAGGAAGAAGAGAGTCCTCGGGAAAGAGTTAGGTCGGGTGGAAGTATGTTGAGATGGACAGGTAGCATCCTGCTGTGATGTCAGCATGCTCTCATAAGTAACATGAGCATGCTGTGGTAAGGCATGTGAGCATGCTGTGATAAGACATGTGAGCATGCTGTGGTAAAGCATGTGAGCATGCTGTGATAAGACATGTGACCCCAAGTTCGACTCACTACCACCCCAGGTTCAACTCTCCAAAACTCACGATGCTGCTGTGTCGTAATTTATGTGGGGCCACAGGTGCGGGTTCAGCTTGTCACCGCGTCTCGCACTAGCCCTCTTGACACACCACAGCTGCGGGTTGAGCGTGTCTCCTCACCTCACATGCGCTGCATCAAGTCCCCCCCTCCCCTCTTCCCCCCCCGGTGCATAGACCTTGACACAGCAGCAGCTAATGCGAGCAGCACTGGGCGGAACTCAACCACGTGACTCAAATCACACCTCAACTCAAGAAACGCTTGCTCTCGAACGACTCACGAGGCTGCTTGCGTGTCGTTGTCAAGGTGGGGCCACAGGCGCGGGTTCAGCTTGTCTCCGCGCCTCACATGCACGGCATCATAGTCCCCCCCTTGCATTGCCTGAGACATGGCAGCAGCTAGCGCCAGCAGCTCTGGTCGCGACTCAACCACTTGCTCATGTAGCTTGAAGGGCGACCCAGGCAGCTGAGTCAGGAGAGAAAAGCATTGTGGGTGGGGGGAGCATTGGCAAGGGCAAAGACGCCTTGTAGGAACTTTGTCACCCCCCTGCATCAACTGAGACATGGCAGCAGCCGGTGCCAGCAGCTCTGGTCGCGACTCAACCACTTGCTCATGTATCTTGAAGGGCGACCCTGGCAGCTGAAGGGGGTTGGTGGGTGGGGGAAGGACTGGTGGGTGGGGGAAGGTTGCGCGGGTGGGGGAAGGTTGCGCGGGTGGGGGGGAAGCATTGGCAGGGGTAAAAGAGGCTCTGTAAGAACTTAGTCTTCCCCACCCGCATGAACCAGAGCATGGCAGCAGCCAGTGCGAGCAGCAACCGATTGGTGTGTGCTGCTTGAGCTTGAAAGGCGTCCCTGGCAGCTGAAGGGGGTCGGCCAAGCAGTGGTGGATGGGGAAAGAATTGGTGGGCAGGAGAAGTATTGGTGGGCGGCTGAAAGGATTGGTGGGCGGTGCTGGGCGGCTGAAAGGTTTGGCGGGCGGCTGAAGGATATGTGGGCGGTTGAAAGGAGTGGTGAACGGTAGGATTGGTGGGCGGTTGAAGGAATGGTGGGCGGTTGAAAGGAGTGGTGGGCGGTTGAAAGGATTGGTGGGCGGTTGAAGGGTTGGCAGCCGGTTGAAAGGATTGGCGGGTGGGGGAAGGATTGGCAGGTTTGCAGGTGGGGGAAGCATTGGTGGGTGGCGGAGGGTCTCAAACGGGCTGAGGGGCACAGACTGGGTGGAATAGACGCAGCGACTCACCTTGCACGTGCTGTAGCCGTACGAAGTGTTACGTATAATGAGCGGTGTGACTGTATCGAGCGCCACTGTAGAAGTTTGAGCCCCTCGCCTCACCACACGCACCCCAAACGGCGCCTCCCCAGCGGCTCTCTCCTTCCGCCACGCCAGTGCATCCTCAAGAAAGCCCTGAAGGGGAGTGAACGGCACTCTGGTGGATGAATGGGAGATAAGCAGATAAGCAGATAAGCAGATAAGCGAACGGGGAAGCAGATAAGTGACGGGGAGGGGGGTAGGGAACGGATGGGAAGCGAGCGTGTGAAAGGGGAAAGGTGAGTGGGAAAGACAAGGAGTGAACGAGGGCGACGAAAGGGGTACATAGCAGGAGACAAGTGGGAATTTTTCCACGAGAAAGTGGTTGGGAAGGAATGAACTGAAGCTGGAAATATCAGGAGCGACAGAGATTCTTAAGCACCTTCAGACATCTTTCACAAAGACGTCAGGACCAATGATCGACACTAGGTGACGGGTTGATGGGGTGATGGGGGGAAGGGGAAACCACGAGGCACCGATGGTGAGGCGGCATAGATCTCAGAGGATTTATTTTCTCCACGTACTTGATCGACGAGAGATCGAAGTGTTCGTGAATAGCCTTGAACACGAATTTCCCGTTATTGTGCACTTGGTTGAGGCACACGCGCATGTCCAGCACCAGCGTCCGGTTCAGAAACCGAGCCTCCTTGATTCGGCACGACAGGCTGGTCCGGGAATGCTTCACGCCCGCACACATGTCCCGGGTTCCCGTCACAAATAAATATTTCCGGTCAGGATTGAAATATTCCCCCCGGCTGACCGGAAGCCACTCCGTCTCCCACTTGACTTTATGGCCCACGTCCAGCTGTTGGATTATGAGGGGGTCATCCAGAGAACTAATCTTGGCCGTTGCTTTCTCAAGCGCCACGAGTCCCGTCGAGTTCCGTCGTCTGCGCCGCCATTGGCGGTCCCTGTTCTGCTGTTTAGTTGCAACCTTGTCGAGAGATAAGACCGACTCCGACTCGTTCTGAGACTCCTTTTTGGGAGTCAAAGTATGGGAGGTTTGAGACTCGTGGTATCTCATCAGCTCTGCATGGCCGTTAAACGAATCCAGATTCGACGGCTCTGAGACAAGACTGTCCCGGACACTGCCATCCAACGGCTCTGGGACGAGACTGTTCTGAGTCAGAACACTGCCATCCAGCAGCGCGAGCTTCAGATTGACGGCGTGACCTCGCGACGACGACGGCGATGACGGCGACGACGGCGACGACGACGGCGACGACGGCGACGACACGATCAGCGCTGCGAAACCCTGAGACGAGACGCTCGCCTTGCGCGACGGCCGATCCAACGCACCCAAACGAATCGGTCCTTCAGAATAGTACGACGGAGAGTCTACATCGGTTCTGCCTATAACGCGAATAAATTCCGGGGAAGCTTCTAGAGGCCATTGGACTACGAGAATAACAGCTACGGCGAGCAGCAAAGCGAAAACAATCGGCGTGATTTGGGCGTGGACGAGATTGGCGGCGGAGAAAGCGGAGAGGTCGAAGAATGAAGATACAAAGCGCTGATTTGCGCCGTCAGAATGACCACTGGTTCCGCTAGTAGTAGTGTCGCGACATGGAGATAGGTTCAGGGAGATTTGCTGATGCGAATGCTGATTAGACGTCGGTGGTTGCTGCTGGGAAGCGGGAACGGCCGTGGGGACTAACAATGAGAGACATTCGGAAGAGCCGGAGGACAAGGAAGATGACGAAGAGGAGCCGTTAGTCCCCTGGGAAGATGATGGAGAGGAGCCTGCTGAATCCATGTTTGTCTGGGAATTGGAAATGTTTAAGACTGTCATCACGGAGAAGGTATTTAAGCACGACTACCCGAGTGTATTGACGGAGGAAATAAGGCGAATTTAAGAGACGTCGCAAGGATGACTTATTGGCTAATGCATCTCGCCTTCCAATGGTTTAGCCGAATCAAGATTCAGTGACAACAACGACTCACGCCTCAGAACTTAGACCGCGGACTTGACTACTACTGCCACGAGAGTGAATGTCTGCCAGAAAGTGGCTTGATTATGATAACACGAAAGTTAGGTAACGCGTGGAAAGGGAAGAAGCTTCATCTCCTCTTCACATTCCTACTCTGGTGGTCGACTATTACAACACGAAAAGCTAAGGCATCCGTCACAGATGTGCGGTGCTTGAAAGCTCAGTTGTCTGTGCAGAACCTTGAAGAATATTGGGCACCTACGATCCACTACATCACCTCTGATAAATGCGGTTCCACGGGCTGGTAGAGGACCTAATAACGCAGACTGTTGTACGTTATTGCGCTGCAGAATTTGAGGGGTCTGCGGTGCGGGCTCTGCTGATTCTGTCGTGGCTGTTACAAGGCTGCTTTTGAGGCTGCTTGGTTCGGGCAACATCGAGGCTGCTGAAACAAAACGAGCCTAAAAGCGTGGCACCTTTAGTTTGGTTTGACACATACCAGCCCAACCGAAGAACCCCAGGTATGCCGAAGCACCGACAGCGAATGAACGAACCGTTGGATTTCAGAAGCGCGAGCCGCGGAAGTCTGGCATGTCAGAACAAGATACTGACATGGTGACACCCAAGCCAATCTAGCGGCAGGTAGACCACGAGTGGCGCGTGTCGCGCAAACTTCAACTTGGGCCAATCACAACACGAGCTTTTGAAAACTAGCTCTGTGTTACAACTCGACATTAACAGGTCCATCAAAACATTATCAGATCCAACTCCAGCTCACAATAAACGTGTCTACACAGAAAGCTTATGAAGTACTAAAATATTCCCTATGCCGTCCTGTTCCGACCATGGGATTCAGCTCATGCAGCAACTGCAGCATTGAGCAGAGAATTTTTGGCATCCTGTTATAATTGGAGGCGCAGCCGCCACTGCCTCTGCACCTTGGTGGTGGGGTGGAGTGGGAAAATGCAGGCCAAGGACTAGCTATTGTTGCAAGAACCACTGTTTCTTAGGCATTCGAATTCCATATGCTTTGGAAAAACGACGTAGTCTGTTAAGAGACGTCAGGGGTGGTCAGACGCGGCCATCAGAACCCGCGATCAGAAAGCAGCCACTGCGCGGCGCAATGGCGGCTCTGACTCCCTCCGTTCTTCCCTACCCCTCGCTTCTCTTCCCCTGGCTCTCCGATAGTAGCCACCACGCAGCAATTACCACTGCCGTCGGCGGTCTGCCAGAAGCAGCGTCGTTGTCGACATTGTTGTCGCCTCCCGATTCCCACGATGGTACCAGCGGTTTCACATCTTTGCTTTCCCTCCATCCATCCACCACCAGTAATGTCACTTCCTTCCTCACCGCCGCGGCATCCGCCGCGAACTCCGGCGCCAATCTCTCCGCAACCGACACCGCGATGGTCGCGATTGACGCCGCCTCGCGCGGCAATTCCGCCGAACTTTTCTCATCCGTCGCATTCTCTCCCTTTCCGACGGTCTCTTCCGCATTTTTCGGCCCGTCCGCCGCGCCGCCGCCGCAGCCGCCGGCGCCGCCTCCGCAGTTCGTAGATTCGTTCTGCCAGCCGCAGTTCAACGGATCGTGGGCGTCAATCACGAACGAGCTCGGCGCGTTCACGCCCTGCTTCATCGACATTGTCGTACTCGGTACAGCGTACCTCGCTATGATTCTTCTAGCCGTGCTGCGGCTGCACGTTCTCTACACCACCCCGCGCGCGCAGCAGCGGGCGGTTGCGCCCGGGTGGCGCGGGGAGCGGGGGATTGTGGCGGCTGCTGCGCTGGCGCTGACCTGTGCGGTGGTCCCGCTGATGCAGCTGAGCGCTCGCGTGTCACTGAGCTCTTTCTCTACAGATGCGGATTTACCGCCTTACGAGGTAAGAGCCGCACTCCTTATATACTTGAATTCTCCAATGCATTAAACATCACAGTTTCTCACTCCAAGTCTGCTCTGTAATGCTCTTGGTCCCTGCTGAACCCTCGCTTCCGCGGTTCTTTTCTGGGAGCTGCACCCTTTGAGGCGGTGCAAGCGCACAGTTGTGAGATGCGAGGCGGTGCAAGCGCACAGTTGTGGGATGCGAGGCGGTGCAAGCACACACCCTTTCCTTTTCTTTCCAAACTTTACGCCTTTCCAAGGTTGCTGCTCCTCAACCTCCTCCTCCCTTGCGTGGAACCTCACACCACATCAGCTGCTCACTTGTGGGAGAGAAGGCACACGGCAGTGGAGGGGGCGTGTGGCTACTCTAATCCCCTCTAATCATCCCATCCCCTCCCAGGTGTGCTCCTTGATCCTGGCATTTTTAGCCTGGGGCTCACCGCCATAGCACTCTTCTGGGAGCGCAGGCGCATGGCAGTGAAAGGCGCATGGCTGCTGCGAGTTCAAGCTCGCCGTATCCGTTTTTTGTTCCCCTCAATCCTATCCCATGCTCTCCCCCAGGTCTGCTCCTTGATCCTGGCCTTTTTAGCCTGGGCGCTCACAGCAACGGCGCTCTTCTGGGAGCGCAGGCGCATGGCGGTGAAGGGCGCATGGCTGCTGCGATTTGCAGTGCTCTACGTGATGGTGGGGCAGCTGGCGAAGCTGCGATTCGTGCTCATTCTGCAGCAGGACTTCCAGGCGTGAGTGCTGAAGTGTGATGATTGTACCGAGCGATCCTGTTGCTAGTAATTGGGCGCGTGGCTGCTGCGATTTGCAGTGCTCTACGTGATGGTGGGGCAGCTGGCGAAGCTGCGATTCGTGCTCATTCTGCAGCAGGACTTCCAGGCGTGAGTGCTGAAGTGTGATGATTGTACCGAGCGATCCTGTTGCTAGTAATTGGGCGCGTGGCTGCTGCGATTTGCAGTGCTCTACGTGATGGTGGGGCAGCTGGCGAAGCTGCGATTCGTGCTCATTCTGCAGCAGGACTTCCAGGCGTGAGTGCTGAAGTGTGATGATTGTACCGAGCGATCCTGTTGCTAGTAATTGGGCGCGTGGCTGCTGCGATCTGCAGTGCTCTACGTGATGGTGGGGCAGCTGGCGAAGCTGCGATTCGTGCTCATTCTGCAGCAGGACTTCCAGGCGTGAGTGCTGAAGTGTGATGATTGTACCGAGCGATCCTGTTGCTAGTAATTGGGCGCGTGGCTGCTGCGATTTGCAGTGCTCTACGTGATGGTGGGGCAGCTGGCGAAGCTGCGATTCGTGCTCATTCTGCAGCAGGACTTCCAGGCGTGAGTGCTGAAGTGTGATGATTGTACCGAGCGATCCTGTTGCTAGTAATTGGGCGCGTGGCTGCTGCGATTTGCAGTGCTCTACGTGATGGTGGGGCAGCTGGCGAAGCTGCGATTCGTGCTCATTCTGCAGCAGGACTTCCAGGCGTGAGTGCTGAAGTGTGATGATTGTACCGAGCGATCCTGTTGCTAGTAATTGGGCGCGTGGCTGCTGCGATTTGCAGTGCTCTACGTGATGGTGGGGCAGCTGGCGAAGCTGCGATTCGTGCTCATTCTGCAGCAGGACTTCCAGGCGTGAGTGCTGAAGTGTAATGATTGTACCGAGCGATCCTGTTGCTAGTAATTGGGCGCGTGGCTGCTGCGATTTGCAGTGCTCTACGTGATGGTGGGGCAGCTGGCGAAGCTGCGATTCGTGCTCATTCTGCAGCAGGACTTCCAGGCGTGAGTGCTGAAGTGTGATGATTGTACCGAGCGATCCTGTTGCTAGTAATTGGGCGCGTGGCTGCTGCGATTTGCAGTGCTCTACGTGATGGTGGGGCAGCTGGCGAAGCTGCGATTCGTGCTCATTCTGCAGCAGGACTTCCAGGCGTGAGTGCTGAAGTGTGATGATTGTACCGAGCGATCCTGTTGCTAGTAATTGGGCGCGTGGCTGCTGCGATTTGCAGTGCTCATTCTGCAGCAGGACTTCCAGGCGTGAGTGCGCTGGATGGGATGGAATGGAGTGGGGCGATTGAACTGCATGGTTGTGTGCTTGTAGGCTTTAGCCTGGTGCATGGCTGCTGTGGTCACTTTTGAGAAATCTCAAACGTGACTCCCAAATGGTGCATGGCTGGTGTGGTTCGTGCTCATTTCCTCCCCTCCACAATTATTTTGTTTGTGCTCCTTCTTTTTTGTGACTGATCCTGATTTTCCCCCTTTGCGTTCTCCCCTTCTGCATCGTTTCTTTCCTTCCTTCCCAGTTTCTTTGTGGAGCTTTTCTTTGGCTACACATCAGCTCACGTAAGTGTTAACTCTAACACTTATTAGATGACATCATAAATAGAACGACTTACTGCCTCTAGGCTTCGTTCTAGCTGTCAAGCAAACGTAGTGCAGCCAAGCTGCAGCCACTCCTGCAGTGGACTAAATTTCCTCCAAATTTCGCCTGCTCCACCCACCCCTCCCACCCTCCTCCCAGCCCCCCCCTTGCCCATCCCCCTTGCTCCTCCTCCCACCCTCCCATTCTCCCCTGGCTGCTCACTCCCCTCCGTGTCCCCCCTTTATGCCCCTTTTCTTGCCCCACCCAGGTCCTCCTGGGTCAGCTTGCGCTCTTCTTCTTCCCCAGCCTGCTGTGTGAAGAAGGGTTTAGAGACGTCTCACAACCTGCTCCCTCTTGAGCGTGCCTCGTCCGGATCCTCCTCCTCTGCCATCTATGCCCCTCTTTTACCCACTTTGCACAACCCTTGTCGTGCCCCCTCTCCTCCTTCTTTCCCCGCAGGTCCTCCTGGGTCAGCTTGCGCTCTTCTTCTTCCCCAACCTGCTCCTGCTCCCTCTTGAGCACCCTTCTCCAGGCCTCTCCTCCCCCGCCCTTTCTCCCTCCCTTATACCCACTCTTCTGTACCTCCCCTCTTCCCATTTCGTCCCCCTTGATTGCATCCCCCAGGTGCTCCTGGGTCTGCTAGCGCTCTTCTTCTTCCCCAGCCTGCTCCCTCTTGAATACCCTTCTCCAGGCCTCTCCTCCTCTGCCCTCTCTCCCCTGATTGTATTGTACCCCCCTGTAATCCCCTACCCCCTTGTGCCCCCCTACACCCGCCTGTACCCCCCTATCCCCATTGTAACCCCAGGTGCTCCTAGGCCTGCTCGCGCTCTTCTTCTTCCCCGGCCTGCTCCCTCTTGAGCACCCGTCGCCAGGCCTCTCCTCCTCTGCCCTTGCAGCCGCAGAGGCAGAGGCAGCACCGCTCTTGCCACCTGCAACAGCAGCAGCAGCAGCAGCAGCAGCAGCAGCAGCAGCAGCAGCAGCAGCAGGGGCAGCAGCAGCAGGGGCAGGAGGGGCAGGAGCAGGGGCAGCAGGGAGTGGTGGTGGTGCGGGGTATGAGCCTTTGGCTGCAGGGCCTGTGGGTGGGGCGGAAGGAGAAGCAGCGGAGGAGGAGGGAGGAGACAACCAGGGGCAGGTGTGCCCGGAAGACCACACCAGCTTCATCAACCGTACTGTTAGCTCTCACCTGTTTCCTAAACCCCTTCTGAGGCGCCTCAAAGGAGGCCTCACAAGGCGCCTCAAAATTTTTGAGGCGCCTCAAAAGACCACACCAGCTTCATTAACCGTACTGTTAGCTCTCACCTGTTTCTTAAACCCCAGCGCCCATACCCTTTTGCCTTACACCTTAAATCCCAAACAGTGCGCTTGTGGCACCTCAGCTAAAACCCTAGTTTCGTCAGCGGTGACCTCTGATCTGATCCCTAGACCCAAACCTCTGATCTGATCCCTAGACCCAAACCTCTGATCTGATCCCTAGACCCAAACCTCTGATCTGATCCCTAGACCCAAACCTCTGATCTGATCCCTAGACCCAAACCTCTGATCTGATCCCTAGACCCAAACCTCTGATCTGATCCCTAGACCCAAACCTCTGATCTGATCCCTAGACCCAAACCTCTGATCTGATCCCTAGACCCAAACCTCTGATCTGATCCCTAGACCCAAACCTCTGATCTGATCCCTAGACCCAAACCTCTGATCTGATCCCTAGACCCAAACCTCTGATCTGATCCCTAGACCCAAACCTCTGATCTGATCCCTAGACCCAAACCTCTGATCTGATCCCTAGACCCAAACCTCTGATCTGATCCCTAGACCCAAACCTCTGATCTGATCCCTAGACCCAAACCTCTGATCTGATCCCTAGACCCAAACCTCTGATCTGATCCCTAGACCCAAACCTCTGATCTGACCCCTAGACCCAAACCTCTGATCTGACCCCTAGACCCAAACCTCTGATCTGACCCCTAGACCCAAACCTCTGATCTGACCCCTAGACCCAAACCTCTGATCTGATCCCTAGACCCAAACCTCTGATCTGATCCCTAGACCCAAACCTCTGATCTGATCCCTAGACCCAAACCTCTGATCTGATCCCTAGACCCAAACCTCTGATCTGATCCCTAGACCCAAACCTCTGATCTGATCCCTAGACCCAAACCTCTGATCTGATCCCTAGACCCAAACCTCTGATCTGATCCCTAGACCCAAACCTCTGATCTGATCCCTAGACCCAAACCTCTGATCTGATCCCTAGACCCAAACCTCTGATCTGATCCCTAGACCCAAACCTCTGATCTGACCCCTAGACCCAAACCTCTGATCTGATCCCTAGACCCAAACCTCTGATTTGATCCCTAGACCCAAACCTCTGATCTGATCCCTAGACCCAAACCTCTGATCTGATCCCTAGACCCAAACCTCTGATCTGACCCCTAGACCCAAACCTCTGATCTGATCCCTAGACCCAAACCTCTGATCTGATCCCTAGACCCAAACCTCTGATCTGATCCCTAGACCCAAACCTCTGATCTGATCCCTAGACCCAAACCTCTGATCTGATCCCTAGACCCAAACCTCTGATCTGATCCCTAGACCCAAACCTCTGATCTGATCCCTAGACCCAAACCTCTGATCTGATCCCTAGACCCAAACCTCTGATCTGATCCCTAGACCCAAACCTCTGATCTGATCCCTAGACCCAAACCTCTGATCTGATCCCTAGACCCAAACCTCTGATCTGATCCCTAGACCCAAACCTCACATTCGTTTACGTTACATGTTAAACCTGAAGAGGGTGCTGTTGAGCTATACTAAGTGGGTGATGTTTGGGAGCGATTTTTGGTGATGTTTGGGAGCGATTTTTGAGAATTCTCAACTCAAAGAGGGTGATGTTTGGGGGGATTGGACGGACCTCTCATGGCCACGGGGTGGGTACCACGTTTTGGGATGTCTCAACTCCCCCCTCCCCCGCTCCTCCCTGTCCCCCCCTCCTCCCCCCAGGTTTGACGTTTGGGTGGATGACGCCTCTCACGGCTACGGGTTACCGCATTTTCGGATGTTTCAAACCCACCTTCACCCGTCCCGCACTCCTTCCCCCCCACCCATTCCCCCCGGCCTTCCTTGGGCAGGTCTGACGTTTGGGTGGATGACGCCTCTCATGGCTACGGGTTTCCGTCGCCCGTTGGAGGACAGCGACGTGTGGCGGCTCAACGATGGCGACCGCACCGCCACGGTGTATGGCAGGTGTGCGTGTGTGTGTGTGTGTGCGTGTGTGTGTGTGTGTGTGTGTGTGTGTGTGTGTGTGTGTGTGTATTTGTGGGTCTATGAGTCCATGAGTCTATGGGTCTATGGGTGTGTGGGGCATGAGTGTGACAAATTGCCCGTTGAAGCACAGCGATTTGTGGCGACCGCACTGCCACGGTCTATGGCAGTGAGTGCGTGTATGTGTGTGTGTGAGTGTGCGACCTGTCTCTGACACAAGACACATGCATGGCGCACCCACCAAACATTGTTCATTTGAGGCAGCAAAGTGTGTGTGTGAGCGATGCCATCGCTCAGCCCAGCCCAGCCCAGCCCAGCCCAGCCCAGTTTAGCTCAGCCCAGCAACGATGTGTTGCGGCTGAGCTGGGCGATGCGATGCAAGGGAAATGGAGAGCTGCGTGGAGAGGTGAGTCAATTAGATTCGCCTGAAGCAGCTCAGAGAGGGTGTGAGCGATACCATCGCTCAGCCCAGCCCAGCTCAGCTCATCTCAGCTCAGCTCAGCAGCGATGTGCCCAGCGATGTGTGGCTGCTGCTGTCCTGGTTGGTCATTCCTTGCCTGCCAACCCTCTTACGACATCTCTCCTCCCTACCCTCTCTTGCTCCGTGACTCTCGCCCCCCACCTGGGCAGGTTTGAGCGCGTGTGGAGGGAAGAGAAGAGGCGCCCCAAGCCGTGGCTGCTGCGCGCCCTGCACTCCTGCTTTGGCCGCAGGTGGGGGGAGAGGATGTGTGGGAGGGGTGGGATGGAGGGAGGGAGGGGAGGGATGGGATGGAGGGAGGGAGGGGAGGGATGGGAGGGGGGGAGGGATGGGGAGGATTGGAGGGAGGGAGGGAGGGGAGGGACGGGAGGAATGGGAGGATTGGGAGGATAGGCGAAGGGGGGAAGCAGGAGGTGGGGGGGATGTGGATGAATGAAGGGAGGAACAGACAGACGGTGGGACTTTGTGTGTGTGCACTTTGTCAAGTCAGCATGCATGGTAGGTAGGAAGCCCACTGCTGCCAGTGCAGAGGGCAGCAGTGGAACCATGTGTAGAAGTAGATAGATCTACCTATTTATTGGTTTCTTCTAGTTCACATTTGAGATTAGAATATATGTATACAAATATGTATATAATAATACTAATAAGAAAGAATCATGCGGCCGTGGGTTCGTCAGATGAATTTGTCTAATGGGTTGTGGTCGTCCGCATTCTTCCCCTTCCCCCCCTCCCCTTCAACATTATCGGCCAATTTTTCTGCTCGTTTACGCATGCTGCATGCACCATACCGTACAAAAATGCCATCGGGCTTTGATTCGTTTCAAAACTTGTGGTGGCCTACACATGCACCACCGTGACCACACACATTTACCACCTCACAACCCCTTCATGGGGCTTTGATTTGTTTGTTTCAATGCTTGTGGTCGCCTACACATGCACCACACGTATACCATCTCACAACCCCTTCCCCACCCCCACCCCCTTGTTCTGCCTTCCTGTCCCTTTGTTCTTCCCTATTCTTAATTGACCTTTCATCACTAACAGGTTCTGGTGGGGTGGTTTCTGCAAGGTATGCTTTCCTCTTCCCACTTTGACTGCTAGTTAGGCCTTTCAACCTGCGTGGAAAGGGAGAGTTGCGTGCTACATGCTGACCAGTACACTCTCATCTCATGCCTGCCCCAGTTGTTTCGTCTCAAGTTTTGAGACATCTCGAAACTCAACCTGCATGGAAACGGAGAATTGCATTCTACTCTACTTGCTGACCATTGCACTCTCATCTCATGCCTGTCCGGAATTGGTTCATGTCAAGAACACCACCCGCCCTGCCTGTGTGGGTGCTCCAGCATGTACCTTATGCCGATCATTCCACCGTCCACTACATGCCAGCTTGTGTCATTCGTTCCATCATCCATGCCATCACATCCCATGCCTTTGCAATCCCTGCATCCTCCCCCTTTGCTCCCATCCCCATTCACATCGCACCACCACATCAGATCGGCAACGACGCGTCTCAGTTTGTGGGACCACTGATGCTCAGCCGCCTGCTATCAGCCATGCAGTCAGACGAGCCTGCGTGGCACGGCTACATCTATGCCAGCATCATCTTCCTGGGACTGGTATGATGAGGTCTAGGCACTCCCTTTTAACCTGGGTTGTGGCTGCATGTCGTGCACTTGAGCACAACATGCAACCAGGCTGAAGTTCAGGGTTTAGACTGCCTGGCACGGCTACATCTATGCCACCATCAACTTCCTGGGACTGGTATGATGGGGCCTAGGCACACACTATATGGAGGATTGGGGTTTAGGCATCACGGGTCAGCCATGCAGTCAGGCGAGCCTGCATGGCACGGCTACACTACATCTATGCCACCATCATCTCATTCCTGGGGCTGGTATGATGAGCCCCTGTTAACCACTGTTAACCCTGCATCACCGCACACCACCCTTCTCCTGCACCCCCTGGGTACCAGATGGGCGGGGTGATCTGTGAGGTGCTACTTCCAGAATGTCATGCGCACTCAGGAGGCTTCTGTGATCACTTCACCCCCGTTAACCCCCTAGCACCGCACATCACCCCTCCCTGCCTTGCGTTCCATCATTCCACCAGGTGGGCGGGGTCATCTGTGAGGCGCAGTACTTCCAGAATGTCATGCGCGTCGGCTTCCAGCTGCGACAAGCCATGGTACGCTGGGAGTGTGCTGTGCGGTGCACTGCGGTGCTCTGTGGTGCACTGCGGTGCTCTGTGGTGCACTGTGGTGCGGGGTGCGATGATGTTGGTTGGCAGGCCACGGGTGGTTGATCGGCAGCGTGCTGTGCTGTGCACTGAGGGGGAGGGTGCACTGTGGGGGGTGCACTGTGGGGGGTGCACTGTGGGGGGTGCACTGTGGGGGGTGTATGATAAAACGTAAAGAGGAACCGATAGTTTGATTAGGAAGAGCATGGGTTTACATAGTTGAGCCAGGATGTAGGAGCCATGCCAACATTATTGGCCCCCACCAATAAGTTGGGTTGAGGAATTATTGGGGGGACCAATAATGTTGACCAAAAGTGGGTCAACATTATTGGGGGGGCCAATAATGTTGACCAAAAGTGGGTCAACATTATTGGGGGGGCCAATAATCTCCCAACCCAACCTTGGGGGCCCAATAATTGGGCCAAGGTTGGGTTCCAACCTCAAACTAGGGTAAACCCTAGTTGTGCACCCAAACTAAGTTTGGGTGCCTAGCTCTAACCAAAGTTTATATGACGATGCAGGTTACAACGAAGATGATAATCTGACAGGGTGCACTGTGGGGGGGTGCACTGTGGGGGGGTGCACTGGGGGCGGGTGCACTAGGGGAAGGTGTACTTTGGGGGGGTGCACTGTGGGGGGTTGCACTGTGGGGGGTTGCACTGTGGGGGGTTGCACTGTGGGGGGTTGCACTGTGGGGGGTTGCACTGTGGGGGTTGCACTGTGGGGGGTTGCACTGTGGGGGGTTGCACTGTGGGGGGTTGCACTGTGGGGGGTGCACTGTTGGGGGGTTGCACACTTATTTTCCTTGCCTTCTATCCCGATCCCGTCCCGTCCACGTCCAATGTCCTCCAATCAGTCCGCTAATCGAGTCAAATACACACGGACGAGAACGACGGGGTGATAATAGTTCTGCGAGTTTTTCGTCCCCATTGTCTCCCCATCTCAAAAACCGTCCCCACTGTCTCCCCATCCCAGCCTCCTCTTCCTCGAGAAGTTGTCGTAAATCTAGTCCACCCCCCCCCCCGATATATTCCTCCTCCTATCATGCCATCCCTGTCCGGCCGTCCCATGCACAGGTAGCAGCAGTGTTCAGGAAGTCCCTGCTTGCCAAGTGTATGAACAAGACTGAATGTAACCTTCCCCTCCCTCTCATCTACAGGTGGCAGCGGTGTTCAGCAAGTCGCTGCGGCTGAGTCACAGTGGAAGGCAGGGCTTCAGCACGGGGCGCATCACCAACATGATGACCAACGACGCTGAGTCCCTGCAGATGGTACGGTGCAATGTGATGCGAGTGCGGTGTGGTGTGGTGCGGTGCAGTGTGGGGTGGGGCGGCGTGGTGCAGTGTGGTACTCGCGCGGTTTTTGTGACACTGTTTTAGTTTGTGGCGCTAGCAGCAATACAATGAACCAACAACTTTGGCTCTACTTGGTCTGTCAAAAGTGCGTAATACTGTTGAATTGCTCTCTCACTCCTCCATGATCACCCTCTCCCTTTCTCCTGCTGCTCTCCCCTCTCCCAGGTGTGTCAGCAGCTGCACGGCCTCTGGTCGGCGCCTCTCCGCATCCTCGTCTGCATCTTCCTGCTCTACCAGCAGCTGGGGGTGGCGTCTCTGCTCGGTCTGCTCATGCTGCTCCTCATGATCCTCGCCCAGGTGACTGAAACCCAGCGGTTGTGACTGATGGGTCGCTTTTTGACACGTCTCAGAAACTATCATCTGGGGATGGCATCGCTGCTCAGCTTGCTCATGCTGATGACCCCCGCCCAGGTGAGTGAGACCTGGTGGTGGATGGCTTGCTCCTTTTATTGGCATGGTAGTGTGTGCTCTGGTAGGGCCGGTCTCTCTCCGCATCCTCGTCTGCATCTTCCTGCTCTACCAGCAGTTAGGGTTGGCATCGCTGCCTGGCCTGCTCATGTTGCTCCTCATGATCCCCGCCAAGGCGATTGAGACCTGGTTTGCTTCCTTTTAATGGTATGGTACAGTGTGCAAGAAATTCAGATTGAAGTGGTGCATTTGTAATGAGCTCAAGGCTCTACATTCGAAATGAACAAGGAATAGATGGGGCGAGCATCGGAGGCAATAACAAGAAGTCAGCTTAAATCTCCTATTGGTGGGTCTGGTTGGGATGTTGGTGTACACCCAACCAACATAGAGTACAAACTACCTTAATCTGTGATATAAAAACTGCAAGTGCAAAAGTTGAGATTGAGCGCTAACACTAACATAGTGTACTCAGGTAGTGTCGGCCTCTCAGGTAACCTCATTTGCATCCGCTTGCTTTCCCATCCGCTTGCTTTCCCATCAACTGAGCTGAAAAAGGCCTCTTTCCCTGTGCCTCTCTTCCCCTGCGTACTTTGTCAAAATCCTAGCCACAACACCACTGGGATAAAAGGGCTTGTTAAGTAGCGGGTGAATGCGTCGATAACTCACCAGACAAACGTGTCTGTAACCCTTATCCTTGATCAACCGGGCATCCTCAGTGTGGGTCTTCTGACCACCCCTCTTTACAAGGATGTCCTAAGTCATGGCACAGTGGCACTGTAAGCATGTGCGCATATGGGGATTCCAATATCAAGACCTTTGCTCTAATATTGTGTCAGAATCACAGCAACTAGACCACTGAGTCTAAATTGCTTGTTAAGTAGCGGGCGAGTGCTTCCATAAACAACCAAACAAACGTGTCTGTAACCCTTTCTCTAGGATCAATCTGGCATCCCCAGTGCAGGTCTTCTGACATACTTCTCTTCTCTTCACTCCGAGGCTCTCATCCTGCATTTAACCTCCTCTCTCCTCTCCTCTCTTCCCTCCTCCTTCCCCCCGACCCTCCCCTCTCCCTGCCTCCCTCCCTCTCCCCCCTAACCCTCTCTCCTCCCCACCACCAGGCAGTGATAGTAAACCGAGTGCAGAAGCTGGTGAAGGCATCACTGCAGCGCAGCGACAAGCGAGTGGCGCTGATGAGCGAGGTGCTGGCAGCCATGGACGTCGTCAAGTTGTACACGTGGGAGGAGAGCTTTCAGAGCAAGGTGGCACGTGTCCGAGCGGACGAGATGGGGCAAATTTCCAAGGCGCAATACATCATGGCGGTGAGTTGTGTGCGGTGTGATGAGGTGGAGAGGGTGAGATGGGACAGATGGCGCAATGCATCATGGTGGTAGGTTTTGTGCAGTATGACAAGGTGGAGTGGACGAGATGGGGTAGGTCGTGTGCAGTATGACAAGGTAGAGTGGAGAGATGGGGTAGGTTGTGTGCGGTATGAAGGCGCAGTTCACCATAACAGTAGGTCCTGTGGTTCTGCGCACGCACAGTGTTAAGTGTGTTGTGCAACAAATATGTCTTAGTGGATAGTTTCTCACATTTGGTATTTGAAGTCATGGGTTCAACTCTCCGCAACTGCACTGTCCATTCTCATTATGGTCACTATGACATGTCCACACTCCACCACACTCACCCACAATGCAGCTGAGTGTGGTGGAGTGTGGACATGTCATGATGAACATAATGAGAACGGAAAGTGCTGCTGATGAGAGTTGAACTCACAACCTCTAAGACCAAATGTGAGAAACTACCCACTTGGACATACTTGCTGGTGCTGGTGACGGTGGTGCTGGTGATACTGGTGTCACTGATTTGTGAGTGGAGACGCAAACCTCCCCCTCATTCCTCTCTCTCCGCCCCTCACCAGATCAACTTTCTGCTGATGAGTGTGTTGCCGGTGCTGGTGACAGTGGTGTCATTCGGCTGCTATTCGCTGCTGGGCCACCAGCTCACAGCCGCCAAGGCCTTCACCTCTATCTCCCTCTTTGCTGTGCTGCACTACCCCCTCCACATGTTCCCCAGCCTCATCACCCAAGTAAGTGCTCAACTCATTGCTATGCGAGTCTCTGGTCCCCCCCCCCCCTCCACATGTTCCCCAGCCTCATTACCCAAGTGAGTCCCCAGCCTCATTACCCAGGTCAGTGTTTTTTGAGTCGACTCAAAAGTCACCCTTCACCTTCACCTCCATCTCCCTCTTCGCTGTGCTGCACTATCCTCTCCACATGTTCCCCAGCCTAATTACCCAGGTCAGTGTTCCCACCTCTTATTAGTGCACACTTCTGTGGTGGGTACTGTCTTGTCTGGTCCCCAATCTCATCACCCCCAGAGTAGTGTTTAGCGTCTTATTAGTGCATCTTATTCTTATTGAAATGGCTTTTGAGGCGCCTAAACAAAAAATGCGGGTAGAGAGACGACTTTTGAGGCGCCTCAAAAAACAAAAAATGCGGGTAGAGAGACGACTTTTGAGGCGCCTCAAAGGTTAGCGTGTCCCCGATCTTGAGGTGTCTCAAAGGTTAGGTGCATGTTCTTCTTATTAGGTACCCTTGTTGCCGTGTCCCCGATCTTGTTTTAGGAGATGCGCCTGCCCTCTCTCACTCGCCTGCAGGAGATGCTGTTGGGACATGAGACGGCGCCCCTTCCCCCCTATCGTTCATCTCTTCACTCCCCCTCTTTTTCCCCTGCAACAATCTCTGCAACACTCTCCAACACACCAGGTGGTGAACATGAACGTGTCTCTCACACGCCTGCAGGAGATGTTGCTGGCACACGAGACAGACATCGACGCCCCTTCCCCCAACATCTCCCCCAACATCTCCCCCGACGCCCCTAACAAGATGCGTCCTTCTAGTTTTGAGGCGCCTCAAAACAAGATGCGTCCTTCTTTTCTTCATTTGTGACTTTTCAGAATTCTCAAAAGTGACTTCAACGAGACAGACATCGACGCCGCCCCTTCCCCCTCTCTGCAGGAGATGCTTCTGGCAGATATTGTCAGCATTGACAGCCATGCTCCCGCCACTTATCCTCTTCATCCGTCCTCCAACCCCCATCTACCCTTCTGTTACACCCTTCCTCCAGGTGGTGAATGTGAACGTGTCTCTGACTCGCCTGCAGGAGACACCATTGCTCCCTCCTCTTATCCTCCTCTTCATCCCCCAACTCCCCAACCTCCTCCAACCAAACCCCATCTACCCTTCTGTTACGCCCTTCCTCCAGGTGGTGAACGTGAACGTATCTCTGACTCGCCTGCAGGAGATGCCCCTGCTCTCCCTTATCCTTTCTGTTCCCCCCTTCACTTCTGGCCGCCTTTTTGCACCTCTCCAGGTGGTGAACGTGAACGCGTCTCTAAATCTGAGTCTCTTTTGAGAATTTTCATAAGTGATTGTGAACGTGTCTCTCACCCGACTGCAGGAGATGCTACTGGCAGGCGAAACAGACATTGACGCCCCTGCCCCCTGTCGCTCATCTCTTCTCTCCCCATACTTATCTCCTGCAACACTCTCTGCAACACTCGAATCCGCCAGGTGGTGAATGTGAGAGTATCTCTCACCCGACTGCAGGAGATGCTACTGGCAGGCGAAACAGACATTGACGCCCCTGCACCGCCCATCGACCCTACCAAGCCTGCAGTCGAGGTCTCCCATGCCTCCTTTGCTTGGGGCGCTGCTAACACTGCTGCTGCTAACACTGCTGCTAAGGAGGAGGGTGAAGTGGGAGGGGAGGGGAAGGAGAAGGACGTGGGGGGCACTCTAACGGATGTGACTCTATCAGTGGAGCCTGGGAAGCTGGTGGCTGTTGTGGGCGCCACAGGTACGGCATGCAGGGTGAACCGGCCGCCATGGGTTGGCATGTGGGGTGGTCAGTGCGGTTCAGTCAGGACGCCATTTGTACTGTGGGCGAATAAGGACGAGCCAGTGTTGTGTGTGGGCGCCAGAGCAGGTGAGTGCAGGGTCAGAACGAACCAGGGCGGTCAGGACGGGTCAGGTCGGGTCAGGTCGGGTCAGGACGGGTCAGGTCGGGTCAGGGCGGGTCAGGTCGGGTCAGGTCGGGTCAGGACGGGTCAGGTCGGGTCAGGACGGGTCAGGTCGGGTCAGGTCGGGTCAGGTCGGGTCAGGTCGGGTCAGGGCGGGTCAGGGCGGGTCAGGGCGGGTCAGGGGGGTTTCAGGGGGTGAGAGGGTGAGGGCACTTGAAGGCCTGCCCTGACCCTCTGACCCTCTGACCCTCTGACCCCCTGACCCTCATTGCCTCATAAAGAGCTCTTGAAGGATTCATGATTGTGATCGCATTCCCTCCTCATTGCTTCTTCCTCGTGCATCACATGCAGGGCAAGGCAAGTCGTTGCTGGTCAGTGCACTGCTGCTGGGAGAGATGCTCATGCCATGGTGTCTTTTGAGACGTCTCAAAAGGAGAGATGCCCATGCCATGGTGTCAGGGAACTAAAAGGCCCTTTCACCAACCCACATCTTCCTTGACCCCGTCCCTTCACCTTGCTTCCCTCCCCCGTCCCACCCCTCCCCATGGCAGGGCAAGGCAAGTCGTCGCTGGTGAGTGCACTGCTGGGCGAGATGCCCATGGTGTCAGGGGACTCCCCTCCAATCATCAGAGGCCGCGTGGCCTATGTCTCGCAGGTTTGTTCTGTACCATTTTAAGAATGTTATCTCGCATTCATACTGTTACAATCAGGCTCATTTATTTTTTCATTAACTCATCCTTACAGTGCTGTTTACAACGTATGTGTATACAAGTGCATATTTACTCACTTCTCTGTCTGATCTGCCAATTCCTTGAGCCATCTCATGTTTTCATTGTTCTATCTGCCCTCCTCATGTTCCTCCTCCAATGGCATGCTGCCATGTGGCACACGTGGACCGCGCAGGTTTCCTGGATCTTCAACGCCACAGTGCGCGAGAACATTCTGTTCGGGCTGCCGTACGACAAGCAGCGGTACGAGCGGGCAGTGAGGGTGAGCGCCCTGGAGAGAGACCTGGAGCTGCTGCCAGGGGGCGACCTGACGGAGATAGGCGAGAGGGGCGTGAACGTGAGTGGCGGACAGAAGCAGCGCATCAGCATCGCCCGGGCGGTCTACTCCGACGCCGATGTGTTCTTCTTTGACGACCCGCTCTCCGCCCTCGACGCCCACGTCGCCAAGCAGGTGGGTTGACCCTCTTGGCTTGGGGTTGCTTTTTGAGAATTCTCAAAAATCACTCACAAGGGTTGGGCTTGTAAGTTTTGGGCTTAGGGCTTGGGGGTAGGAATTCCTCATCGGGATATTTGATGACCCGACCGCTCCCCGCGCTCGACGCCCACATTGGAGATCAATAACATGCATGCATGTTTTATGTTCTGTATCTGTATCGCTGTATGCATGTTATTGATCTCCATGCAAGTGGGCATGTATGCATGTGTATGTGGGTTGTGTGCTGCATGTACGCATGTGGGCATGTGTGCAATGCATGTGTGGATGTGTGCAATGCGTGTGTGCATGCACACAGGTGTACGACACGTGTGTGAGGACAGAGCTTGCCGGCCGCACGCGCATCATGGTCACAAACCAGCTGCACTTTCTGCCAGGTAACCCCTCCTTCACTGAATCCTTCCAATCAACCGAGAACGTTGTACAGCCCCATGCACTGAAATTGATGAGCGGTGGACTGGGTGGTGATGGTGGAGGGGGGATGCATAGCACAGCCAAGGCCATACGCCCACCTCAACTCCTCTACCTCCTTCCCAACCGCTCTCCCACCTCTTTCTCTCTCCCGCACCCACCCCCACCACTCCGTCCCTCTTGCAGCGGTGGACTGGGTGGTGATGGTGGAGGGGGGGCGCATAGCAGAGCAGGGGCCGTATGTGCAGCTGAAGGCGTCGGCACCCAAATTCCAGCGGCTGCTGGAGAAGGCAGGCGCACTGGAGGAGCATGGGGACACGGAGGTGGGGGGGCAGGGCGGAGGAGAAACTATAGGGGACGCGGGCGGTGGGAGGGGTGAGGCGAGCGCTGAAGCGGCAGCTGCTGCTGCAATGTGTGGCAGCAGCACCAGTAGTGGTGGTGGTGGCGGGGGTTCTGCTGCTGCGGAGAACGGCGGTTCTAGCAGCAGCAGCAGCCAGGTTGGGGAGAAGAGCGGAGCAGGGGAGGGGGAGAAGAGCGGAGCAGGGAAGGGGGAGAAGAGCGGAGCAGGGAAGGGGGAGAAGAGCGGAGCAGGGAAGGGGGAGAAGAGCGGAGCAGGGGAGGGGGAGAAGAGCGGAGCAGGGGGGACAACCCTAGTGCAGGCAGAGGAGAAGGCGCAGGGGGTGGTGAGCGCAGCGGTGGTGTGGCGGTATGTGAGGGCCATGGGCGGGTGGGGCGTGCTGGCTGTGCTCATCTCGCTCTACGTGCTTGTGGAGGCCGCCAGGGTGCTCTCAAGTGTATGGATCAGCATTTGGACGGGTGAAAGTGGTGGCAGTGGTGGGCATGGATCGCTGTATTTCGTGGCAGGGTATTCACTCATCTCGCTGGGCCAAGTGCTGCTCACCTTCGCCAACCAATACTTCCTGGTGAGTAGGGCCAGGCCATGTATGTAAAGGCTAGGCTAGTACTTCCTCCTGGTGAGTGAGGGCCATGTGTGAGGGCCATGTGTGAGGGCCATGTGTGAGGGCCATGTGTGAGGGCCATGTGTGAGGGCCATGTGTGAGGGCCATGTGTGAGGGCCATGTGTGAGGGCCATGTGTAAAAGCCATGGGCGGGGGGGGCACCCTGACAGGCAGTGCTCATCTCGCTGGGCCAAGTGCTGCCCACCTTCGCCAACCAATACTTCCTCGTGAGTGGGGTTCATCAGGGGGGCAACCATCCTGGCAGTTCTCTCACCTTCTCTCGCAAATCAGCACTTTCTCGTTAGTAACGGCCATGGCCAGTGCTTCTCGTTCGTTCCGGGCTGGGCTGCTCTGCTCGGTGCTTGCCAGTTGATTGGTACTTGTACAAGTATCGGGGATCTAGATAGCCTTTGAATATCATTGTGCCATTCTGGTGGGTGGGCAGCCACTCTCCGCGTTTTAAGTCCACTCAAAACTCGTCCCACATCTTCCTTCTTTTCTCCTCTCCCTCACTCCTTGCAGGTGTTCTCCTCCCAGCGAGCGGCTCGTCGTCTGCACGATGCCATGCTGGCGGCCATTCTGCGAGCTCCCATGTCCTTCTTTCACACCAACCCTGTGAGTTGTGATTTCCAACTTCCCATCTCCCATGTCTTCCTGTGTGGATGGATGGACAAACACCAAACCTGTGATTCATGCTTTCTATATTGCTGTTAAGTGCACAGGAATATCCTGTGAGTGTGAATGTTCTCCTGCACTCAAGTTCTTCCAAAATATATCACCCAATCGCCGCTTCCAAGCATACCAGCCCTTCCTCTCCCCCCTCTTCTGCCCCTCTCCTGGCGATTTTCGCTATGCCGATTTGTCTTCCCCTTAATCCTCCTACTTCTCCACTCTCTCCCCTCCAGGTGGGACGTCTGATCAACCGCTTTACTAAAGATACAGCGGACATAGACAAGAATCTAGCGCAGTACACGTCGCTGTGCCTGGGCGGCATATTCCAGCTGCTCTCCACCTTCGCCCTCATCGGTGTTCTCAACACCGTCGCCCTCTGGGCCATCGTGCCGCTGCTGCTGCTCTTCTACATCGTCTACCTCTACTTCCAGAGCACCGCACGGGAGGTCAAGCGCTGGGACTCGGTGACGCGCTCTCCCGTCTACTCACAGGTACGCCTTGAGGCAGCTCACGATATTAAGCCAAATGCCCCATCCTCCTGCAAAACCGCGCTGCCTCTCCCTCCAAATTCTTTCGATTCCTATCCTCATTTCCCTCTCCAACCCGGGCGTTCCCCACTTCGTCTTGCCCTCTCTCAGTTTGCGGAGGCACTGAACGGCCTAGCAACCATAAGGGCATACAGGGCGGCGCGGCGCATGGCGGCCATGAACGGGCGGGCGGTGGACCGCAACACACGCTTCACCCTCGTCAGCATGAGCGCCAACCGCTGGCTCGCCTTCCGCCTCGAATTCCTCGGGGGACTCATGATCTTCGGTTAGTGACGTGATGCTTTTCAGGGTCCCGTGATTGCTGGTTGGTAATGCTTCATGGGGTTCAGTTCAGGGTTTGACTTGGTTCGGGGTTTGACTTGGTTCGGGGTTTGACTTGGTTCAGGGTTTGACTTGGTTCGGGGTTTGACTTGGTTCAGCCTCGTGATCTTCTGTCTAGAATGGTCGTTGCAGCACCTCAGTAGTGGCCTCGCCTTGGCGCAGGTGATTCGCCATCCGCTGGCTCGCCATCCACCTTGAGTTCCCGGGAGGGAGGCCTCATGATCTTTAGTCCATTCGTGAATGTTTCTTCAAAACCTCATAATCGTCTATCTAGCAAGGTCTTCGTGGCACCTCAGCAGCTGCCTCGGCTCATGCGTCTCAGCTCAGGAGTCACAGCTAAGAAAGGCGGGTTTCGAACCGCAGCAAGCCTGCTAAGAGTGTAAATCGATCTATAAGACGTAGTCTACTATGAAGAAAAACGAGGGAAGTCGTAAGCAAAGGTCGATTAGTCAGAATGCCAGACACATAGGCCGAGATGCGCGTGCGAACGGGTTTCGGCCAGCAAAGGCCTTCATCAGCGCACTAAAGATCAAGCAAACTAACTACGTTTTCTTTGTACTCCCTCCCTCCTGTAGGCTCCTTGAACCATCAAGCTTCCTTCGCGACTCCAATAAAGCTTGATGGCTCTAGGAGCTTATAGGAGGGAGGGAGTCCAAAGGATTCGTCACAACAACTCGCTTTACCCCATCGCACCTCCCTAAGCCACTGCACCTGACCCTACCGCATTGCACCTCTTCTTGCCACCAGCCATGGAGCTAAGTGGCTGAAGATGACTGTTGCAACTGGCAGAGTTTCGTCTCACACCGCATTGCACCTCTTCCCCCTTCCAGCCACGGCGGTATTTGCAGTGATGGACGTGCAGAGGGCGGGCGACCAGGCAGCACTGGCACCAGTCATGGGGCTCATTCTGGTGTATGCACTGCAAATCACTGCCATGATGACCATGGTGCTGCGCTTGCTCTCCGTCGCTGGTGAGTGCCCATTCAAGTGCTTTTGCCGAGTCAATGTGTGGAGGCTGAAGCAGATCACAGCCATGATGACCATGGAGCTGCGCCTGCTCTCCATCGCTGGTGAGTGCCCATTCAAGTGCTTTTGCCGAGTCAATGTGTGGAGGCTGAAGCAGATCACAGCCATGATGACCATGGTGCTGCGCCTGCTCTCCGTCGCTGGTGAGTGCCCATTCAAGTGCTTTTGCCGAGTCAATGTGTGGAGGCTGAAGCAGATCACAGCCATGATGACCATGGTGCTGCGAGGTGACTTTTGAGTCGACTCAAAAGTCACCTCGTTACAATGGCGACTTTTGAGTCGACTCAAAAGTCACCTCGTTACAATGGCACACGACACTTTTTCTACACGGAGAGCGCTTATTGCTTGGAGGCTACCAAAAAGAGTTGGAAACTTTTTAATTTCTGCTAAGAAGTGCTAGGTACAGTAGATTTCACTGTAGCCTTTATTGCATTCGTTTGTACAATGTTCACCAGACCCCGTGAGGATTCTCCCACGTTTTGGGTCTTGTGTGACATTTCCTAGGCCTATAAGTAGTGCCTTTACACGTAGACTAGCTTGTGGTCTGAAAAAGGCGTCTGACGCCGAAACCGGTTACCATCAAATTTACACAAGCGTGTTCCTACACACCAACACTCTACCTACTCTAGGTGTCATACTCTAATCACTTGCTGCCACGTATTGAACCATGGCCTCTAAATGGGGCTCGATTGGACTTCACATTGACACTACTGCGATGGCCAAGTACAGATTCGTTGCTAATGCAACAGACACCAACACCAACACAGACAACACCAAGGAAAATCCTACTCGTCAAATCACGCGACTCTCGAGGAAGCCAAGCCCGAGAACTAATCGCGGAGATAAAGAGCAGGCTGGCTCTGAAGCCAATCCACAGTCTCCAGTTTCTCGACCGAGCAAGAGGAAAGCTTGTGAATTTCCACCTGCTATTCCGTCCGAAGCTACCCCAGCACCAGCCGTTCAGCGATCTTCTTTTGCTACCATGGCTGCGCCGCGACAGGAAGCTGCTCATGAGATTCATGACACCGTCATGCTGGATTCTTTTGATTTCCTTGGTGACATTAATCACGCTTTTCTTGACAAGCAGGCTACTCCTACATGCCTGAACGACTTCAAGCTGCAAGCGATCAAAGACTTTAAGAAGAGCTTTCTTAAATACCGGACTTTGCAGCTGCAGTACAATTTCATGGAGGAGCAGAAAGCGGCGGGGATTATCCCGCACAGCATTCGCATCAAGCCTTTCGGCTTCGTATGCAACTCCGAAGAACTTTGTCAAGAAGCTGACAAGGATCTCCAGGCGGCCTGCGAGGTTTATTGCAAGCAAGCGCAAGGAATCCTTATCGCGATGAAGAAGAAGGCAGTAGAACAAGCTCGCAACGACACTGCTGCAGTTTTTCAGAAGCTCCAGGACCAGGTCGATAACTACATCAATCTGGCCAAGAAGACCGACATCGGGACCAAGAACTCGAAGCTGACCGACAATTTGAATTTTTTCAAGCATCGCGTCGTTTCTGAATTCAAGGAAGCAATGTCTATTTTCGTTATGGAGGCTAACCTTTCTGAAATTCATTTGAAGGAAAAGAAGAGGGAGATTGATGAGAAGAAGGCTGCTGCGACAGAAGAAGCTGAAAACCTTCCGGTCGATCCCACTGTTCGCGAGATCGCCAAACAGGAGGCTGAAAAAGCAGTCGCTAAGCTCAAGCCGAAGTTAAAGTCTACTCCCAACAACAATCGTCCTTCTGTTAACAACGGCAAGAAGAAAGCATCAGCTGGCAAAAGGAAGACCTTCCCTGTCAACAACAACAAGAAGGCTACCACGATCGTGACGAAAAGGAACAAGAAGGCGCAGCCGAGGCAGAATAGCAACGGCATGAAACGTCAGAATGGTTCCGGCAAGAAGGAGGATGTCGGCACTCACCATGCGACAAAGACGATGGGACGAGCCTACACCAAGACGGCTGGACGCAGCGCGACTTACCCCAAGAACCGTAACGCAGCGGCAAAAAACGGGGAAGGAGCCGTCCGCGGAAAAACAGGTCGACAGTAGCAGCTGATGTTCACTCCTACGCGCTCATCCTCTTCGGCCGACAAACCGAGAGTCAGCTGCGTTGCAGAGTGACCAACCGCGGCATCCACAACTTTAGTGACCATGTTTTTACGCGTGAAGAGCTCAATTTACTTAGCCTGGGTCTTAAATTCATCCCTTTCCCTGCCATCCGCAACATCGCTAGCCTAGAAGCCGAATTGTACTCTTTCTTTAGGAGTGTGCGTACGATGTATCTGTTTGGGGGAACTGATATCGTTTCTGATTATCCAGGCTACAAGCTCCCAAGAAGGGAGAACTGGGATCCGCCATTGGCTTCCTCCGAGATCGAAACGGCCCTTGCTGTCTTTAAAGACTCGGTGATGAAGGACATCAATGGTCAAACGATTCGCTCACACCGACGGAAAAACGTCATTCCTACGCTCCAGCGGCTTGCTAGAAACCCTGAACTAATTTTCAAACCTGCAGATAAGAATCTCAGCCTTACGGTTATGAGCAGAGACTTCTATCAAGAAAAATGCCTTCAACATCTTCTTAATAAGAAAGTCTACAGAGAATACTCTGCCGTTCCGACCGACGACATTCTACACGATCTACATTCTATTCATAATGACTATCAACCGCTCCTACCTAAGAAGATCTGGAATTCTTTCTTCAGTCAACCCAATGGCGGATGGAAAATTCCCGCCTTTTACGTCTTACTGAAGATACATAAGAGAGTTCCTGCCGGACGACCGATTGCGGCCTGTCATTCGTGGATAACCTCCAACGTTTCTCGCTGGCTAGACACGGTTTTACGTCCGTTGGTCCTTCAACAACCTACCTATGTCAAGGATTCTCAGAGTCTTATTCTTGAGCTGGAGCGACGACGTTTTCCGAAGCAGCTTCTACTTGCATCTTATGATGTGGAATCACTTTACCCTTCTATTCCCTTGCTGGACGGTATTGACGCTGTTTCGTATTTTCTCCAGAAGGCAAGACACCCATTAGCTCCACTCATCACTCGCCTACTTCGTTGGGTGATGTTCAACAGCTATGTCTCCTTCAATGGCAGATTCTTTCGCCAGATTCACGGCACCGCCATGGGAACGTCAGTAGCTGTTTGCTTCGCGGTTCTTTTCATGAGCTTTTTGGACATTCAACTCCATTCCCTGCTTCCGTCACCTCCCCCTCTTCACCTTCGCTTCATAGACACGGTTTGATTCTATGGGAAGGGACGCGGGAAGAATTTCAACGGTTGAAAGCGCGGTTTGATACGCTTCATCCCTCCATTCGCTTGACTTGGGTCATTTCAGAGACTTCCATTGATTTTCTGGATGTTACTTTTTTCAAGGGCAGACGCTTCAACACCTCCGGTTTACTGGATTTGAAGCTGTTCCAGAAACCCATGAATCGTTACTGACTACGGGCACGGGGGTATCCGGAGAAATTTCTCCTGCCGATCTTCAAATCGGTCTCCTTTTCCTCTCGGTCAGAACTCCTCGCTCGCGCGTTTTCGACACGTGCCTCTCCGAAACGTGGCCCCCTTGTGCTGAAATGCCTACTCAACCCCTTGGTTGACCATTCGCACCTGGGGAAACTTTTGAGTCGACTCAAAAGTCACCTCGTTACAATGGCACACGACACTTTTTCTACACGGAGAGCGCTTATTGCTTGGAGGCTACCAAAAAGAGTTGGAAACTTTTTAATTTCTGCTAAGAAGTGCTAGGTACAGTAGATTTCACTGTAGCCTTTATTGCATTCGTTTGTACAATGTTCATCAGACCCCGTGAGGATTCTCCCACGTTTTGGGTCTTGTGTGACATTTCCTAGGCGTATAAGTAGTGCCTTTACACGTAGACTAGCTTGTGGTCTGAAAAAGGCGTCTGACGCCGAAACCGGTTACCATCAAATTTACACAAGCGTGTTCCTACACACCAACACTCTACCTACTCTAGGTGTCATACTCTAATCACTTGCTGCCACGTATTGAACCATGGCCTCTAAATGGGGCTCGATTGGACTGCGCCTGCTCTCCATCGCTGGTGAGTGCCCATTCAAGTGCTTTTGCCGAGTCAATGTGTGGAGGCTGAAGCAGATCACAGCCATGATGACCATGGTGCTGCGCCTGCTCTCCGTCGCTGGTGAGTGCCCATTCAAGTGCTTTTGCTGAGTCAATGTGTGGAGGCTGAAGCAGATCACAGCCATGATGACCATGGTGCTGCGCCTGCTCTCCGTCGCTGGTAAGAGTTTGCTCTCTGGTGATGGTAAGACGGCCTAGAGTACTTTTTGTCACCCATTCTTTTTGTTTTTGTTCTCTTTTCTTAGAAACCTCTTTCAACGCGGTGGAGCGGGTCGGCAGTTACACCGCTATCCCCCCCGAAGCCTCCTCCATCATTCCAAGCCAACAGTCCCCCCTTTCTTCCATCCACCTCCTCCCTTCATTCCAGAAACCTCTTTCAACGCGGTGGAGCGGGTCGGCAGTTACGCCGATATCCGCCCCGAAGCGCCCTCCATCATTCTGAGCCACCGCCCGCCGCCCGGGTGGCCGGAGCAGGGGGAGGTGTTATTTGAGGACGTGGTGATGCGGTACAGGCCGGACCTGCCGCCTGTGCTGAGAGGGCTCAGTGCCTTGGTGAAAGGGGGAGAGAAGGTCGGCGTGGTGGGGCGGACCGGCGCAGGTGAGGAAGGGGAATGGCGGGGGGCTCATCCGCTCATTGCACTGGTTTATGCACCTACCTGAGAACCATCACCACACCATGCATGCATGCCGGACCTGAAAGGCTGCCACCTGTGCTAAGTCGGCTCATTCACTGCACTGGTTGAAAGGGGAGATTCACCTTTGAGGCGTCTCAAAGCCACCCTAAGCGGGAGATTCATCCTCTTTGTGTCCGTGCCGCTGCAGGCAAGTCGTCGCTGTTCAACTCGCTCTTCCGATTGGCCGAGATCGAGAGCGGGCGCATCTGCATCGACGGTCAGGATCTGAAGCTGTTTGGAGTGACGGACGTGCGCCGTGCGCTCATGATCATCCCTCAGACGCCTGTGCTCTTCACTGGTGAGAGGAACGACACATGGTTTTCCACGTGAAGAAGTTTAGGGTCCCTCAGATGCCCGTGCTCTTCACTGGTGAGGAATACGTAGGGCTTTCAAGGTATGGGGGAGCATTTAGGTTAGGGGGTTCCAGACATAGACATGGGATCTCTGTGGGGTGATGGTCATGCGGCGTGCTCTCATAATCATCCCCCAAACGCCCGTGCTCTTCACTCGTGAGAGAAGCATGTGGCTTTTTCAAGTTAAGGATTTTTAGGGTCAGGGCTTGGGGTTTAGACATAGGAGATCTATGGAGTGACGAACACTTGCAGTGCGCACATTATCAATTCCGAAACACCCGTGCTCTTCACTGGTGTGGAAGATAGTAATTTCCTCCCTGTTCCCCCTCCATCCCCCCTCCTTCCCCCTCCAACCCCCCTCCTTCCCCCCTCCATCCCCTCTCCGCCCTCCCTCGATCCCCACCTCGTCCCACCTCCACCACCGCCACCCCTCTGCAACCTTTCAGGCTAAGCCCTCTCTGCCTCCCTTCAACCCCCCCTCTGCTCCCCTTCCATGCCCCCTCCACCCTCCTTTCGCCACCCCAGGCACGCTGCGGTTCAACCTGGATCCGTTCAGCGAGCGCAGCGACGGCGAGGTGTGGGAGGCTCTGGAAGGGCTCTTGACTATTTGCCTCCCTCCCTCCCTGTTACCCTCTTCTTCACTCCCCCCCCCCTCCTCCCCCCTTTCCCCCCAGGCACGCTGCGGTTCAATCTGGATCCGTTCAGCGAGCGCAGCGACGGGGAGGTGTGGGAGGCGCTGGGGAGGGCGCACCTGAGGGAGGTGGTATCTCGCATGCCGCTGGGGCTGGACACAGAGGTGAGCACAAGGGAAGGGAAAATATCTGTAGCGAGAGATGGTAGTACCAAGGTGATGCCTGAGGAAGGTGGTGTCTCTCATGCCCCTGGGGCTGGACACAGAGGTGAGTAAGAAGAAGGGCAGATGGGCTGAGAGTGAAATGGGGGTATTATCATCGAGGTGTTACGCCTGGTAAATGCGGTACTTACTTGAAGTAAAATCATGCTGTCACCCGCATGCTGATTTCTCCTGCCACACATGCCTGGGAGGGGAGAACGTCAGCCTGGGGCAGCGGCAGCTGATTAGCCTAGCACGGGCGCTGCTCAAGGGGTGGCTGACAATGGGAAGGGCTTTTATTTATCCTATTTAGCTTCACAACCTTCAGGTGGCAGAGGGAGGGGAGAACTTCAGCCTGGGGCAGCAGCAGCTTATCAGCCTGGCTTGGGCGCTGCTCGAGCTGTCCCTTCCCCGTTTCCCAACCCCATACTCCCCGTGCTTTCTCCTGCCACGCATTCAGCTGGCAGAGGGAGAAAAAGATTCCAGTGTGGCGCAGAGGCAGCTGATCAGCCTGGCACGGGCACTGATGATGAAGGAGGGTCTGAGAATGGCAAGAGCTGATCATTGCCGCGTTTCACTCTTCTCCCCTTGCAGGTGGCAGAGGGAGGGGAGAACTTCAGCGTGGGGCAGAGGCAGGTGATCAGCCTGGCACGGGCGCTGCTCAAGGAGTGTCGCATTCTGGTGCTGCCCTTCCCCCAGTCCGACCTGACCCCCACAATCCCCTGCTTTCTCCTGCCACACATGCAGGTAGCAGAGGGCGGGGAGAACTTCAGCGTGGGGCAGCGGCAGCTGATCAGCCTGGCACAGCCGCTGCTGTTTAGAGAGTCATCGATTTCCCTCCTTCGATTGTCTCTTCACTCTCCCCTTCAGGTGGCAGAGGGAGGGGAGAACTTCAGCGTGGGGCAGCAGCAGCTGATCAGCCTGGCGCGGGCGCTGCTGAAGGAGTCGCGCATTCTGGTGCTGGATGAAGCGACGGCAGCCGTTGATGTGGGCACGGATGCTCTGATCCAACGGACGGTGCGCGAGGAGTTCAAGGGGCGCACCATGCTCACCATCGCTCACCGGCTCAACACCATCATGGATAGCGACCGGATCCTCGTCATGGATGCTGGCATGGTGAGCTGATGTGGTTTGATACCTGGTCATGGATGCTGGCATGGTGAGCTGATTTGATTGGATTTGATTGTGGTCTACACACTGTGAGCTGATTGTTTTGACACCTGGTCATGGATGCCGGCATGGTGAGTGGGTGGGTGGGGTGAGCAGTAAGCAGCACGGGTTGTGCGAGAAAGGGTAACATATGCCAGCCAAATTCGTACTGAATGAAATCAGCGTCTTTGCAGCCATGGTGCGCAGCAACGTGGCTACAGACCGCCAAGTACCTGCTCTCTTTCCTCTCCTCCCTGCCTCTGCCCATTCCCTTCCCTTCCCCCAGGCTCTCGAGTACGATACCCCAGCCAACCTAGTGTTGAACGAGGCCAGTGTGTTTGCAGCCATGGTGCGCAGCACGGGGCCTCAGACCGCCAAGTATCTGCGCAGTGTGGCGCTGGGGGAGGTGGCGCTAGCAGACGAGCTTGCCGGCCGGGCGGCGGCGCAGGAGAAGCAGATGGCGCACGAGGCGGCCAAGTGGCGATGGGCCACTGCCGCCCAGTGGGCCCTGGCTCTCACGCTCACGTCTTCCCAGAGGGACCTGCAGGTGGGTGCCACAGAGGTGAGTGTTTGCACAGGGTCTCTGCATGTGCATGCCTCTCAGCGGCCAAGTGGCGGTGGGCCACTGCCGCCCAGTGGGCTCTGGCTCTCACGCTCACGTCTTCCCGGAGGGACCTGCAGGTACATACATGCTACTCAGGTGCTTGCTTGCCAGTTGCAGGTACATTCTACAGGGGTGGATACCTCTCACTGGCCAAGTGGTGGACCCTCGCTCTCACGCTCACGTTCTCATAAAGAGACGCAGTGGGCGCTGGCTCTCACGCTCACGTCTTCCCAGAGGGACTTGCAGGTGGGTGCTATAGAGGTGCCTAGCTGCAGGTGAGTGTTACCAAGTGAGTGGCGGTGGGCCACTGCCGCCCAGTGGGCCCTGGCTCTCACGCTCACCTTCTCCCAGAGGGATCTGCAGGTGCGTGCTTCAAAAGAGCTGTAAGTCAACTATTCAACGTCAGCGTCCCTCCCAGAGTGGCAGGTGACCTCTTCTGCCCAATGGGCTTTGGCCCTCACTCACACTCACCTCCTCACAGAGCGGCTTGCAGGTGCGTTTTGTAGTGGTGCCTGGCTGCAGGTTGTGCTGTGCAGGCGCCTGCAATACCAACTGGGGTTGCACCGTCATATTGAATTGATCCAAGCCATAAATTTGCTGGAATTCATATGCTTTGGTATCCGCAGTCCCGGTAGAAACTCGTTTGTGTAATCAACCTGACCGCCCTGAGTTGCGTGTGTGTGCAGGCCATGTGTAATGACAACGCAGGAGAGGACGGAGAGAAAGATGCTATTGTAGCCGTCACACAACCGCCAGCCTTCCAGGTACAGCCGGTCGTGGCAAGCCATTTACCTGGCACTGTGGCAATTTGCAAGCCTGCCACAGCCCATCCTCCTTTTTCTCTCCAGCTCCCCTGTAAACCCTTTCCCCACGTGTCACCTTCTCTTTTCCGTGTTTCCCTGTTTTCTTGCTCTGTGTCATCCTCACTTCCTAGTCTTTTTTATTAGATAAGGACGTGAGGAAGTGAGAATCAGTAGTTGTTTACTGATCTCACTTGCGGCTCTTGAATTTTCTCAGTCACAGATTACCAAGAAAAAAGTACCTTTCTCCGTTTCCTCCTCCTAACCTTGCTGCCCCCTTGCTCTCTCCCGTTCTTATCTCGCCACTGCAGAGAGGCGTGTTAGAAGAGACAAGGGATGCCGCCCAGGTGCTGCAGGCGGTGCTGTCGGGGCAGCGCAGCGAGGAGATCTCGTCAGCGCTGACGAGGCGACAGCTGTCAGCCGTGACAGCCGGCTGTCAGCCGTGTGGTGCAGGGTGAGTGTGGTGGGGTGTGAGTGGGTGTGTAAGAGTGTGGGTGTGCATGGGAGTGTGGGCGTGGGTGTGGGTGTGGGTGTGGGTGTGGGTGTGGGTGTGGGTGTGGGTGAATGGGTGAGTACAAGTGAGCAATCGGGTGAGTCAATTAGCTTCGATCATGAGGACACCAGAGGAGTTTCGTTTGATCGCAAGCCAACTGATTATTTTCTCAATTTCTTGTGCTTAAGAGTTTCTTATCTCCAATCCGTCGTGTTAGGGGTTTCTTCTCTCCATGCTAATCCACTGTACGATGTGATGTTTCCATGTCGCTTCAACACCAGGCCTAGCCCTCATGGCGAAGCAGGTGCAGGCGAAGCTCGAGGCAGACAGCATTCCCACTCCCAATTCAATCTGCAACACCTGTAGACGTCTCAACTTGCCCTTTCCTGCCTTTCTTCGCCTGTGTCACTACGTGTCCCCCAGGCCTAGCCCTCATGGCGAAGCAGGTGCAGGCGAAGCTCGAGGCGGACGGCAGTCTGCGGGACTCCGCCAGCTCAGCAGGGGCGGCGGCGGGCGGCAGGTGGGCGCAGCTGGTAGCAACGGGAGAGGAGATGGCGGGCGGGAGAGTTGTGTGACCTAGGGCGACTGCCGCAAGTTGTGCAGTCAGCGTGTGTAGCTTTTGCCTGCTCGTCCAGGCTCAATGCAGGCAGTTGCAGCGCCGCTCGCAGCAGCGGGGGAGGAGATGGCAGGGGGCAGAGTGGTGCGAGTAGGAGCGGCTGCTGCACTGTGTGTGCACGGGGGCAGCATGGTGCGAGTCCATCCGAGCCACTGCTGCGTGGTCTACAGACTACAGGTGTGTGGATGGGCTCCCTGTGTGGGGTTGTCTGTGTGGGCTCCACACAGCCCGGTGGTGGCAGAGAGGTGCGCCTGGTATATACTGGGGAGGAGATTGTGGGAGGAAGGGTGGTGTGACTGAGAGGGACTGCGGCACTGAGCATGAGGGCAGAGAGGTGTGAATCAAGACGTCACCTCTATTTACGAGATTGCCACGAATTTGGTCAGTCAATCAAGACACAAGTTATTTGGTTTGGGAAAAATGAAGGCAACTTCATATAATGCAACTCGATTAAACTGTTGAAATATATTTATATTTATTTATATTATCTGCCTGTAGTGTACCTAGTGTAGTTCTCCTGTATGGTGGTGCACCTCTTTCTTCTTTGCTTTGCAGTATATGTACCCACTCTGTTAGTGAAGCCCTCTTTCCTTGGCATAACCTTCTCAATACCCTCGTTGCCTAGGCTTCTAAGCCTAGGCATCCTAAACCTACGGTAGCTGGAAAAAGGGAAGAATTTTCAAAGCTGCTCTCGTAACAGCTAGACCAGAAAAATGTTGGCAACTGAGGTAGAAAGGCTGCACAAAGAGCTTTCCACTGGCCAGCTGAACCAGCGCCCTCTTAACAGCTGATTCATCAATACCATATGACAGCTATCTTATTGCATCTTCTTTCCACCATCAGTGTCCACAGAGGGAGAAGGGCCGTTCAAAGAGCTCCTCATTAGCCAGCTGAACCAGCGCCTTCCCAAGAAGCTGAATCATTACCGTATGTGACAGATCTCTTACGGTGTTTACTTTCCACCATCAGTGTTCACAGAGCGAGAAGGGCCGTTCAAAGAGCTCCTCATTGGCCAGCTGAACCAGCGCCCTCTTAACAGCTGATTCATCATTCCATATGACAGCTGTCTTACGAAATGTACTTTCCACCATCAGTGCTCACAGAGCGAGAAGGGCCGTTCAAAGAGCTCCTCATTGGCCAGCTGAACCAGCGCCTTCCTCTCTTCCATCAGAGCCTCCCGGTACCTCCTCGCCTCTTCCATTGTCATTGCTGCACCCCTGCCATCCCTGCTCTCTCCATCTACACCCCTGCTCCCTTCCCCCACACCCTGCCCCTCTCCTCTATCTCCTCCCTCATCAACCCTACCCTCCACCCCACCTCGCTCCACACCACTACTTTCTCCCTTACCCTCCTCCCCACTGTCCCCCCCACCCTCTTCCCCACCCACTCCCTTAGCAATCAAATCTAGTGCTAACCCAGGCAGGACCGAGCAAGGATGGCCTTTTCTCTCCAACTCCCTCCTATGCCAGCTCAGCTGCTGAGGTGGCACGCGCGCAGTGGATACAATCGCCACCCGTGGATCCACCAGGAAAAAGACAAGAATCTTCCGGTGGCCGGCGCGGGTTTTGTCCTGTAGCTCAAACGGCGCGACCCGGTGGTGGAAGTGGTTCGGGAATGCAAGGCAGAGGTTCGGGATGTCGGTCCGGACCGAGCCTAGAGGTTGGGTGAGAGGTCCGTCGTCCACCAGGCCGTAGATTCGAGCCACGCCCTTGTTGTCGTTCTGCTCATAGTCTGGTTCGGCAACTGTAATCCTGAATTGAAGCCGGGACTCAGTGATGTTATCAGAGTCAAAGTAATATATGCCCGTGGCCTGGGGGAAGGGAAAATGGGGAGGGGAAAACGTGTGGGGAGGGGGGACATGGGGAGCGGAAGGGGAAAAAGGGGAGAGGCGAATGCTCCCCACCTTCACCACCACCTGCGCCCACTCCTTCCCACCCCTCACAACCCCAACAACTCACCACAATGTGTTCGTTCCTCATCCCCTCCACATGCCACGAGCCTCCGGGGTATCTCGGGCTCTCAGGGGTGAGGCGAATGCTCGCCACCTTCACCACCACCTGCAGTCGCCGCCCTTTCAAATCCACCACGTGCCCGGGGGACGGGGGCGGTGGGGGTGAGAACTCTGCAGGGGTGTCTGGCTGCTTGGGCTGCCGGTCCACCAGCCACTGGTGGTAATCATCGTCGTCCTCCTTGTCATACTCTCGCTCGCCCTTCCACTCATCGTACCACCTGGTAGGTGGATGGGAGGCAGAAGATAGATATCAAGTGGTGAAATGGAAACATGGGGCCTTGAAGCACGGCGTGGGCTGCCGGTCCACCAGCAACTGGTGGTAATCATCGTCGTCGTCATCCTTGTCATACTCTCTCTCGCCCTTCCACTCGTCATACCACCTGGTCGATGGGTAGGAGGCAGACGAACAGAAGCACAGTTGAAGCAGAGAGCCTTGCAGCAGAGCTTTGGCTGCTGGTCCACCAGCTACTTGTGGTAGTCGTCGCCGTCTTGCTAGTCATAATCTCTCTCGCCCTTGCACTCATCGTGTTACATGCAGCGTGGGAAAGCAAGAGGTTGGTGCACAGTGAGAGAGTGCGTTGGAGATTAACACATTGACTGACATATTCAAACAGTTTAGACAACCCAATGGCAACACACCATTAGGGCAACATACATGTTCCAGCATTAAGAGAAAAAAAAGGGAAAATGATTCACAGAAGCTTACCCGTAAATATCGTAGTCAAATCGTTCTCGTCGCTGCTGGACCGCTTCTGTCAGCACTTTGTTAAACAACGGCACAAACGCAGTGGCAAAAATATGCTCCAAGCCCCGATACATCCCCGCAAACTCATGTGGGTGCAGGTTATTAATATAAGACCGAAACTTTGCACTCTGCCCGTCCGCAGCAACGTCCACCTCGGCGGGCAGCCACTGAAACTTTTCCGAGAGGTACGAATGGTTCCCGGTCGGGTAATACACTGGTCGGGTCGGCTGCTCGGGAGGCATAGGCCGAGCCACCTCCCCCAAGCTGCTAACCAGCTCATCCCAGGGGAGAATCTGCAGGTCGTTTGGCGGATCCTGGATAACTCTACTGCGGCCGAAGACAAGGCAATGCAGGCTGGGATGAATGAGATCGATTACTTGGTGGTTTGATCCTGGGTGGTAGTCGATTTGGTCCTCGGGAACTAATTCTAGCCTGGTGATACCGTCTAGGAAGAGTTGCTTCAGTGAGGGGTCGAATGGGGGGTCTGGGGAGATGAACACGCCTTCTACTGCAGAGGGGAGGACCTTGGGATTGCCGTGGAGGGAGAGAGAGGAGAGTGGAGAAGAGGGAGGGGAGGAGGAGGAGGAGGAGGAGGAGGAGGAGGAGGAGGAGGAGGAGGAGGAGGAGGAGGAGGAGGAAGAGGAGGAGGAGGGGAGAGGGAGGAGGCAAGCCAGCGTAGCTCAGAGATCGCGTAGGTGAACAGAGCAGGGTCAATCTGGGAGGGGAAGGGAGAGACAGTGAGAGGGAGAGAGATAGGGAGAGAGAGAGATAGGGAGAGAGATAGGTGAGAGAGAGTGCGGGATGGAGAGAGGGACAATGCATAGATTCAAGGGTGGAGAGACAGAAAGGCGGAAACGGAGAGCAAAAAGGCTTGGAGGCTGTGGTCAGCGAACAATAAATATAGGCTGGAAACTGCTGTTATTACACGAGGAGGAAACGAAGGCTGAAACGAATAATAATGATAATTAAAATCTCAACTATTTTTCAGAAACGGTTTTCAAGGAAGACGGAGGGATCACTCACGTCGGGCGCGGATCACCTTGACAGGCCGCGTTGTAGTCTCCCTCAGGAACGAAAGCACGCTGGAAGCTTCCTCCGCACTCCAGTACTCCTTGCTAGCGTCAATGAAACCGTCAGGATGGACGTCCGTTGCCGGCTCCGTCAACTCCGCCTTCCATTTCTTGACGATTTCGTCGTCCGTCACCTTCCGCACCCAATCCGGCTTCTCGCGAATCTGACCCATGACGCGGCACAGCAGCAGCTCTTTAAGGCTCCGCACAGGAAAGCCCAGCTCGAAATCGCCGGCATTGTCGAACGGGTTGGGGAACTCTGGAAGATCCTGATTCCGTCGAAACGAGTTTGGTGGATTCGGATTCGCGGATTGATTCGGATTCTGATACATGGCGACGGTGGTGGAATTTGAAAATGGCCGGCGAGCAGCGGGAAGGGGAGGTTTCGAGGCGCGTCGACCAGGGAATGGTTTAGGGTGTGTCAGATCCGAAGTCGGCCTAATCCGACTGGCCGGTTTTGGCGAAAGTAACACGGTTGCGAAAGTCGCAAACATTTTCGACGAGCTCGTATAATCCGGCCACTTTTCGTAATTTTGATGGCCGTTTCAAAAAGTCGACATCAATCCGACGTATAGTCGATTCGAATTCGGCCAAGATGTCGACTTGGCAATGCAACAGTAATCCTGCGACGTAAAATATTTACGCCAGCCACTAATATCATCGCAAATTGTATCGCCGCGAAATCTGCGACACCGTCGCAGCAATCCGGCCAACAAATCTGACACATTTGATAAGCGGCCAGCAAATCGGCCACCAAATGTGTCAGATTTGCAAACACAGCTGTAATTTGTCGACAAAAATTCGACCAATGCGTCGACGTTCGTGAAAAGAGATTGACGACCAATGGTCGACAAAATACCAGCCAAAACAGGTTTCGAAGGATCTGACACACCCTTAGATGAGCGTCTGATGCAAGGTGTGAGGGAGAAACGGCGGGATGATCGGACGATAGAGCCGACCAGCCGACTGCTCCTTGAGAAGAAAATGGCAGAACGGCTGAATAAAGTGCTGGGAACTAGCGCAGCGGACATAGAGAAGTCGTGTGCGAATGTGGCAGAAGCAAGAGTTGTAACTATGTGGGTGGGAGGCAGTGTTGATTATAGGCGAGAAGCAGTGGAATGCACACACAAGGTGCATGCAAAGAGGAGGATGAAATCCCTGCTCGCTTGGCAATCTCAATGCGTTGATCTGTGCTCTGATTGGTCGACGTGCTCCGTCAGATCGCCTAAAAAATTTGGCCCATTTCTCGATTTGTGCGTGTCATCCTTGCGCAGGGGCCATGCTAATCTTCTCTGTATCGTTCCAATTTTAACGGATGTCCCGAAGGACAACCACCATGTCGACTCGTGCTTATCAATAAAACAAGGTTTTGCGTCAAAGTATTTTGTGGGAGGTTTCTGTATGTTTAAGGCACAAACCACAATCTCTGGCAGTATCAGTCGAACCCACTTCATGAGGCAAATGTTTGAGCCGCTCATGCTCGTTCGCTTTTCCCACCCTGGTCAAGTGATTTACCTCCGGCCTCGCAAATGGTGAAACAACATTATTTCGTGAATAAGAATATCGGCAACGTTCGATGAGAATTCGAGCAGATTAGCTTCTGATAGAGTCGCGTGCGTTGTGATTGCCGGACAGACTGTAGAACCGGGCGACTTTCGGCTGGATCTAAAAATTGGCATACGGTTTTGCTTCTTAATAAGATCCGCTCTATATCGCGTACGTGGTGATCCATGGCGGCAGCAGCGCCTGGCGGTGATACTGACGTGGACGATTACATGGGTGATCTCTCAGCTTTCTTGCCGCCGGAAGAGGCGTCGAGCCTACAAGATCAGCAGCAGCAACGGAAGAAAAATACGCACAAGCCTGCGCCACGTCAGCGGCCAGACGATTGGAAGAAGCTGACGTGGCAGGAGCGGCGGCAGCACGTACGCGAGGAGAAGGACAAGGCCGAAGCGGCGGTTCTCGCGGAAGGCCTCGCGGCGCCGATACCGCCTTCTAACATCGGCTTTAAACTGCTGCAGAAGATGGGGTTTAAGGGCCCTCCTGAGGCGGAACGGACGGGCGGAAAGGCGGAATATCGGAGCGCAGGGAGGATGGTGATGGCGGAAATTGCGGAAGAGAGACATAGAGGGGAAGGGCCAAGAGAGGAGGAGAAGAGTGGGGTGACGGTAGGAGGAGAAAAAAGGGGGGAGCGGGGGAAAGCAGAGTTTGGTGGGGACGAAGTGACGGGGGAAAGAGAGAAGACGTTAGTCACTGACGCTGGCAGCAGCCGGTCGCTAAAAACCCGCGTTGGGGAATACTGCAGTGACCAGCGACCTGCAGCGAGTACAGGGGAAGCTAGTTTCGAGGACAACCTAGGGGATTCAGGAGTACCTGCAACCACGCTCAACCGAAAAACACCCCTTGCGTGGGTTGAGCCTGTTGCGTTGAGCTTAAAACGGGACAGGAAGGGGCTGGGGAGGGAGGAGGAGGAGGAGCAGGCGGAGAGGCAGAAGCAGCTGCGAGCAGAGGCAGCAGCGCGGGTGAGGCAGAGAGGGGAAGAGGCGCTGAGAGGGGAGTTCGAGGAGCGGAGGAAGGGCCGGTGGAGCGAGTGGAAGGTGAGGGGTGCGCTGAGGAAGGCGAGAACGGCTCTGGTGCATCTGGAAGGGGGGGAGGAGTGGCTTAAAGCCCAGGCTGTGCGGATTGGCGCTGCTTCCTCGTCCTCCCCAGCTGCGTCTGGCTCTTTGATGGGTGGTGGTGCAATATGTGGTGCTGGTAGTGGTTCGGAGAGAGGAGCTGGTGCTGAGAATGGGAGAGACAGGAGGAGGAGAGTGCGGAAGAAACGGATTGTCACAGAGTGTGATGCTGATGGTGTGAGTGATGAGGAGTGGGAGGAGGTGGAGGAGAGGAGGGGAGATGCGAGGGAGGTGGAAGGAGGAAGTGGAGGCGGGAGGGAGAAGGAAGGGGAGGGGGGAGAGGGAGGGGAGGCGGGGCAGGTGCCTCTGGAAGACATCGTTTCTGAAGAGGTGAGTCATCATTGTGTGACAGTAGGAGTCTTTTAATTATTATTATTGTTATTTTCTTTCTTTGTTTCTGGAATTGGGTTAAAAAAACGGCTCAAACACGGGAGGGCGGGCGAGGTGCCTCTGGATAACTTTGTTTCTGAAGAGGTGGGTCATCATTGTGATGTGAGACAGAATTCCAAGAAATGACCCAAACATGGGAGTTTAGGGTTTCGGGTTTCTGAAGAGGTGGGTCACCATGTTTCTCAAGAACCACCAGAGTTGATGATGCACATGCTATGTTGTGGTCCATTTGTGTGCCACCCTCCTTCTCTCTCCCTGCCGTCCAATGAAGCTTCTCCTGCCCGAACTGCATCAGTCGCTACAAAGGGAATTTCTGCAGCATACACTGTGTGGTGAACTTACCCTCCTTCCCTCCTCCTTATTCCTCACTCCCTCCCCCTTCCGCCCTCCTCCCTGCCGTCCCTCGCAGCTTCTCATGCTCGCACTGCATCACCTGCGGCACAAGCACTTCTACTGCATACACTGTGGCTGTCAGGTGGGTGCTCTGTTGCTGCCAGGTGGGTGCTCTGTTTCAGCCAGGTGGGCGCTCTGTTGCTGTCAGGTGGGTGCTCTGTGGCTGCCAGGTGGGTGCTCTGTTGCTGCCAGGTGGGTGCTCTGTTGCTGCCTGGTGGGTGCTCGTTGCTGTCAGGTGTGTGGTCTGTTGTTGTCAGGTGAATTCGGGCATCAGGGTTTTACTCTGCAATCAGGAGTGCTCATGGTGCTCTTTGCATTATGCTGTTTCACTCACCCTTAAAACCATCATCGTGTCGTTTACGCGTGCCCAAACCTGCAACATCTTGTTTACACGTGAGTTACTGGAAGCTCTTGCTGACACGTTACAGTTTTGTAGGCTTTCACAATATGGAATAAAGTTCCCCCCTCCTCCCCCCACCTTCCCCTCCTGCCTTTTCTTTGTCATCCCTCTCCTGCTGCAAGCTGTGTGCAGTATGAGAGTGAGGAGGCACTTGCAAGCATGTGCCCGGGGGAAGACGAGGAGGCACACTGACGAAACACTTGCTGGGTATACCTCAGCTTCCGTTCTCAAGAGTGGTCAAGAGTGGTTAAGAGCGGTCAGGAGTGGGCAAGAATGGTCAAGACTGATTAGAAATATTGTTCAGTTCGGAGGGGGGTTTGAGGAGAAAAAAGGTCATGGTTGGCAACTGCCATTGTGACTTTACCGAGGCTCCTCAAAACAGGATTGTTTGTGGTATGAATGTAACAGCAGTGTATACTACAGGCTAAAGCAAAGTGTACTCCAGTTGAGCATCCTCACCCTTCCTAACCACACCTAATCTAAGACCTAAGGATAAGAGGCTTACCAAGTTAATGGCTAACACCGATCCAGATCCATCACTGCACTTCGCCACGGCATTTTTCAAGGCGCCTCAAGAAATCATTTATTGGTGCTGCTCTGCCTGCTCCCAGTCCCAGGCCCGGCCTGCCATCTCTGCTTTTGGTGCCTTGAAACTAGTCCGATAGTTCCACGAAGGAACAAACCTTGGAAGTATCCCATGTCATGTGACCAGCCGATCGCGCTTGGCTGAGGCCACTTATTGATGCGGTGGAACGGCGGAGCACCACCAATAAATGAATCGCTTTCCTCTCACACCCCTTTCTTCACGCTCAGACCCTTTCTCCTCACACCCCTTTCTTCACGCTCAGACCCTTTCTCCTCACACCCCTTTCTTCACGCTCAGACCCTTTCTCCTCACACCCCTTTCTTCACGCTCAGACCCTTTCTCCTCACACCCCTTTCTTCACGCTCAGACCCTTTCTCCTCACACCCCTTTCTTCACGCTCAGACCCTTTCTCCTCACACCCCTTTCTTCACGCTCAGACCCTTTCTCCTCACACCCCTTTCTTCTCACTCGCACCCATTTCCTCACACTCCTTGCCTCTCTCACGCCCCTTGGAAAATCCTCCCCAGTCGCATGATTCCACTGGCCCTCTTCTTTCTCTCCTCCTTAGAAGCGGTCTTGTCTTTCACTACAAGCTCCACCACGTGCCGCAGTGTACTCTCTATGTCCAGCACGCTGATCTGGAAACATAAAGAGGGATACAGTGGAAGAAAGAGGGATAAAGTGGGAGAAGAGGGATAAAGTGGGAGAAAGAGGGATAAAGAGGGATAAAGAGGGATAAAGAGGGATACAGTGGGAGAAAGAGGGATAAAGTGGGAGAAAGAGGGATAAAGTGGGAGAAAGAGGGATAAAGTGGGAGAAAGAGGGATAAAGAGGGATAAAGAGGGATAAAGAGGGATACAGTGGGAGAAAGAGGGATAAAGTGGGAGAAAGAGGGATAAAGTGGGAGAAAGAGGGATAAAGTGGGAGAAAGAGGGATAAAGAGGGATAAAGAGGGATAAAGAGGGATACAGTGGGAGAAAGAGGGATAAAGTGGGAGAAAGAGGGATAAAGTGGGAGAAAGAGGGATAAAGTGGGAGAAAGAGGGATAAAGAGGGATAAAGAGGGATAAAGAAGGATACAGTGGGAGAAAGAGGGATAAAGTGGGAGAAAGAGGGATAAAGTGGGAGAAAGAGGGATAAAGTGGGAGAAAGAGGGATAAAGAGGGATAAAGAGGGATAAAGAGGGATACAGTGGGAGAAAGCGGAGGAATGCACTTCGTACTGCAACAGTCCCTCACAGAATCAGCTTCTGAAAAATTCCAGCGAACAGAGGTTCAAACGCGGAGAAAAGAAAGAAAGAAAGAAAGAAAAAGAACACTGACCATCCAGACGGAGTTGAGGAATTCAGGCATGTTGGGCTGCTCGCTGGCTGGCTTCTGAGGGTCCATGCTGACCTTCATCTCTGATAGCCTGTGGGATGATTTGCGTATGGATAGGAGAAATAGTAGAGAGGCGAGAGGAGTGGGATTAGAGGAAGAGCAAGAACCAGAAACTGTTTCTGGTGCTCTCTGGCTGGCTTCTGAGGGACCAAGTTGACCTTCAGCTCCGATCTGATAGCCTGTGGGGTGAGCGGGAAGGGTAGGAGGGAAGGGGAGTCAGAATCAGGAGAGGGGGAAAGTGGGATACACGGGGAAGAACCATGAATGGTGCTGCTCTCTGCCTGGCTTCTGAGAGCCCATGCTGACCTTCATCTCTGATAGCCAGCAGAGGAGAGCGAGAGGGGATAAGGATGGTTTGGGGAAGAGTGCAGGGGGGGGATGATGAATGGTGCTTTCTGAACGGCTTAAAAAGGTCTATTTCAACCTTTTATCTTGGGACGGATTCTCTAAGAGATGTGGAACTAGGGCGCACGAATTTACGCTTGTTTCGACCTTTGTCTCACGGCCGATTCTCAGGAAGAAGGGGAAAAAGGCCGCGTGGAGGAGGGCAGGAGGGAAAAGACAGGGGATGAGGGGGGGAGCGTGGGAGAAGGAGTGGTGACAGATCAAGCCCCACAAGCAACATCCAGCCCCCTCTGAAAAGAACAAAACGAGTCTCAAGAAATTAGGGAATCTGCCTGGGTGTACAAGACTCCGGTCTTTCTTATGTAGGAGTCCGACTCTCAAAAGTGACTGTTCCTACAAGACTCCGAGAAGACGCAAGACTCCAAGACTCCGACGCTTACTTAAGTGCCGCATCCACAGCGTTGTACCGAGCCTTCATGGTGTGCCCCGATTCCTTCACCGCATTCACAAAGCTAGTTAAGTGCCCAACTCCAAGTAAGAGACTTACTTAAGTGCTGCATCAACAGCGTTGTACCGTGTCTTCATGGTGTGCCCCGACTCCTACTTACAAGAGTCCTACTCCCAGCTCCAAACTAAAGACTTACTTAAGTGCTGCATCAACAGCGTTGTACCGTGTCTTCATGGTGTGCCCCGACTCCTACTTACAAGAGTCCTACTCCCAGCTCCAAACTAAAGACTTACTTAAGTGCTGCATCAACAGCGTTGTACCGGGTCTTCATAGTGTGCCCCGACTCTTTCACCGCATTCACAAACCCCGGAATGCCGAGCATCTCTGTGAGGCCCAGTAGCACCTGCGCGCGCGAGTAGTACGTGTAGCTGTTGAAACGGAGGAGAGAGGGTGAGGGGAGGGGGCGTCAGGAGGGTGGGAAAGGAGATGGGGAGCGATGGAAAGAATAACACGTTAGGGAGGGGTAGAGGGTGCGTTCAAAAAGCTGGGAACTTTTGAGACGTCTCAAAAGTCAGGAGGGTGGGAAAGGAGATGGGGAGCGATGGACAGAATAACACGTTAGGGAGGGGTAGAGTAGAGGGTGCGTTCACAAAGCTGGGAATGCCAAGCATCTCTGCGAGGCCCAGCAGCACCTGCGCCCGCGAGTAGTACGTGTGGCTGATGGAGGGGAGGTGTGGAGAGGAGGGAAACGAGATGAGATGATTAGGTTGGGCCTTTCTGCGAGGCCCAGCAGCACCTGCGCCCGCGAGTGCTACAGAAACACCACCTACACAATACAATGCCAATACACACCATGTAACCAATGCAGTGCAGGAAAGCGACCCTAAAAGCCTCCCCCTTCACAGCTTCCCTCACAAACCCCTCCTCTATTTAAGTCGACTCGAAAACCACCTACCTACCCAATACAGCCCCACTACACCTACCCAATGCAGTGTAGGAAGGCAACCCCGAAAGCTTCGCCCTTTAACTCATCCACCTGCTTCACAGCCTCCCTCACAAACTCCTCCTCATCCCCTCTCAACCACAACCACACAAACACCGTTCAACAACAGTCCCACCGCCCCACATACCCGATGCAGTGCAGGAAGGCAACCCCGAAAGCCTCCCCCTTCAACTCATCCACCTGCTTCACAGCCTCCCTCACAAACTCCTCCTCATCCCCTCTCAACCACGTCCCCAACCTCCTCAACAACCCGTCAGCCAGCTCCCTCTCCCGCCGCGCCTGCCACCGCTTCACCTCCTCCACCGTCAGATTCCCCGCCGCTGTATACGCCACTGTCAACTCCCCCACAAGCGGTTTGAACCGGTCTGCACCGAACGCCATGGTGAAGAAGGAACCCGGGTCCATGAATGTGTCTTCAAGCGCGGCGCGGCCGAAGCGGTCGTACTGCTCGCGCTTGACGGGGTCCATGAGGACTTGGTAAGCCTCGCCCACTGCTTGGAACTTGGCCTTGGCGGACTCGTCTCCGGGGTTCTTGTCGGGATGGCAGGTGCGCGCTAGCTGAAAAAGAGAGGTTGACAGTGGGGTGTGGGAGGGCGTGGGAGGAAATTGGACTTTGCTTTTGAGGCGCCTCAAAAGGCGTGGGAGGAAATTGGACTTTGCTTGTGCTGAATTTGTGTTGCTTCGGCAAAGATGTCACTCACAAGAGCGCCCAGGTCACCCACCCATACCATCACCAACCTTGGCCCCGTCCACGTCATCACCATGCACGTCATCAACATCCACATCATCACCATCCACGTCATCACCATCCACGTCAAGATAACACCCACTTCCCCAACCTTCCCCCCCCCCCTTCCCATTTCCTCTCCTCCCCCCTCCCTCCCCCCGCCCTCCCCCCTCCTCCCTTCCTCTCTCCGCATCTTTCCCCCTCACACCGCGCACCTTATAGTACGCCTTCTTAATCTCCACGGACGACGCGTCCGTCGCGACTTCTAAGACCAAGTAGAGCGCCTCGTCCTTAACTTCCCTCTTCTCCCCCTTCTTCTCCGCTTCCGCCGCGGCCGCCGCTTCCGCGGCTGACGTGGCGGCTACTTCGTCGGCAGCAGCCTTCGCCGCTGACGCGGCAGTCGCCTCTGTTTCCGCTTCCAGCGCAATCTTCTCGACAGTTTCGCGCGTGTGCGAGTACGTCTGTTCGTTAAGCTTATCCGCGTCTGGATCTTCTAAAATCTCCCCTTTTTCCGCCTCCTCCTCGCACTTATCCTTCTTCATCATCTCCCGAACCGCGTCGGGCATGTTCTTAATCCCCTGTCCCAGCTGCTGCGCGCCTTGCACGATTCCTATAGTAGGCAGCACGACGAGACTAGCCACCCCCGCCACGGTCCCTTTAACCAATCCGATCCCGCCCTCCTGCGCAGCGCCCGCAATCGGCGCCGCGACGAGCGCGCCGACGCCGGCGAAGACGCCCTTACCGACGGAAATAAAGCCTTTTCGGATGCCTTCGCGAAGGTTCTTCGCGCTGCGGTCGCCGTAGAGCTGGTCGATGCGCTCCTGAACCTCCTTCAGGGTCATCGGCTGCACACCGCCGTGACCGCCGCCGCCGCCGCCCCCGCCGGCGGCGGTAGGCGGAGCGGACGACATTTTCTTTGCTGCTGTCGAGCTGACAGTCGGAAGGGGTTCAACGGCGCGACGTCAGAGGGAAGAGGAGAAAGGTAGCGGCGGAAGGCGGGGAGCGGGGGAAAGGGGGCGCGTAGTAAATGTGAGTGGCAATGTGTGCGTTGATGGGGAAGAATATATGGCATATGAAGCATGAATGGAATCGGGAAACGGAGAACCCGAGATGGATCCACGTAGATTGGAATTCTACATTTCTTCACAGTTAGAGATCACTTAGTTTCCCATCTTGACCACTGAGCAAAAAAAATAATTCATGCTTACTCCTGATTCGGCAGGAACTCGGCGGCTCGGCGAAGAGCACTTGGAATGCTCGCCGGCACCCAAGCTGGGCGTCCTTCGCGCGCTATGCTGGGCAGAAAGGGAAATCTGCTAGATCGGTTGAACAAACAAGAGGCTCCTAAATGAGCTCCCCACGAAATAGGTCCTCGAGATTATCTTACGGGGCTCAACAGCTATATTATTTCTGGAACGAAACGAAACCAAGGAAACGAGGCAAAACCTAGCGAATCTATCAAGGAGATGTGTGCGATGGGGTGGGGGGAGGTGTATGCGACCCAAGAGCGAGCTCAACGTCGCAAGAGAGGGGTGGCTGGCAGGTGGGTAGCTAGCGATGCTCGTGAGAATGCACGTGAGCAAGGGATGCGAGTACAACGCGGCCATTTTCAGGTGCATGCAACTTAGTCTAGTAACTGTATTCAGGTGCATGCCATGTTATTGAGAAGGTGTGTACACTTTGCGCAGCTTAGGAATTTGTTATCGTAAAATGACGCACTTCCCTAGATTCGTTTAAAATTAGCACAAACAGTCGAGAATAGATGCGATTCCGGATTACGCAAATCGAAATCGGAATGGTTGGCTCTCGATTCTGCATTTTCTGACGTCACCAGAAGCATCATTGCATGGTTGCTCAATTTCAACGCGAATTTCTGTTTCGCCCGAAGTCTTCTTGAAAATTTTTAAATGCTAGCTCAGCTGTACTGTTGGCGTCGGTGACGACCGCTGCGCATGACAAAAATACAAAATTTTGAAATTTGGAAAGGGTAATCCCAAACATGAGAAGTCTGCCCGACTGTTCGTAAAGTTTGCCCCTACAAAATATAATGTTGATACAGTACATGAATATTCTAAATGTTGGAATATCTTAGCTTTCTTTATTTAACATTCATAATACTTGTTTGTATTTTACTGCGGTAGGCTATTAGAACTCGGGCAGATTTTTCACGTTTCGGATTACCCTTTCCCAATTTCTGCACGCCCAAGAAAAATTTGTTAATTTGTCATGCGCAGCGTCCGTCAACCGCGTCAACAGTACAACTGTTCTAGCATTTAAGTTCGTTTAAAACGAGTTGGGGCGAAGCAGAAATTCGCGTCGAAATCGGGCAACATGCAATGATTGCTTCCGGTGACGTCAGAAAATGCAGGGTCGAGAGCCAACCATTCCGATTTCGCTTTGCGTAATCCGGAATCACTCCTATTCTCGACTGTTTGTGCTAATTTTAAACGAATCTTGCGAAGCGTGTAATTTTACGTTAACAAATTTGTAAGCTACGTAAAGTGTACACACCTGCCCAATAACATGGCATGCACCTGAATACAGTTCCTAGGCTAAGTTGCATGCACCTGAAAATGGCCGAGTACGACGGGTCGGGTCGCACAGCTTTTGTTTGGAGAGGCGGTCGGTAGCCAAGGACAAAGTGATGCGATGACTGCGCTGATTGGTGCACGACGTTTTTGAGGTCGTCGGCAGATTCCTTCCGTCAGGCTTGGTTTGCGCTGCTGTCGGTGTCGTGCCACAAGATTCGGGCTTGATTTCATTGGCTGGGCGATGAATTACTACCTACGGGGGCACAGCTGGCCGTCACTGTCAACGAACAAGAAGATTTTTTCGCAGGAATTCGCGCGCGTCGCGTAAATTTGGGAACCGTTTTAGCCCTTATCCTCCACCACAGACCAGATCAATGTTGTAGCGCAGTTGCGCCGTAAGAACATTCATAACGTATAACCATGGAATTGCTACAAGCAAGTTCAGAGGATTGCCTGACCAAGCCCTGTACATTTTAGCTGCTTGGCCTGAGCATTGCCATAACTAAATTTGAATCTATGCAGCAAAATCAACAATCAATGGTATCCGGTGTCTCTTCACTGCTCAGAGACGAGAGCGAGAGGCGAAGGTTCAGATCCAACAGAGGACGGGAAGGCGGGCTCATCCCCCCAAAGCTGGATGTAGTTGTGCCACTACAGGAAGCAGCACTTACATAAGCTCCCGAGCCCTTCCCTGGACCGAAAAAAGCAGGCGCATCTCTTGCTGCACCGGCTTTCCCACAGGTAAAAAAACTCTCAGCTGCAAATGGAGCCGCAACAACCTGTGGTTCCTGTTGAGTTGAGAAAGAGGGCGCTAAGGCTAACTGCCGGCTTTGCTCCAGTACCAGCTTCTGCCTCTGCTGGAGTGCGAGCTGCTCCCTCTGCTGCTGCATGACCGCCTGGTGGGATGCCAGCAGCAGTGCTGAAAGCTTCTCCTCCTCTTCATGCAGCCTCTTCCTTCTCAAGCCATTCCTGTCCATGACCAAGTCCTCCGCCTCCCGTCGCTCCGCCGCCCGTCGCTGTTCTGCCTGGAGCCACGACTGCAGCAGCACTTGCTCCAACGGCATCTGCTTCTCTCTGCCGTGCTCCTCCCGCCGTGCACCTCCAAACGTGCTCTGCCGCGCACAACCCTCCACCCAATTCGTACAGCCCAAGTCGTTTTCCATCCGTATCCCTTCGCCTCGAACGCGGTGCCACTCCCCTTCCCTCACGCCCCGCTGCCCATCCAGCAGCGATGCCATGCTGAGAGTTGACCGTTGCAAGCCTTCCTTTCCGCGGCGGTCCGACTCGCACGATAGTGGTACTGCGAGAATGCCCTTTCCTGCTTGACTCGCCGCTAAGGTCTGCATCTTGTGCTGGCTCCGCAGCAGTAGCAGCAGCTGCTGATGCTGCAGCAGCTGATGCTGATGCTGCAGCAGCTGATGCTGCTGCTGCGCCTCATCAGCCAGCGTGCTGCTGGCCGCGCAGTCGTCACCGCACGAGGGGAGGAGCAAACCGGGCCGGTTCTCCTCCTCCCTCGCAGCCGTTTCCTTCGCCAAGCGCTCCTCGAAGTGCTGCGCGAATCGCTGCTGGCCGAATTGCTGCGCGAAATGCTGCGAGAATCGCTGCGCCGCCACTAGATCATCATCCACCGCCGCATCCCTACTATGCATCGCCGTGATCTCCGGAGGTTCCAGATCGCCGCTCTCGCACGCCGCGGCGGCGGTCTTCACCACGCGCCGGCGGCAGCGTCGACGCGGCGCTTCTTCAAGGAGCAAGCCGCGGGTGACTTGCGAGTCGGAAATGCCCGCGAAAAACGGCTCTCTGTCGGACAAGCGAGCATCATGATCTTCCAGTGCGTCCCGTTTACAGAGAAAGGAATAACCGACTGTAGGAGCAACCATGCGACCACTTCCGCCCACGATAGCCATAGCCGTACTCGTGTTAGCGTTAATCATAGCGTTGATCATCTGGCCCGAGGACGGGGTGATATTAGGGTTCCACGATGGCACGTCGCTCGACATGATCATTTGAACAGCCGCGGAGGTGGCGGCGGCGGCTGCGGCGGTCAGGGCGGCTCCGCCGGAGGGGCTTCTGGCGCCGTGAGGGTGCGACGTCGTCCGCTGGGCGACGACGGTTAGCGGCGGCGACGGTAAAGCGCCGCCGCGCGACGGCGTCGCCGGATCGTAACAGCCGGTTGTTGCATCACGTTCGAGCGATGACCAGAAAGTCGCGGAGAGGCAGCGGCCCGTCGACGCGAAATTTCTTGATTGTTGCTTATCAATCTGCGGAGCGGCAGCCGCGAACCCGGCGAGCGCCGCTGTCGCCGCCTCCGCCGGCGCTGGCGGTGGCGTCGTCCACGTCAGCGCGACAGGCTGCGACGCGACGACATCGTGTCGAAGAGCGGAGTGCTGGCACATGATGGCGACGGGGAGCTCTGAACTTGCCTCTCTCGGAGAGACTCTCCTCAGAGAAATTGGCGTATCCAAAATCCCACTCCGAGTAGGAGTCCTACTATTAGCGGAATCCCGAATTTATTTGAGGAGAAAGTACTGCTGGAACCATTCTAGCCTGAGAACGCGGAAACTCGAACTGGGTACGTCACACGCGGGCGAAGAAATAATTATCACCCTCGGACGATTCAAGGGAGACTTGTGTGCACTACTACATATCTCTTGCGGATTTCTCATAATTTCAAGTCTCGCCGCTTTCTCGCTCCAAAAATCCTCCCCCCTACCCCGCTCTTTCGGGTCTGCTCTCACGAGGCACGACTCGTGTGGCATTGGTTGAGGCATGGTGAGATGAGAGGAGCCCCCCCGAAAATCGCGGTGAGTTGAAGAGTCGAGTCGAGATTGCGCCGTGTGACGTCGACTCAGACTCTGAGTCCGTCCAGCCATCCTGTCGCGACTCATACGGCTGAGATTCTGAGATACGATCACCACTGGCCATGGCTAGCGATTGGACAAGATAGGAGGCCGATGTGAGGACCGCTGCTGACTGTCCTTCGGCCAGGCTGGCAGCAAATAACACGCGGTATATCGCGCGCTTCGATGTTCTTAGAGGCCACCATTGATGGTCCTCGCAAATCATCATGAGTTAATGCCAGCGAAGCAGCACTTAGAGCAATTCTGTTTCAAGACATTGAATAACTGGCTAGTGGCAGTTTCAGTCCCAGCTGACTTATCAGGCGAACTCTTGAGACTAGACTCTTGAATCCTCCGAAGAGAGACAGCCAGGGAAGAGGGGAGCTGGGGGAGGGAACACCGAAACTCTACCCTTGAAACTAGAGACTTCTTGACTGCTTAGCCAAAACACACGCGCAAGAATCAGGAAAAAAAAATACCCTGTTTGGTTTGCTCCTGGCGGGGTGTTTTTTTTTCCGAGATAGAGAATCCCAGGTTTTTGTTTCTTACCCTTCTTCACATTTAGGGCGTGGGCCCAATCGGGTTTGATCGCGACTGATCTGATCGGGGCGGATCTGATCGGGTTGCTTGTGATCACATTGCCCGAGCCGCCCGATCAGCAGAAATTTTCGTAGAACATTCGCGTTGGCTGCACAGCAAGCGGTGATCAATTACCAGGCATTTTCTGCCCAATTTTAGCGAGAATTGCGAGCAGACGGAACCTCGCGAAAATTTTTGCATCCCTGTAATATCGCCAAACCCACTCCGCACGTCTTGTTCTTTGTGGAATCTTCAATTCGTGAGGGGTTGACGCGACCTAGTAATACAGAGTAACATTTCGCAAGCGTCGCTATGGCCCCGATCAGTAGCGATCAATTGATCGTATGTGATCGAGGAAAATCGACTCTGATCGGGGTGGAAATCGGGTCTGATTGAGTTTGGGCGATCAGCTGATTGCGATCAGCTGATTGCCCCCGATTGCCTGAAAATGGCTTCCAGGGTTCCTGGAAATTATTGATTGCGGCTGATCGAGGCGATCAAACCCGATTGGGACCACGCCCTTAGCGCCAATAGTGACCCCCGTTTCTGGTTCTTCATTTACCGTCGGAGCCTTCTCCCCCTCGCGCCCAAAATTTCCCAACTTCGGTTGTAGCGGGAGGGGGTAAAATCGAGCCCCGAAACACCCTCAGAACCATCAACAATTACCAGAACACCACCAGTTTGTTGGGACGAAGGTGATGTGTGGTGATGGTGGCGCGCAATGGGTGATTACATGGTAATGAGACGGCCGCGACATTTCTAGGGTAGTGCAACACTCATGTACAACTGTTTTTTTTTTTTTTAAGCTTGTACAACGTTGTCATAACCCCGGGGTTAGGATTTATGTACTTGGGTAGAGTTTTATGTACTTCCGACCTGCCACAACTTGTAATTTTACACCTGGAAATTTAGAGGGGAAGCAATGTTCTTTGTCCGTGTGCCGTTGTTAATCTGCATACACTCTGTTTTGCGCCACACTGACATTCGCCATACTGACAAGCCGGATGTACTGACATGAATGCGTCCAAATTGGTCCCAGAACATACCATATATGCACATTTACCGTATACAACCGAACGCAAAAGCACGTTTTTTTCCATGAACCGTTGTTTACCGTTCTCTTGATCGGTTACAAGCACCAGCCCGCTGAATCCAAGCACACGTGCGCACTGTAGCCGGGGCTCCCGATTGTCCGAACATCAAGAAACAGGATGTAGAAATGTTTCAGATTGTTGAGAGGGACGGGCTGTCGTTTTCTTCTGTCAGTGGCAAAATGTAGGGAGGGATCCAACGGAAACCTGGGCGAGAAAAGGGACCGTAACTGCTAGTTCTGGGTTGCAGGCGTCGGGACACGGAGACCAACACGGGACTGAGGTTGAGGTTGAAAGTGGGTGCGTTGTTCGTTGGTCTTTATTAAATGAGGGCAGTGTACAGTAACTACGGTGGGCAGTCCTGCCAAGAGTGGTTGTGTGATGTGATTGGAATCAAAAGCTCGGGCCATTTTCAGGTGCAATCTCTACAATTGGGGAAATGTGTTCAGGTTTGATCCCGGCGCATCTTTCCAAGTCTCTGTTGCGTACTGTACACGCGGGCCGGAACAGAGCCTTTAAAAGATACGCCACTCAAATCTGTACTGGCTGAGGGAAATTGATGGGAAATCAATGCGCCACACACGATTTGTTTACCGAGGCTACCAGGAATTGCTAAGACATACCCTGAAATTATAAAACTTAAACGCTTTAGTGACCCTGGACGCATTTTTGGGAGATCAACCCTAAACACGTGAACCCCCTGGTTTTAAGGGTTGATGCCTCCGTAAGGTTTTCGTGACAAAAAAAATAAAACCCAATCGGGACGCAATCGAATCGGGAGGCATCAACCCTAAACACCAGATAGGTTCCGGTGTTTAGAGTTGATCCCTCCCGAAACTGCTTCGAGGTTCTCTAGGGGTTTTATTTTGTTTTTTTCGGGTGGCCTTAACAGCTTCGGGTAGTTTGGCCTGGCCATGCTGTATGTTTGACTTCCGTCAGGATGTGTCAGAGACAATCCGTCAGCTGAACAAGATGTGCGTGGCGAGTCTGCATAAGGTACTGTTGCGGCACGTGTGTACAGTGCCGCAACAGTGCCGTAACAGATTGGGATCGCACCTGAACACATATTCTGTACTATAGAGATTGCACCTGAAAATGGCCCTCAAAAGCTCTAGTGTGGAGCGCGTTCGTCATTTTTTTTCGGGCTTGCTCGTCATTTCACAGCCTGGCTAGTAGCGGTCCTGGTCACCACGAAGTGTTGCGACCCACACGGATTGGGTCGACCACTCCCCGACCCTTCATTTCTAGGAAGGCTGCGTCACGGGTCTACCCGACCAGGTCGACCAGACCCAAACCAACCGAGTTGGAGCAGGTTACCTGAGCCTACGAAATTTATAGCTCTCGCGCAGCGATCACCCTGATTTCGTCGCCTAAAAAGATACCAGGTAAACTCGCACAAGTCTCGCCACAGCTCGCCACAGGTCGCCCAGGCCACCATTCCCTCGCGCGGCAACTGCTTAGCATCACCCCTTGAGGATGTTCGGAATGAGTTGGGAAATTCTCGAAAATCTCGAATCGCGTTTTTGGGGGTCTGGTCGGGTTGGATCCGGTCGACTAGGTCGACCCGACCAGACCCGAACCGTGTGGGTCGCAACCGTCGTTACGACGTGACCGGCTGATGAATGGGCTAGAGGTGCGGATTCTCGACCTTCTCGAGAGTCCCAATCCAACCAGACTTGGAAAGCAATTTTTCTCGCTCCAACTGTACCGTCCTCCAAGTACTGTACAAGCAATCTCCTCTGCTCGTGTTGTGTACAAGACTTTGTTCCGTCCGTCGCTCTGCTTTGTGGCCCACCGAATTTCCACGTGCTGTGAGGCACGAAGCAGCCCTCCAAATCCGGCAGTTGCAATTTAGATTTCGCATGCAGATCACACCAGACCAGAAACGCCACGCCTTCCCACCGCAAGACATTTCCAGCTCAGCATGCGATTTCAATAGTGCAAAACTAGTGCAAAACACTTCATTATGCCCTTACAATATAGCATATGCATGAGGATTTTGCATAATGTGTAACAGGTTAGCCTCTTTCCTAAGCAACCTCGTTCCTAAGCAGCTGCATTTGCTTGAACGATTTTCTTACGAGAGCCCTGCAAACATACACGGTGACATGAGGAAATGTTTGAACACATTCACTTATCACATTTAAAACCCGCGTCCCAAATTGCGGAGCACGAGAGTCAAGATTTTTACGGTAAACTTGACGAAGTGGAGTCTCCAAGCTTTTGAAAGTCACGCACCTGCAATTTGGGACTTTCGAAGACAGACCCACTCACCAGGGGGAAAAACGAGGGTTGGCTGAGTCTCGCGAAAAAAAAAAAAAAACGAACCTAGACGAAATTGGAAACTCTCGCCAAAGCCCACGCCAGAAAAACTCCATCTGGTCATCTTTTAAAAGCATGAACAATTTGGGCTGCCGGCTTTAAGCTCTATTGGTTCGGGTCGGATGCGTTGCCGGAGGAGTTTGAAGCATGCATGCATGCTCAATTGTCGGATGCGGTGAGGTGCTCTCACCATGAGCATGCATGCATGCATCCATGCTCTCACCATGAGCATGCATGTATGCATGTGAGTGTCCATGCTCTCACCATGAGCATGCGTGCATGTGAGTGTCCATGCTCTCACCATGAGCAGGCATGCATGTGAGTGTCCATGCTCTCACCATGAGCATGCATGCATGCATGCATGCATGTGTCCATGCTCTCACCATGAGCAGGCATGCATGTGAGTGTCCATGCTCTCACCATGAGCAGGCATGCATGTGAGTGTCCATGCTCTCACCATGAGCATGCATGCATGTGAGTGTCCATGCTCTCACCATGAGCATGCATGCATGTGAGTGTCCATGCTCTCACCATGAGCATGCATGCATGTGAGTGTCCATGCTCTCACCATGAGCATGCATGCATGTGAGTGTCCATGCTCTCACCATGAGCATGCATGCATGTGAGTGTCCATGCTCTCACCATGAGCATGCATGCATGTGAGTGTCCATGCTCTCACCATGAGCATGCATGCATGTGAGTGTCCATGCTCTCACCATGAGCATGCATGCATGTGAGTGTCCATGCTCTCACCATGAGCATGCATGCATGTGAGTGTCCATGCTCTCACCATGAGCATGCATGCATGTGAGTGTCCATGCTCTCACCATGAGCATGCATGCATGTGAGTGTCCATGCTCACCATGGGGATGCCAAGCTCCTTTAAGTCATTTTCTGACATGCGATGAAGAGTTTGCAAGTCAATCTGATGTTGGTGAGAGGGGGGGGGGAAAGGGGGGAAAGGGGGGGAAAGGGGGGGAAAGGGGGAAGAGGGAGAGAAAACCGCGACGAGGAGAAAGATTATGCAAATGGGAAGAGTGAGAGGCAGAGGAGATGGTGTTGTGAGAACCTGAGGATGTGAGCATTCAGAGGATGGGAGTTTGTGAGCATGTGAGGCGAATGGCAGTCATACAGAAAGTATGGGAGTTTGTGAGATTGTGCACATGTGCGCATGTGAGCTGAGTCTGACTGGCTGTCAGACAGACAGCGAGTTTGTGAAGAAGCAGTCTCAAATGCTGGCTTGTAATGATGGTGGATATTTTTTTTTTTTTCCTCCCAACTTTCTACTCTTCAATTTTGGAGTAAATCTTACCGAGGAGTTATTAGAGTCGACTATTTTGAATTTAAAAAAACCTGAATTTCTGCTCTTAAGAACTAAAGAAGGGGAAGAGGGGACGGGGATGGCAAAGAAAAGAAAAACAAGAGGAGCGGGGGGCGGAGGTGGGGTGTGCGGTTGTGCGTGTAAGAGAGCAGTGATGGGGGAGGGAAGCGTAAGCATCATCACCCCCTAATCGCAAACAGGTCCGTGTACTGGCTGCTGAGACCAAGGCTCGGCAAGGGAAGGAGAGCATGTGTGTGCGAGTGGATACAGATACAGTGCACGTGGGGCGAGGGGAGGGATGGCGCCTCACCTTCTCTGTTAATGAGTCCCAGATACAAAATGTGCGAGTGGATACAGATACAGTGCACGCGGGGCGAGGGGAGGGACGGCGCCTCACCTCCTCTGTCGTAAAGTGGTCCGTGTACTTGCTGAGTCCCAGGCTCGCAAGGAAGGACGCCACTGTCTGAGTGGTGGGCAGAAGGGTGGATGGGCGGATGGGCGGATGGGCGGATGGGTGAATGTGTGAATGGGTGGATGGGCAGAGAATTGTAGAACGGTGAAGATGGGTTAAGAAACCAGAACTTGGTTGCGATACAAAGCAACCCACATACAACTGCAATCGCAACAACTAAAGAAACGCAACTTGTCCATGGCATGTACGTATCGACTTTTGAGGCGCCTCTAAAGTCAACTACAGAAACGCAACATACCAAATCGCCATAGACATTTTGTGAGTGGGGGCTGTATTAGCATCCCACACACATCAACCTACATGCATCCCTCATTCATACAGCATCACAACATCCCACATTGTATTTCACGCGTCCAACAAACCAGGTATACATTCCCCAAAACAGCATCCCCCAAAGGGTAAAGGCACAAACCATGACAAACGCATATATTACTGGCAACAGTCACAAGCCCTCTCTACAGCGTTCCTCACCTGCTGCTCGTCGCCCCCCTCCATAGTCACATCAGCATTCATTGCTGTCACGCCCCTCTCATTCCAAACCCCCCTCTTCCCCCCAACACCCCCCACCGACCCTTCCCCCCCCTCCTAAGCTGCATCTCACCTGCTGCTCATCGCCCTCCCCCACAGCCACGTCTTGCATCCCCGCCCCTCTCATACCAATGGTAGTGGGAAGGGGAGGGGGGGCCCTCTCATAACAGACCCCCCTCTTCCCCCCCCCCCTCTCTTCTAAGCTGCATCTCACCTGCTGCTCATCGCCCTCCCCCATAGCCACGTCAGCATCCATAGCTGCCGCCCCCCTCTCCTCCCCCACCCCCACCGACCCCACTGCCCCCACCACGGTGCTTCTCCTCCTCACGCTCCCCGCTCCACCACCGTCCCCATCGTTTGCCACCACCACTGTCAGCCTCCTCTGCTGCTGCTGCTGCTGCTGCTGCTGCTGCTGCGGCTGTTGCTTCACTAGCCTTTCTCCCATTCCCCTTCCTCCTGCTGCTGCAGCGGCAGCAGCAGCTGCTACTCTCACCACCCCTCCCACGTCCCCACCAACCACCACACGTTCTTCACTCCTAAAGGATAGAGAGGATAGGTTTGTCATTGCTCCTCTACCCTTCACCACCACCCCCGCTCCTCCTACCCCTGGCGCTGCTCCACCGCTTCCTCCCCTTCCCCCTCCCCCTCCTCCTCCCCCTTCTGCTGCTAAAATCCCCGCACTGCCCCCCCCAGCAGTGCTTACTCTCCCCCTGTGGACCTTCCCCCCACTTCCCCCGTTTCCCCCGCTCCCCCCAGACAGCTTGTGGCGCAGGTCCCCCACCTGCACTCTTCCGCCCAACCTCTCCCCCAGCCTTCCCCCCAGCTTCCCCCCTGCCCCCCGCAGGTTTCCCCCCTTGGCTCTAAGCAGCGCGCGGAGGTCGTTGGCTGGGGGGACCCCTGTGGGAGTTTGGGGGAGGGGAAGGGGAAAAGGGAGAGAGAGGGGGGAGAGGCAGGGGAGCATAGCCGGGGGGGTGCAGAGGGGGAAGGGAAGAAAATCCCTGAATAGATGTATGCAAGAAAATCTACGCAAGTGAATATGGAATCTATTTGACGCAAGGATCCTTGAGTTCTTTGGACATCTTCCAGTGAGCAGCACTTGCGTAGGAGTAGGTTTAAGCAAGTAGGAAAAGACGGTGTGTAAAAACTACACACTAGCTAATCACCGAGAGTTAGCTCACTGGAAGATGTCCAAAGATCTATTTGACGCAAGGATCCTGGAGTTACAAAAAAAAGGGACTAAAAAAAAAAAAAAAGCTGGGATACTTGAATATGGGATTCGAAAAGCTGGGTGCGACTGAGGAGCTGAGAAAGAGAGAGCGGGAACAGAAGAGGGTGGTAGAAACACCAGGGAGAGGGAGGGAGTGCGAGGGAGCGGAGGGGAGTGGAGGGGAGTGGAGGGGAGTGAAGGGGAGTGGAGGAGAGTGGAGGGGAGTGGAGCGGAGTGGAGGGAAGTGGAGGGAAGTGGAGGGGAGTGGAGGGGAGTGAAGAGGAGTGGAGGAGAGTGGAGGGGAGTGGAGGGGAGTAGAGCGGAGTGGAGGGAAGTGGAGGGGAGTGGAGGGGAGTGGAGGAGAGTGGAGGGGAGTAGAGGGGAGTGGAGGGGAGTGGAGGGGAGTAGAGCGGAGTGGAGGGAAGTGGAGGGGAGTGGAGGGGAGTGGAGGGGAGTGGAGGAGAGTGGAGGGGAGTAGAGGGGAGTGGAGGGGAGTGGAGGGGAGTAGAGCGGAGTGGAGGGAAGTGGAGGGGAGTGGAGGGGAGCGGAGCGGAGTGGAGGGAAGTGGAGGGGAGTGGAGGGAAGTGGAGGGGAGTGGAGGGGAGTGGAGGGGAGTGGAGGGGGGTGGAGTGGGATGGAGAAAAGACGCACCGTCTCCAGTAGGGTCATCATCACCACCACCGATCTGATCAAACAGGTCGTGATGCCACCTGTCGTCATCGCCACTGCCTCCAGTAGAGTGTCGCCTGAATGATGGTGGTGATAAAGGTGGGAAACAAGGTCAAGGGAAGCAAGGGGGTAGACTAAGGGCGTACCGTCACCAGCACGGTCATCATCACCACCGATCTAATCAAACAGGTCTAATTCACGGCCTAACCCGAGGCACAGGCAGAATGCGACGCATCCCGAACCGCAGGCAGACGCGGCGCACCTGAATGTGGTGGCGGAGCCGCCCTTCTTGAACGACACGCGGTTTCTGATTGGCCCGGTGCTCGCCGCGCCGCCTACGCGCACGCCGCCTCGCACCCCCGAGAGGCGCGCTCTCACGGTCTCCCGCTCCTCCTCTAGCCGATCCGCATACATGCCTCCGCGCGAATGGCGTTGACGTTTTAGAATTCTCAAAGGAACCTCGACGCGATTGGCTGATTCTTCGCAGACGCCGACTGGTCTTGTTGATTGGTTCTTGTTATCTCGTTTTTTTTTTTTTTTAACGGAAAACGGAAAATCGTAAGGGCGATTGAATGCAGAAGCAACGGAGCTGTGACAACGTCGAAGCACGTATGGCGAAACAAATCGCAACAAGCCCTAATCAACGACAACACGAAAGATATTCTGGTAACAAGTATTCAAGTGTTCAAATGCTGCGGTTCTACAATACTGCACAAAGAGTAGTCCTGGGGCTTCTTGAGGGCGTGTTTCTACTTCTACTTCTAAGTGAGACATTGCGGATACAATGATCCCTCCTGTTACACATCATGAGTTCAGGTTGCCCCAGCGAGTGTCGCACGAGGTGGCATCTCTACTTACTTGTTCGCTCAGCACGCACCGAGACCCGTACCTCGGAAGGGGACCTTCCAATCCCGGGTCAAAAATAACACACCCCCAAGCGAGTTTGTACAGCGCGCTTCGCTGCATGGTACAACCTGCTTTACATGCTACAACAAAATAATGAAGAAATAACAGATTCAGTATAATACCTAGGGATCAATATTTCTCTATCTGATTCGCTCCTACATAGTTAAACGCGCTTCTTCATACTCAATCATGAATACTTAACTTTAGGAACACAAAGCCTGCAGAACTTAACGTCGTATAGGACAACAGTCCCTTCACCAGCAAGCCAGTCCTTCCACTTCTGGCATACCACACCACCTTGGAAAACCGTGCGGCAGCCGTAAAAAATGCACGAGCCATTGCCGGCAGGCAGGCACTGCTTCCAGCCGAAGCTCCCACAACCCCATTCAGCCCGCCCTGTGCATCACGAGCAACAGCCAGTCTCCCTCCTCACCACCTGCCGGCCTCCAGCTTCTCCCAGAACTCGAAGGGCGTACGGCAGCCCGCCCTCCACGCCGCCTGCCCCCGCCTCATCAACTTCTCCCAGAACTCAAGGAGTGTACTGTATGCAAGTTCTACTCCAGTTGCTCCAGTTACTTCGCCGGTACCAGTTTCTTCCAATAATGGCAGGGTACATGGCCTCTAGAAAAACGCGCGGCAACCGTAAAAAATGCACGAGCCATTGCCGGCACTGCTTCCAGTCGCTCCGCCCACAGCCCCACTCGGCCCGCCTGCAGCAGCAGCAGCAGCACCCGCCCCTCCCCGCCGTCTGCCCGCCTCCAGCTTCTCCCAGAACTCCCGCCACGCCTGCCGGCGACTCTCCTCGAGATCCTCTATGGAGCACCCCCGGAACTTGTCCTCCATCGCTAAGAGCGACTGTGAGGAAGCAGGAGAGGGAGTGAGGCGAGGGGAGGAGGGGGGGGATTAGAAAGAGTTTGTCCTCCACAGCCAGAGAGACCGAGAGGCAAGGGGGGAGGGAGTAGGGCGGGGGGAGGGAGGTGGATAAGAGGGAGGGACAGAGGCAGAGTGCTTGCGACCCTCCCCTGCTCATCTCTCTCAAGCTCCGCAGGCTCTCTTTAAACAGCAGTCCACAGAACTCTGCTGCTTGGTCGTGAGTGAGAGTCCCCACCTGCACTGCCTGCTCACATCCACTTACCGCACCCAACCCACTCACAATCCCCCCCACCCCTTCTCACCTCTCTCAGGCTCCGCAGGCTCTCTTTAAACAGCAATCCACAGAACTCTGCTGCCTGGTCGTGAGTGAGAGCGCCCGACCGCACAGCCTGCTCATCGCCACCCACTTACCGCACCCAACCCACCAACGTCCAGCCCCACCGTTCTCACCTCTCTCAAGTTGCGCAGGCTCTCTTTGGACAGCAGTCCACAGAATTCAGCCGCCTGGTCGTGAGTGAGAGTGCCCGCCCGCACGGCCTGCTCACAGAGTGCCTCCGCCTCCTCCCTGCTCTTGCCCATGCTCGCCTGCCACTCCGCCGCTGCATGCTGCTGCACTGACAACACACTGCCATCCGATGCCGGTGCTGCACCCCCCGTACTTTTCGTTTGCTGCTGCGCTAACCCATGTGGTTGCGCTGGGATCACAGTGCCATTACCCGCCTGCTGCTGTGCCGCCTGCTGTGCCTGCTGCTGTGCCTGCTGCTGTGCCTGCTGCTGTGCCTGCTGCTGTGCCTGCTGCTGTGCCTGCTGCTGTGCCTGCTGCTGTGCCTGCTGCTGTGCCTGCTGCTGTGCCTGCTGCTGTGCCTGCTGCTGTGCCTGCTGCTGTGCCTGCTGCTGTGCCTGCTGCTGTGCCTGCTGCTGTGCCTGCTGCTGTGCCTGCTGCTGTGCCTGCTGCTGTGCCTGCTGCTGTGCCTGCTGCTGTGCCTGCTGCTGTGCCTGCTGCTGTGCCTGCTGCTGTGCCTGCTGCTGTGCCTGCTGCTGTGCCTGCTGCTGTGCCTGCTGCTGTGCCTGCTGCTGTGCCTGCTGCTGTGCCTGCTGCTGTGCCTGCTGCTGTGCCTGCTGCTGTGCCTGCTGCTGTGCCTGCTGCTGTGCCTGCTGCTGTGCCTGCTGCTGTGCCTGCTGCTGTGCCGACATCACACTCCCAGTTCCCCCCTGCTGATGCGCGTTTTGAGACGCTTCAAAGTTTGCCAACACACCGCCGCCCGCCCTATACTGGTGTGCCGAGCATGCTGTCTGTTCCTGTGCCGCCGCTACCCCAGCGCTTCTAGCTTGATGCTGTTCTGCTTGCTCACTGCCACTAGTCGGATGATTTGCAGCAGCTGCTGTAGCTGCGGCCGTGCCTGCTGCTGCTGTGCCCGTGCCTGCACCTGGCATTGCACCTGATGTGACAGCAGGCAGAAAAACACCTGAAAAAACACCTGGCGTAACACCTGATGTAGCACCTGGCATGGCACCAGGAGGGCTGCAGGCAGATGAATGATCTGTACTGGCAGATGTGGTGGCAGTGGTTGTGGTGGTGGCGGTGGCGGTAGTGGCAGTGGTGTTGGTGTTTGAGTGAGAAGGACGCCGCTTGTTTCTCTTCCCACACCCCGAGCGATCAGATGCCATTCCGTTCCTGCTCGGCCGTTCGACTGAGGTGCATGGTGCAGAAGGAGCAGCAGTGCCACCACCGTCAACAGCATGAGTGCCAGCCGCAGCACCAGCAGCAGCACAAGCAGCTGCACGACTTGCAGCAGCAGGATCTGCTAGCCAAAAAGCACCAGCACCAGCAGTGGAAGCTGACTGCTGTTGCTGCTGCAGAGCAGCTAGGGTTGCCAAAGCCTGCATACCCGCCAACCCAGGGCTTCCTTCTGCTGCTAACTCTCCTGCTTTTCCTGCTGCTGCTGATGCTGATGCTGTTCCATCACCTGCCGCTCCTGCTTCGCTTGTTGCTGCACTGTCCTGCCCCTGCCCCTTCCCCTGCCCCCGTTGCTGCCACTGCTGCTGCCCCTGCCCCTCTTGCTGCTGCTGCCCCTGCCCCTGCCCCTGCCCCTGCTGGTACTGCAACTGCTGCCCCTGCTGCCCCGGCTGCCCCTGTCCCATGAGGACCTTAGAGACCTGCCAGATAGCGGCTGCTTGCTCCCTCAGCAGCGCCGCCTCCTCCCCCTCCACCTTGCGGTGCCATGACAGCAGGCTTGGCAGCGGCAGGCCCGGCAGCGGGAGGTTCGGGAGAGAGGCTCGGAGGGTCGTGAGGGGACAGGTGGAGGAGGAAGGGTTGGAGGAGGAAGCAGGTGAGGAGGAGGGGAGGGAGGGAGGCGACGGGGGAGAGGAAAGAGAGGGAGGGGAGGGAGAGGGAGGAGAGGGAGAGGGAGGATTGGGGTGGCGACAGGGAGGGAGGAATGGAGAGGTGCTATTGATGGGAGTTGCCAAATGGGATGCTGGTGCTGCAGTGGGTGGTGTAGCTGCTGCAGCTGCAGGGGCTGCTGCATGAAAAGGCGGATGTGTGAAGTGGTTTTGGCAGTTCTGCTGGTGCTGGTGCTGCTGGTGTTGGTGAAGGGATGCAGAGGAGTTGAGGCTGTGATTGGGCTGGTGGAGAGTGGTGGAGGGGATAGCTGCCTCACTGACTTTCAGTAAAGCAGCAAACGCGCTGGGGGCAGTGGGAGGAGAGAGAGCAGAAGTGGGAGCAGGCGGAGCAGGATTAGGAAGGGGAATGCATGCAGGAGCGGAAGGAGCAGGGGCGGAGGGAACAGGAGCAGTGGAACCAGCAGCAACTGCGGCACTGGTAGGAGCAGGGGAATTAACATGAGCCAAGGAGGTTGCATGGGCTGCAGGGGTCGCATGAGCAGCAGCAAATGCTGCAGCAAAGCTGCGCTGCCAAGCAGGAGCCTCTGGTGAAAGCTGCCCGTCCCCTTCCTCCTTCCGTGCCCCCTCCTCCTCCTGCTGCTGCTGCTGCTGCTGCTGCTGCTGCTGCTGCTGCTGCTGCTGGGTGGCTAAATTTGGACGGCTCTTTCCAGCAGAAACAGCCTCTGCAGCCTGGGATGCCAAGAAGGCCATGAGGCTGGGTGGTAGGGCGGATGCAGTGGTGCATGCTGCTGCTGCTCCTGCTGCTGCTCCTGCTGCTGCTGCTGCTGCTGCTGTTGATGCTGCTGCTGCTGCTGCTGCTGCTCCCGTTGTTGCTGCTGCTCCTGTGGTTGCTGCTTTCGAGGGACTTACTGCCATTGGCGATGGTTGTGAGGCGGAAGCAGCTTCAGCCATGTGCACATCCTCTGTGGCATGCTCACTGCGGGGAAAGAGGGGAGTGAGACGGACCGATGGGGTAGGGTGGTGGGGGTTGAAGTGAGCGGGTCAAACGTGCAGTGCGATAGTGGGGAGCAGGCATGTGAGCAGCACAAGCTCACATGCCTGCATGTGAGCAGGCATGTGAGCAGCACAAGCTGCTTCAGCTATACACATGTCGCCTGAGGCATGCTCACTGCAAAGACCAACAGATGAAAGGCAGAGAAAGGGGTTGAGGCCAGCGAGGGAGGTGAGGTGAGAGACGGGCAGAGAGGGGGGAGAAACAGGTCATATTTGACCCTTTGTTTGAATTTCACATCCATAACCACTGCATCTCACCTGGCAGCATCGCATCTCACCCTGCAGCACCGCATTCAACCTGGCAGCACCGCATTCAACCTGGCAATGCTCAACTGTCAGCATGGGACACGGCTACATCAAGGACGGACGTGGGAGTGATCTGATCCTCCCTGTGCCATGCCGCTTGCCCCTGCCCTCCCACCCCACTCAACATCCCACCTCACCTGGCAGAACCGCAGCTCACCTGTCAGCATCGGACATGGCGACATCAAGCACGGACGTGGGCGTGACCTGATCCTCCCTGTGCCATGCCGCCTGCCCCTGCCCTCTTCCCCCGCCTCCTCCTCCTTCTCCTCCTCCCACACCTCCTCTTCTCTCCTCCCCAGCACACACCTCTGCTGCACTCCTTTCAACCATTTTTACTCCTGTTCCTCCCCCCTTTCCTAATCCCGTTACTGTCCCCGCATCCGCACCAGACGCGACGCCAGCTCCTCTACCCATCCCAAACCCTCCTGCCAGCCCACTAGACCCAGCAGCCGCAGCAGTAGAAGCTGCAGCAGCCGCAGCAGCGGCGGCAGCAGCAGCAGCAGCAGCAGCTGCACCTAGCCCAGGATTGGGCCCAGCAATAGCTGGCATGTCAACAGTACCTGGTGTGCCACTGCTGCCAGCCTGCCTTGGACCACACACAGCACTAGACACACCAGCAGGAGCAGAGGCAGGAGCAGAGGCAGGAGCAGAGGCTGTAGCAGTAGCTGTAAAACCGGCTGTAGCACTGGCTGTAGCACTGGCTGTAGCACTGGCCGTAGCACCGGCTGTGGCACTGGCTGTAGCACCAGCTGTAGCACCGGCTGTAGAACCGGCTGTAGTACTGAGAGCACTGCTGAGCGCACCTCCCCCTGTGCTCTGCTTCGCCTTCTGAGAATTCTCAAGTGCCAGCATCAGGTGGGGCAGGAAACTCCCTTTCCTTGTGCCCAATTCCGCCCCTACACCCGCCCCTGAACCAGCACCGGCACCCCGAGGTGACTTCTGAATCGACTCAAAAGCTGCTCCTAACCCAGCACCAGCGCCAGCACCAGCACCAGCACCACCCCCACCACCAACCAATGCTGCACAAGCAGAGATGCTGGTAGCAGCATCACCAGCGGCAAACGTGGAAGGCAGGATCGAACGGGAGGAAGGCTTGGAGGAGGCTCGGATGCCGGCTTGGCCCAGGCCTATCAGGCCCGGCGCCGGAGCTGGCGACTGGGGTGATGAGCTGTGAGTGTGAGGTTTCCGCCCCATGTCAACCCCCTTGCTGCCGCCTAGCGTCCCTCTCGCCCCAGCTACAACCCCTGCTGCAGCCCCTGCTCCTGAAGCGGCTGCAGCCGCAGCAGTGGCTGCTGCTGCTGCTGCTGCCAACCCTGCTGCCAGAGATCCCGCCGGTGCCGCCGCCGCTGCTGCTGCTGCTGCTGCTGCGGCTGCTGCTGGCGGTGGTGATGGTGAGGATGATGATTGCGCCTTGCGATGGCTCTCTGCTTCACTCAGCAGCTCAGCAAGACGGAGAATCCGTGAACCAGATGGGTGTGTATCGAGAGTAGCCACTGGTTGAAGCTGCTTCCCCTGCTTCTGCTGCGCCTGCTGCAGCTGCTGCAGCAACGGCGCTTTCTGCCCCTGCTGCTGCTGATGCTGATGCTTCCCCTGCTTCGCTTGCTGTTTCCCGTGCTGCTGCGGCTGCTCCTGCAGCTGCTGTTGTTTCCCCTGCTGCTGCTTGCACCCGCCCATGCCAAGCGATGACGACAGGGCTACAAGCCACGCGGGCGCACCCGGGCATGCTGAGGCAGGGGCTGTGGCGGCAGCTGTAGAAGTTGCACCGGCTGCAGCGGCTGTAGCACCAGCTGTAGCAGCGGCTGCAGCACCGACTGTAGCAGCGGCTGCAGCACCAGCTGTCGCACCAGCTGTAGCAGCTGTAGCAGCAGCTGAGGACGATCCAGCCACAGAGGCCTCACCACCACCACTGGCATTGGCACTGCCATTCACACCACTGCCTGTACCAAACCCAGTGGAACCCATAAGGGCTCCAAACAGAGACCTGGCCGCCGCAGCAGCAGGGCAGGCAGCAGTGCTGCTGCGGGAGCGGCACGAGAAGGAGGGAAGGGACGAGAGCAGCGAAGCCGGCTTCTCAGCAGCACCCTCTTTTGAATTCTGAGACATGGTACGGTCCTGAGGCAAAGAGTGGTTCGGAGGTGAGGGGCCTGCTTGCTGCGGCGAGACGGGGTAGACTTGGCGCGCGGGCGAACAGCACTGCTTCTTTGCAGGCCGGCATGGCTCGGCGCCAAGCCTCGACGAGTCTGCGCCGAGCCTGGACTGGTCTGTGCCGAGCCTGGAAGAGTCCCCGCCAGGCCGGCTAGGCTCGGCAGCCGAACATGCCTGGGGAGATTTGGTATCAGAGCGCAGGGTGGCTGGATAGGGGCGGAATGCAGAGGCGGTTGGGCGAGAGGAGGAGACAGAGGCAGGGGGGGCAAGAGAGACAGAGGGCGGGGCAGAGATGGGAACAGGGATAGCGACAGGAACAGGGGCGGAGAGAGGGGGAGGGGGAGAGGCAGGGACAGGGGCGGCTTGGAACGGAAGGGATGCAGCAGAGGCAGCTGTTGTGGGGAGCGTAAGCATGGGCTGCGTCTGCACGGGTTGCGTCGGCACGGGTTGCGTCGTTAGATGAATGGAAGAGGACGGACGCGGCTGGAATGCAGAGAAATACGCGCCAGTGGCAGCAGCAACACCGGTACCAGCCGCACCACCACCACCAACAGCAGGAGCAGCACCAGCACCAGAAGCACCACCAGAAGCAGTAGTGGCTGCAGCAGCAGCGGATGTTGCAGCTGCTGTATGCAGCTGATTCTCTAAACTGCCAGGATGACTACTAGCCGCGTACGTATCCGCGCCCGCGCCCGCGCCCGAGACCATAGATACGGGCGCCTGTTGAAGCGCCTGAACAGGCTGCTGTTGCACCTGAAACAACTGATGTTGTGGCACCTGAAACACCTGAAAAGGCGAGGCCAAGTTCAAGGAATATGGCGCAGGGTGGCAGGACACGGACGCTCTTTCTGCCTCACCAACAGAAATAGGTTCCAAACCTAGAGTCAAAGCCGATGCCAAGCCGTCCTTGCTTGGCTCGGCAGGCTCGAGGCTCAGCTTCGTCACCCTACCAAGAGACAGGTCCGGGCTTGCGACGGTCGATGGTGTGTTATCTGACAGAGTGAGAGCTGATGGCCTATCCAACGGTCCAGATGGTTCATCTGACAGTCCTGATGGTCTAACCGATGGTCCTGAAGGTCTATCGCTGCTTCTACTATGCACGGAACTGTCCTTGTCTCTGTCCTCCGAGCACCACGGCATAGGCAGCAGCTGCATCAACCTCGGCGGCTCCTCCTCCTGTTGCTGCTGTTCTTGCTCTTGGTGCTGCTGTTTTTGCAGCTCGTTTTGACCAAGGATATGGTTGCACTCCACTGCTCCTGCTGACGGATTTGTGTTTCTTTCTAGTCCTGCTTCTCCCCTCGGTTCTGCTGCTGCTGCGCTCTCTTCCCCACCTGTTTCTGCTGCTGCTACGGTGGACAATCGAAGCTCTATTTCCCCTACGGCGGATCTTTCCCCGCACCCCTCACTCCCCCCCTCCACCTCCATAGCTTCCGCCTTCCCCTCACTCCACCACTCGCGCTCACGCCTCAAACTCTTCCTTCTCCCCCCATTGCCCCCTTCCGCTCCCCCTGCTCTGCCCAAACCCGCGGAGAGATCCAGGCAGGGAGGCGGGGTTGTCTTTCCCGTTCCCCCCATCCTCCCCCCACCCATTCCCCCCATAACTCCGCCTGCTCGTCCTGCCTCTAAGGTTTCCGCGGATCCTGCGCCCCTGGCCTCCAAACTAGCGCCCCCCAGGAATAGCGCCCGTGTGCTTGCATCTCCACCGTTGGATGGACCTAAATCTACCGCCCCCAGACTAGCGCCTGGCAGCATTGCTGCGCTCGAGTCCAGTAACTGCTTGGCCAGATATGACCTGTGCGTGCTGTCGTTTTGCGCCATTGTCATCAGCTCCGCTGCCGCCCCCGCTACCCCCGCCGTTACCCCCGTTTCCGCGCCGCGTATTCCCGCTCCCCCGATCCCCGCTCCGCCGATCCGCGCTCCGCCCAAACTGAACTCCGCGGAAGCTATACCGCGCAGCGCACCTCCCCCCGCCCCTTTCGCGCCTGTAGAGTCCCCGCCTGCGCGGTTTTCTCCCTCCGTCCCCGTTACTAGCCGCCTCGATTCTAGCTGTGACGCGCCTTCCGTTCCGCGCCAGCGCTGCGACGACGACGGCGCGGCGGCGGACGAGGCCTGGGGGTGGAAGAGTAACGGCGCCGCTGGAACCGAAGAATGTGACATTAACGAGGCGGGAGGATGTGACACTAACGAGGAGGGAGGATTAAAAAACGAGGGGGGCGGCGCGGAAGCCCCTGCCGCCTGCGCAGTAGCGCCAGGCGGGGAAGGGGGAGGCGGAAATGAGGAAGCGGCGGGGGGGAACATTGGCGAAGCCAGCTGCGGTGATGTCAGCATCTGCGGGTGCATTTGCGCCTGCGCCTGCGCCTGAGCCGGCGCTTGGATGCGCGCCCGCGGGAACAACGCGGCTGCTATCGCGTCTACGGCGCTAGACGCAGGGAGGGATGCGGGGAGGGATGCGGGGAGGGGTGGAGGCGCAGCCATGGCGAACGACGCGGGGAGCGGGGGGGGCGTTCTCTTCGCGGGGAGCAGCGCGATCGCGGCGGCGGCGGCGGAAGCGGCGGAGGCGGAGTCTTGCGGGGAGGGCGGGAACGCAAACCGCGAGAACGCCCCGGCAGCCGCCGCCGCTGCCGCGGCCGCCGCGCCGGCTTGTCCGTCGGTCTGCGCGGCGGACTGCGCACCGAATAGTGCGGAGGGCTGCGCGGAGGACGGCTGCGCGGCGGGGCGAGAGGAAGAGGCGGAGCGGCCGTGGTAGGTGAGGGTGAGCACGAGTGCTCCCGCGGGCGCGCTGCTGCTGCTTAGCAGCCTGAGGGAGGGACGGGGGGGGGGGGGGATAGAACAACGTGGAGCGGGACGGGTTTGTGAAGGTAAGCATATGCGGAGATTGGTAGGAAAGTGAGAAGCGCACGAGAAGCGGTAGTAGAGAAGAGGCGAAAAGAGAAGGGGAATTCGGGGAGGTGGGAGGGGGAGGGGATGTGCTGCGAGAGGGGAGGGGTTTTGCGGAGGTCGGGTGAAAGATGCGCCAATGGATAAATGAAGCGCGCAGGCGGAGATCGGACACAAGTGGCGCCAATGGGCGCTTGAATGAATGAAGCGCGCGGGCGTAGCTCACTTGAACTCCGCGGGTTTCTTGGAGAGCTTGGCCGTACGCGATATAATCTCCTCCAGGGACACGTTCGCGGCGCCCAGTAGCTGATCGCGCCCGCGCGGCTGCGACATGAACACCTCGCAGCGGAGACGCTGCGCGAAGTGGGGGAGAAGGGGGAACGGGGGCGGGGGAAAAAGGAGTCAGAAGATATGAGGGGATAAAGGACCTGCATCTAACCGCGCCAGCGGAGACACTGAGCGGAGCGGGGGAGAGGAGGGGGGAGGGGGCGGGGGAAGGGGCGGAGCAGAATGAACGAAGGGGGAAGCGGGGAGTAGAGGGAGATGGGGGAGGGGGAAAGCGGGGGGAGAGAAGACAGGGGTGAGATGAGGGGGAAAACGTGACTTGCATCTGACCGCCTCTGACCGCATCTGACCGCGATCCCGTGGAGGTGTTGCATGGCTGTTGAAAGTTCGTGCCGTAAGGTGTCTCGTTTAATCAAGTAACGAACACGACGCGACACATGAACACCAGATGTTGCGCGCGAGTGGGGATGTGGGGAGGGGGGAGGGTGGGGGAAGGAAGGGTGGGAGGTCGGGGAAAGAGATAGGTGGAAAGGGCGCGGGCCTGGGGAAAAGACGACTTGATAAGCGGCGGCGGGGAGCCACGTGTACGACGAGGATCTAAACTCCACCGCGCGAGCGCGACGTGGGAGTTCCGCGATTCTCCGCAACGGCGACGTGGCGAAGGAGGGAGGAAGCGAGGGATGGTGGACGATGAATGCGAGGAACGACGAGAGAGCGCGCGAGGAGCGCGACGAGCGGAGCGAGCGCGAGACGAGCGGAGCGAGCGCGAGACGAGCGGAACGAGCGGAACGAGACGAGCAGGACGAGTGCGACAAGCCGGAGAAGGGTATTACGGGAGAAGATTGCCGGCGCGGAACGCCAAACCGCTTGATGCATCGCCAGTGACCTTACTCTCTAACGTACACGCCGAAGGGTGGCAAGCAAAAAAAGTTCCGGAGTGTTGAGACGTTACGATCGACGCGAACCTGTACGCCTGACAAAACTACGATGTGACGTGGCTTGTCGATTATTGGGCAGGTCCATGCTGCATCCTATAATGATAGCTGCAAGGAACAACCACGGCGAAGTACCGAACAAGGCAGCAGGAGCTTGCTCGCCCGAGGGGACTCAGATTCGCAGTGACTGGTCGAATATGAGAGACATGTTTATGCTGCAAGGAGAACTATGGTAGTGTAGCAATCAAGGCAGCACCAACCTGCTCGCCCGACGGGACTCCGACTTGCAGCGACTGGTCGAATATGGGACGCGTGCCGCCCTTGCGGACTGTCCTGGTCTGCTCACGCACGCAGGATTTGGGAATCGAAAAATCCAACACAGAAATGACGCTACGCGAGCAATAAAGGTGAAGTCAAGTCAGCGAGACTGAATTGGGAAGTGATTAATTGTTAAGCTAATACAAAGCTCCTATAAATAGACGAGATCGTGAACTGCAGGTAACTGGTCGACGAAATATAGACTCGTGTACCTGTAACACGGCACCAGAGAGGGGATCGAGTTCGCCGAATAAGAAACGAACGTAAACGTCCTGCTCGCCATAGTCACACAATGACGGGAGCCCTGCCGCGTAATGGACATGAACATCTAAAATTCCCGCCATGGATCGTCCACACGGCGTGGACCTTCCTCGAGAAGCCATTGTTACGAAGTTCTAGCTGGGAGCTTCTACTCTACGGATCCGTTTTCTAGGTATCAATAACAGCTATGACCAATCATCCATGGTGGTGAAGACAACCACCGAACAAGTTTCACAACCAGAGACACGACAGAGAAGACGAAACCAATCTCGAGGTGTGTGAGAGGGCAAGTCTGTAGGATGCAAGTGGCGCTCGCAGCACGAGGGAGCGACGGAGAGGAGAAGGCGGAAGGCCTCGAAAGCAGGAGACGATCGAGGGGAAAAAGGCACGTCTGGTGGGGCGCGGAAAGAGGCAATTGGCGGGGAGAGCGGGAGGGATTTGTGGGGGAGCCGGGGAAGGGGGTAGTGGGGGAGCGGGGTGGGAAAACGGGGAAGGCGGGGAAGAAGGGGGAGAGAGGAGCGAAGGCGGGAGAAGGGTCGCAGAAGCAGCATGAGGCGGAGCGGCAGGGAGGGTGGTGGGGGCAGGGGAGGAGAGGAGAGGTGCAGCAGCGGAGAACGAAGAAGGGGAGGCAGTGGCCACCGCTTGGGGAGACGGGAAGGCGAAGGAGGTGCGGTCAGGCCCCAGGAAGTCAGGGTATTTTACCCTGATTAGCCTGTTTTTCAGAGTGAATTGTTAAGGTCACCCTGCTGAAATTGACTTCGACGCTTGTACCGCCCTGACACGCCTTGACATGAGTAAAACCGTACCCTTCAATTTCAGGTGGGAGCATCCTGTCAGCCCTGCCTTTTCCGAGTCTAAGTCATTTTAACCCTGCTAAGAGTCCTTGAGAGTCGAACTCTCGTGACACTGAAAATTTCAATTTTCAGCTAAGTCAGAGAATTTGGCCAAGGGACCGTTCCTGGCCGGTGTCAGGCAGCTTGACACCGGCCAAGATGGTTCCCTAAGACACTGAAAGTCTGGAAATGCTGCCAAGTCTTGGAAACACACTGGAAATTTGGCTAAGTCACTGAAGCACTCTGGAAATCCGCCCAAGTCACTAGAACACACTCGACATTCAGCGAAGTCACTGAAACACTGGAAATTGGCAGAGTCACTGAAGCACTCAGAGAATTCGCCCAAGTGACTGGAGCACACTGGACATTCAGCGAAGTCTGAAACATACTGGAAATTCGGCGAAGTCACTCAAGCTTTCCGAAATTCGGCGAAGTCACAGAAACACACCAGAATTTTGTCTTGTCGCTGGGACAAGCTGGAAACTTAGTTAAGTCCCTTTAACACGCTAAGCTCGCTCAGTGACGGAACAGGCTGTAATTTGACGAAGTCCTGCTCAGAGCGGGTCTGCAGAGCTCAGCAGTGTTAGCGAGATTTCTACCCTGCCAGTTCCGACAAGAAAATACAAAACACCCTGCCATTTCCTGAGTATGCCGCGATTGGCACACTGCAGTGGCAGGGTGAAGGTCGGCCACGACTCGCTTCTGGCAGGGTGCCCAAAAACACATCGAGAGGCCTGGGAGCGGTGTGCGTTGGGGTGTCAATTGGGATTTGGAAATGACGCGGTGAGTTATTGGTGTGCGAAACTGTCTGGAAGCCCCCTGGAAACCGCAGTCGGTCTCTCACAGTTTGGGGAGCTGACCAAATCCTACCCTGCCGTCGGCAAAAACTTTGTTCACTCAACTGATACACTACTTGCATAAATCCTACACTTGATGCCTGATTGAGCCCCTCCCGGTTGCCTTGTGAAGGGGGCGTATAAGCTGTATCGTGTATTTCGCATAAGTCTCGTCAATTCGCAGCAAGCTAAAAATGACTCGCAGGTGCTTATATAAAGGATCTGTAACCTTATCTGTTGACATTTTGACTTCAGTATCTTCAGTTTGACTTCAGTCTGTTCGTTACTATTGGTTCATAACCACGCGACGCGCTTGTAACGTGGGTGCAACAGGCTGGGGAAAAAACCTCGGGTGCAGCGTTTCCATCCGGTGCAGAGCAAATTCGCGGTCATGGGGTGTACTGCTGTGCTTTGCTGGATGGATATACTGTACAACGAACAATAGCGACTTGTTCTTATTGGGTGGATGGAAACGCCAGTCTCTCCTTGTTGTGTACCTGAACCGGGGCAGGGCCTGCCGGGCTTGCGTGGCAAAGGGAAACTTCGAGGGGAAATGGGGATGATGGATGGCCGTGCTTGCGTCATGGTACAGTAGTTGGGGGTTTTCATTCAATCGTCGGTGGAAGCGCGAACAGTAGATCGAACAAAAGCATTGAATACAGTAGCAGCAGCATGGGTCATGGGTCATGACTGGTGCCATGGTGTCGCCGATGCCAGAAATTCTCCCGTCGGAAGGAAATCGGGGGGCTTGCTTGGAGCTGGTTCAGGAGTGCGCGCCCACCACTGGATCCCTCCTTGTCCGAAGAATCTAGGAAACCCATCTGTGGGGAGAGGAGAGGTGTGGCGACTGACACGCTGGCATGGCAAGTGTCCAGCAGTGACCAGACCAAGCCGTGCTGTACTGTTGGGCTAGTGAACAAAGCCATCATTTTCATTCAGCAGGCAGGTGTGCAGCCAGCCAACTCATTGAAACCAGCGTATGACGTGTGCTGACGACAGGCGTGGAAAACAAAACATTCACTTAACTAATATTGTTTCATTCTCACCTCACCGTCGGACGATGACCTCCAGACAACACTCACAAAGATGATGATGTGACTGACGATGTAAAACTCTTAGCTAATTGTCCGCCATAGCGGAGGAGCCATTCTGGACCAACTCGGAGGAGCCATTCTGTAATATACACAAGCCAAAGCAAATCGACGAAGAAATGCTGTTCTCGAAGTCATGCAGAACGTCATTGTCCGTTGTCTCCATCTGTGATCACGTGCGGTTTCATGTCGCGCTGGACAAACCACCATACCATCGACTTTTCCCAGCTTCTACATATACGTATCTCTCTCTGTTTATGAAATTATATATCTGCATTGCTATGATCAGAATGCATAATGAATAATTGAACAAAGAAGTGTTATTGTGCATTAGAATATCAATATGACTCATGCTCTTTTGTTGGGAGTGTTATGATATAGAACTGTTGGATAACATTCCTAGATTAACGCACTCTTAACCCGAAGATTACTGCAGCGAAGACGAAGACTGAGTGACACAAGAGGTTATCGAAAACGGTTGAAAGCAGAAAGAATTCGAAGTGCAAATCGCGGCCAATTTTTCAAACAGTTACTGTGGCGCATGTTAAACAGGCTAGGCGAAAACGAGAAATAGGCAAAGAGGGGTTTTCACTAGCAGGCAGTTGAGTACATATAGCAAACCCTAATTTGGGTTGTACTCGCTATAGAGTACCCCACTGCAGGCTAGACAAACATCACATTCTGACACACCCCCATAGTCAAAGTGGGGTACAATCAACACAGCAAGCAGGCAGAGCGATAGGTTCACAAATACAAGCAAAGCTAGAGGCTATCACAGAGGGCAAGTGAGGAGGAGGAGAAACTGTGGGGGCGAGAAGATGGGAGGCGACGGCTGAAGCTGCAGACACACGGGCAGCAGGAGTGCGCCGCACTGTCGCTACCAGGCTAAACCCGGACTACACGGCGACAGGGGGTCGCAGCTGGCTCGCTGTGCTCCCAGGAGTGCACACACTGTGGCTACCGGGCGCAGAGCCCCGGACTACACGGCCACAGGGGGTCGTGGCTCTCTGGACTTCAGGCGCTGCGGACGACAAGTCGACGACCTCCACTCAACTTCCCCCAGCTGTCCCACCCCCTTTTCACACACCCCCTTGCTGCACCCCTAGCTCCACTCCCACGACACCCCCCTAGCGCCACTCCCTCGGCTCCCACACACCCACCCCCCTCAGCGGCAGCTGCGGCAATGGGAGACGGAGAAGGAGGAGGAGGAGGAGGGGACGGCGCACACACCCGGCACCCCCATACCCGCCACCCCCAAACCCTAAACGCAGGCGGCGCGTAGGGGCGGCGTGCGAGCGGAAGGGGGGCGGGGCGCGGGTCCCTGGGGAGCTGCTACGGGCGCCCGGTAGGACGGCTCGAGGGCCCCCAGGGCGCCTTGACGGGCGACGGGAGGGGGCGCGACGCGCGGGCCCCCAGGGCGCCGCGACGGGCGACGGGGGGGGGGGGGGGCGACGCGCGGGCCCCCAGGGCGCCGCGACGGGCGACGGGATAGGGCGGCCCGCGGGCCCCCAGGGCGCCGCGACGGGCGACGGGAAGGGGAGGCGACGCGCGGGCCTGCGGGGCGACGCGACGGGCTCCCGAGGGCGACGTGACAGGCCTACGGGGCGACGCGACGGGCTCCTGGGGGCGACGCCATGGTCGACGGGGCAGAAAACCGCCGCGCGCCCCGAGCGCGCGGCGGGAAGAAAAATCCGTCGTGCGCCACGGGGCGCGCGACACACAGAACAGCAGCGGAAGCTAACGGGCGGGACCACCCACAGGATCGACCCAGGAGGGTCGACCTGCTCTGATAGCATGTTAAACAGGCTAGGCGAAAACGAGAAATAGGCAAAGAGGGGTTTTCACTAGCAGGCAGTTGAGTACATATAGCAAACCCTAATTTGGGCTGTACTCGCTATAGAGTACCCCACTGCAGGCTAGACAAACATCACATTCTGACAGCGCATGCCATTGCCGAAGCGCACGGCTTTCCCGATCTAGATTAGCCCTGAAGGAAATGTATCGTCCAGAATACATGGCTAGCTAAGACCTTTTGTATTCCCCTGTATTCCTATATAAACCCTCGTACCGTATTGTATTAGTCACTTTTGTCAATACTCAAATCTCACTCTTGTGACAGAGTTCGTACCCGACATCACTAGCAAACCTTCCGCTGCTACACTACGTGCGATCAACCTGAGACGATCCTATAAAGTTATTTCAGATTGTTGTTGGTATGAGAGTCACTCAAGATTCTTCGCACCGCCACCCCTGATTCAAATTCGAATCCAAGGTGGCGTCCGGTACGCGCTCCCGCCGAAACATGGCTGGAGGATCTGGCGGGCAGGCGACTCCCACTGCTGAAGCCCCCACCAACCCTACC